GAAACCACCGCTGCTCCAGTTATAACCACCGCTGCTCCAGTTGTAGAAACCACTGCTGCTCCAGTTGTTGAAACCACAGCTGCTCCAGTTATAGAAACCACTGCTGCTAAAGTTGTAGAAACCACAGCTGCTCCAGTTGTAGAGACCACAGCTGCTCCAGTTGTAGAGACCACAGCTGCTCCAGTTGTTGAAACCACTGCTGCTCCAGTCGTTGAAACAACCGCTGCTCCAGTTATAGAAACCACCGCTGCTCCAGTTGCAGAAACCACCGCTGTTCCAGTTGTAGAAACCACCGCTGCTCCAGTTGTAGAAACCACTGCTGCTCCAGTTGTTGAAACCACAGCTGCTCCAGTTATAGAAACCACTGCTGCTAAAGTTGTAGAAACCACAGCTGCTCCAGTTGTTGAAACCACTGCTGCTCCAGTTGTAGAGACCACAGCTGCTCCAGTTGTTGAAACCACTGCTGCTCCAGTTGTTGAAACAACCGCTGCTCCAGTTATAGAAACCACTGCTGCCCCAGTTGTTGAAACCACCGCTGCTCCAGTTGTTGAAACCACTGCTGCTCCAGTTGTTGAAACCACAGCTGCTCCAGTTATAGAAACCACTGCTGCTAAAGTTGTAGAAACCACCGCTGCTCCAGTTGTTGAAACCACTGCTGCTCCAGTTATAGAAACCACTGCTGCTCCAGTTGTAGAAACCACTGCTGCTCCAGTTGTTGAAACCACAGCTGCTCCAGTTATAGAAACCACCGCTGCTCCAGTTGTAGAAACCACCGCTGCTCCAGTTGTTGAAACCACTGCTGCTCCAATTGTAGAGACCACAGCTGCTCCAGTTGTTGAAACCACCGCTGCTCCAGTTGTTGAAACCACAGCTGCTCCAGTTATAGAAACCACTAACAGCTGCTGTCATCCAGTGCAGAACGATCGACCTTCTGCTCCAGTTGCCAAGAAACCAACCGCTAGCCTCCATTGTGGAAACCACCGCTGCTTCCATTTGTAGAGATCATACATCTCTTCTCAGTTGCTTGAAAACTACCGCTGCTCCAGTTTGTTGAAACTGACTCTGTTTTGCTCCAGTTGGTAGAAACCACGCTGAAATACGCAGTTGGTTCGAAACCACTGCTGGCTCCGATCTCTTGTTTAGAACCGACTGGCTCTGCTCCAGTTGTAGTGCAAAGTGTCTCCTGTGAATATCCGCTCGTCTTCCAGTTGTTGAAATCACTGCGTGCTGTCCAGTGTTGTAGAAGACCACCGCTGCTCTACAGGTTGAGTAAACCACCGCTGCTCCATTTGCTAGAATCCACCGCTGCTCAGTTTTGAAACAACTGTTGTGTGGTGTAGGGTGGGCTGCTCAGTGTAGGAAACCACTGCTGCTCTTCTTTGAAACCACTGCTGCTCAGTTGTTTGAAACCCCGGCTGCTATCCAGTATGTAGAAAATCCACCGCGTCTCCAGTGTGCGGATACCACCGCTGCATTCCAGTGTAGAAATCCCCGCCTTCAGTTTCTAGAAACCACTGCTGCTCCATTTTTTGCATCCCACCAACGTTCTTGCTAAATGTTGTAGGAAACCACAGCTGTGCTCATTTGTTGAAAGTCCACTGTTGCTCCATTTTTGAAACCACTGCTGCTCCAGTTGTAGAGTGTCCACGCTTGCTTTCCAGTTTTGGAACCCAGGCGTCTTGCTCTCTATATAAACGATCCTATCCAGAAACGCCCTGCTCCAGTTGTAGAAATCCACCGCTGATCCGAGTTGTGGGAATATCTCTCTCTCCTTATTAACCCACTGCTGCTGTCGCCAGTTGTTGAAACCACTGCTGTCTCCAGGTTGTTAGAAACCACTGCGTAGCTGCAGTTATAGAAACCTACCTGTGCTTCCTGTTGTTTTAAACTCTCTCTCTCATATCTCTCTGTCTCTATATCTCACCGCTGCTCCATGTTAAACCACTGCTGTTCTCCATTTTGTTAGATAACCAAACTGCTTTTGCTCCTAGTTGTGGAAACCACCTGCTGCTCCAGTTGTGAAACCACTGCTGCTGCCAGTTATAGAAACCACTGCTGCTCCTGTTGTTAAACACTGCTTGCCTCCGTTGTAAACCCACTGCTTTCTCTCTATCCTCTCTCTATGGAAATCCACCGCTGCGTTCCAGTTGTGGTAAACCACTCCTCTCTATTATATCTATCTCTCTCAGTTGTGGAAACCACCGCGTGCTCCATTTGTTATCTATTTCCTCTCCAGTTCGTAGAAATCACGCTGCTTTCCAGTTGTTGGAAACACCGCTGCTAAAGTTGTATATACCCTGCTCTGTATTGTTGAAACCACTGTTTCTCTATTTTGAAACTTATCTCCAGTTGTATATACTCTACATCTCTCTTATTTGAACACTCATTTCTCTTGGTCTGTTGTCAAACAACAGCTGCTCCAGTTGCAGAAACCTATTCCTCTTTCTCCCAGTTGTAGAACCACGCTCTTCTTGTTGAACTATTGCCGTTGCTTCCAGTTAGTAAACCTCACTCTGCCCAGTTGTTTTGAAAACCACTGCTGCTCCAGTGTAGAAACCACCGCTCTCCTTTGAACACTCTTCTTCCAGTTGTGAAACCCCGACGCCTCCAGTTCAGTAAAAACTACTGCGCGCTCCATGTAGTGAAAAACCACCGCTGCTCTAGTTGTAAAAACCACCGCTGTCTTCCAGTTGTTCGAAGCCCACTGCTGCTCGTAATACTCGTCCGTGGAAACCATGCTGGCTCCAGTTGTGTAGAACACACTACTGCTTTTCTCAGATTTGTGAAGCCACTGCTGCTCCATTGTAGAAACCACCCTTCTCCAGTTGTGAAACCACTGCTTCTCCAGTTGTTGAAAACTCACTGCTGCTCCGTTGTAATAACCATGTTCACCAGTGTAGAACCCGCTGCTCAGTGTTGAAAACCACCGCCATCATACTATACTATGCTTCACCATGAGAAACTTACTGTGCCTCCATGTAGAGACACTTGCTGGCTCCAATGTTGTAATAACCCCGGCTGCGTCCAGGTTGTATGAAACCACTGCTGCTTCCAGTTTTAGAACTTACTGCTTTACCTGTCAAGCCAGTCACTTCCAAAGACTACTTTGTTCCCCTTGTAGTGAGTAACCGAAGAAATTTCTAGTTAAGATACAGATTCGACTGTAAAACCACTGCTGCTCCAGTTGTGAAAATCACTGCTTTGCCCAGTTGATTAGAATCTTAGCCTGCTCAGTTGCAAACACCCTACTCCATTTGTAGAGAACCACCCTGCTCCAGTTTGCGTGAATCACCACCGGCTGCTCCAGTTGTATAACCCCATGCTCCAGTGTAGAAACCACCGCTGCTGCTATGTGAACCACCGCTGCTCCTTTTAAGAACCACTGCTGCTCCAGTTGTATGAACCAACTCTTTGCTGTCTCCTGTTGTATTGATGACCAACGCTGCACTCCAGTTGTAGAATTACCAGTCGCGCGCCACGTTGAACCCAGACTGGACCACTTGCTGACTACCAGTGTGAAACCAGTTTTGCCAATGAGACCACCGCCTGCTCCAGTGTTGAAAACCCACCGCTGCTCAGTTGTGAAACCACCGCGCTCTTCAGTGTTTAAGACCACAAACCACCGCTGCTCCAGTTGTAGAAACCACTGCTGCTCCAGTTGTAGAAACCACCGCTGCTCCAGTTGTAAAAACTACTGCTGCTCCAGTTGTAGAAACCACCGCTGCTCTAGTTGTAGAAACCACCGCTGCTCCAGTTGTTGAAACCACTGCTGCTCCAGTTGTTGAATCCACTGCTGCTCCAGTTGTAGAAACCACTGCTGCTCCAGTTGTAGAAACCACTGCTGCTCCAGTTGTAGAAACCACTGCTGCTCCAGTTGTAGAAACCACCGCTGCTCCAGATGTTGAAACCACTGCTGCTCCAGTTGTAAAAACTACCGCTGCTCCAGTTGTAGAAACCACCGCTGCTCCAGTTGTAGAAACCACCGCTGCTCCAGTTGTTGAAACCACTTCTTCTACCGCTTCTAAACCTTCCACAGATATTGTCACAAGAAGTACACTTGAAGTTGTTGATTCTTGCCCAATGTCTATCACATGTTTATCTCACATTATGTTAGTATCTATTGACAAATCACATTTACCTGGCTTTAATTTGGATTCTTTGCGTTTGTTTGATCCTATGTGCAAGCCTGGAGAAAATGGAACTCATGTTTTGATTGGGGTTCCGTTGAATGGCTGTGGAACAAGACGTCGCTATCTTAATTCTGCAGTTGTTTATAGTAATCGTGTAAGTATTTTTGTATTTTGCCTTTTCTTCTTTTATTTTATTTTGATGGCCTCTTTCTGTATGTTGAAAAATTTTTTTTTTTTTAAACTTGCTATTTGTCCCGCTAAATTTGTCTGGTTCCGCTATTAACCCTTGCGTTCCCTTTTAGACATCTCTTTCGGGGATATTTTGGTTTTGAAAAGATGCTTCAATGAAGATGGGGTTTTTAAGTGCATGTCTTTGATCCTCCGATTATTCCATCGGTTACCATTTTTGTTTCACAGTCTTTTTCATTAAAATTAAATTACATCAAAGTGATAATTTCTTTGGTGGATCTTAAAAAAAGAACCCATATTTGCATAGTTTGTTGCATAATCATCACGTTGTATCGAAAGCTTTATACTAATAAAATCTCTTCCTATCATCTAATGCCTTCTCATTCTGTTAAAATATTGCACGGGACACTTTAAAATATACGCAGAAGTGCTCAGCATTAAATTTCAGGCTTGCAATTACATCATTAAATTTAATTGTTGTTTGCTTCTCAACCAATTTCGACGCTTTGGCTTAAAATTATTGAATATTATGATTTAGCTCAACATTGCAATATCTGAGGTGACGTAATTTTGCACTCTATCTTCATTTGGAGACTGGACCCTTGATTTCATTTGTCAAGGATCTTATTTTTCAAAGATGTTATTTGTATTGCATTCTTGGTCTTATGTTTGTCTGAGTCATATTTCTTGTAATTCTAGGTTAAAAGCAGAGTAGTTGCTTCTACTAGGGGAATATCGAGATCGAAAAAATTAGACGTTCCGTTTTCGTGTGTTTACCCAACATCGCAATCAGTTTCTTCTTTTGGATTTCAACTAAAGCAAGTGATTCCCAAGCTGGTGAAGGAAGAAAGAGGTTTCGGTAATTTTGAAGTTCGAGTTGACCTTTACACTGACGACACTTTCACAAGGCCATTGAACGATGCAAGTTATCCACTAGAAGTTGAAGTACAGGATAGGGTATATTTCGAGCTGAATATTGACACCACTGACCCTCGGCTTAAAGTTTTTGCTGAGAATTGCTCTGCCACTCCATCCCAGAACAGAAATGACCCAAGAAGATACTGGCTTATACAGAATGGGTATGTTGTTCTATTAATGCTTGTAACCTAGTCTGCGTGTAACATTCTATTTTTGTGACTCATGAGTGGTTTGCTGTGGAAATGCTTGTCTGCAAGGATATCAATATACTTTTTTGCCAGCAATATGTCTTTCAAAATTTTTATTTTAACTCCCTATTTTTAAGACACTGTCACTGTTTTCTATGATAAATTTGCTTTTGACTTGTTGATCGAAATGAAAATTTTTTTTCAGATGCAAGTTGGATGAAACCCTCGAATACCATGCACCTGGTGTAAACTCTCAACGAATGAGCTTTGAGGCATTCACATTTGTTGGCGCTGAAGACTCTGTTGCATATTTGCAGTGTGATGTCGTAATCTGTGATGCAAATGATCCTAATTCACGATGCAACGCTGGTTGTCTGCCATCTGCACGACGCAGAAGGGCACCTATCATCATATCTACACACAATAAGGCTTCGGGAAATATTCGCAGTGGACCAATGCTTGTGACACACAAGAAGTTGAGGCGGCCCAGGCGTGAGGTCCAAATTTCAAACTCAAACTTGGCTGTAGTTAAAACACAACTGACACCAAGAGCTATCAGTAAATCAGGTTTGTATTACAGGAGTTTTAAAGTGCCGCTGAAATGTAAAATTGAAATTTATTTATGGTTGGCCATACTGGAAAGCATGTATGTTACGCCATATTTTGGCTTATTTCTCCAGCAACATTTTGGCGTAAGTGCCTTGGTGTGGCGTTTAACTGCAATCTTTAACTCAAAAATACGATGAAGTCGTGCAATATTTCAAAATGATACCTAAAGCTTTCTATTCATTGCATCTTTAAACGAATTCACCTTGAACCCTTAAAGTATATGATGTACACATTTATTATTCAGGTTCACCTCCCGTTCATACTGTACATTTTTCAATTGAAATTCATTGAAAATCATGCCGCTGTTAGTCCTTTTTGCGCTGAAATATTTCTGTAGTGGGCATCAAATAAAAAGTGTTTTTATAAAACGGCATTAAACTCTTCACCTTGAGACAGAAAAATTCAATGCAAATTTGATAAGAGGCAAAATGCTCATTTGTCGCTCTACGAATCCAGAAAATTTGTCTCTGAGAAATAAGTACCTCAGGGAGGGGGGTGGGGTTGATTGGTCAGAAAATTAAAAAATTGAGACAGGATCCAAAAATAGGAAATATCAGAATCATTACATGACTAAACAGTTGACAGTTGACCATTCTAAGCTTATCTATAGGGCGTGGTCGCAAAAAAAATTTCTGCTCGCAAAGGAGATCTACTTCTGTTTTATCCAAGCACCAAAGAGCTGTTTCGTGTTCCTTACTAATGGCACTTAGATATAACATACCTTATTTAAAATATATTTGCAATAGGAAGCATTTTTTTGTATTCTTAAGGACGTGGTCTGCAAAACATTTCTCGTTGGTTGACCCTTGGAGATTTACATCGCTGACTTCGTAAAAATAGTTTTTAATCTGGAACTCATAGGCAAGGTTTTCCGTCGCGTTGTAACATAGGAATGGCAAATGATCCTAAGAACAACGCTTCACCATCGCATTCAGAGGTACTGGTTGACAGAAAACAACAATATAAAAATTACGATGTTTTATTTCGGTGGCACTTTGAGCATGTTTTTATGCATAATTCTTAAAGCTATATATTTCAAACGTCCTAAAAGGAGTAATGAGTATATCGTTATAAATCTTTTCGACATCATATAAGAAGCTACAAAATTTCTACCTTGAAAGTTTAATCGAACTTTTGTTTTTTGCTGACATTTAGAAGTTAGGAGGCACGATTTTATTGTCTTGGAAAATATTCATCAGCAGATTGATTTTTTTAAAAGAAAAGTCTACAGCGTCATAAAGCCAAAGTGGATGCTCTTTTTCACACCCTATTCCTGCTGCATTCAAAACGAGGCTAATATGCAGATTTTAAACACACTAAAAATTTGTTTCAGGAGTTGCTGTTGTGTCCTTTGGTGCCCTGTTGCTGATTGTTGTCGTTGCTGTTGTGTCATTGTTTGGATATCGCTCTCTCAAGAAGCGGACAGAGAACACTGCAGTTTTCTTGTAATATGTCTTTATACGCTATATCATATTACTCGCTTTTTATAATATTTTGCTTATTAGATTTAGATATAAATAAGTTGTGACTGAACAAAGTTTTACAGCTGGCCTTGAATTCTAATGAAAGCCATCACAATGTCATCAATTCGGAATCCTTATTTGCAAACCTTTGTGAACCTATTTGCGAGGTTTAATTGTGGATCTGTTAAACGAATTTGTTGTTTTGCCAGGTACGCGTAGGAAGTTGGACAATAAGTTCTAATTTTAGTTTCAGCATGACTTTTAAAAAGATTGTATACCAAAAGTAGTGCTCATAGGGAATTGTGAACATTCTTCGCTGGTTTTTCATTCTTATTCGCTGATGTCAAGTTATAAAATACATCGTTTTGGGTGTTTTAATGTTTGTACTGAGTAAAAATGTAGACAGCTTTTTTTGTGCCCTTTTCCGTGAAATCATGTACAAACCTTTCCTTGTAATCAATTCAAAATCATTTCAAGCAGTATCTGCTACTTCTAACTATAAAAGAAAGCCATAAAGTGTATCAAAAGTTTACTCTTTGAAAATCCACTAATGCTATTACTGGACCTGTAGTTCGTGCGGACTTCACGGAAAAGCATATTAGATGACAAACGATTTGTTATATTGTCATAATTTCTCCCAAATATTCAAATCTAGAGAATGATTTCCGATTTTAGGATAATTTTTAGTTTACTAATTAAAATGGCTAGCAAAATTTTCAAATATTTATCAACTATATGTCAACATTTTATACGTTTTTTAAACTTTTGTATGACAACTTTAGTATCATGTGACAATTAGCCTGTTCTTGTTTTCTTCATTTTTGCTCTAAATTTTCCCAATTTTATTAGACGGTTCTCGGGCTTGGCAAGGGTGTAGCTTTAATAATAACTGACTTTAAGCAAATGTACAATGCGAAATATACCTTAATCTTTCAGCCGTTTACAAAACTTGATTATATGATGCAAACAAGCACAGATTCTTGATAAACAAATCACATCTTGAAAATCTCGTACACAATTAGTAGAAATCCTTTGATTAAATCGTACACAATTGATTAACTTTGCATCGTGATTGCATAGAACACTGTTAGGGTCACGCTCATTACAGAAGAGTACTCATTAAAGAAGAAAGAAACACAAATAAAAGACAAAATTTCGAAATACAAACAATCTTTGTTTTTACAATAATTGATATTCCGTTTGCATCACGCCTTTTTATAAGCAAGACGCAAAATTCTTCCGAGTCTGAACCCACGTCAACTTGCAAAAATACTGAAGCGGCATCTTGAATAACGTAATGCTTCGAATAAACGCCCGGGCGTTTATAAAATTTTAGGGGCACCTGTTCGAGGAGGCGTTTAAAAAAGGGGTACGTTTATTGAATTGTTTCACTCCTCCTAGGCAATATGTTTAAAAAAACATTTAACGATGATCGCACTTAGCGTGAAATTCATAGTAACAACTAAATGAGTCTGGTTCTAGGAGTGTAATTTAAAAAAACATTTAAATATCTAGTTCAAAGTCATCATCAACATATTCTTCCTCGATGATGTTATAAGAAGGAGCAGCTTCGGTTTCATCTTCTTCCAAATGGATTTTCGTGTAAGCTTCCGTCGTCAAAATGTTGCATTTGTGCTTGCAGCAAATCTCTGCCATCAGCTCACTTTTTGCCTTCTTTAAAGCAGGGAATTATCTCATTTTTGCTACCGTCAACTGGTAACGAAAAACCGCAAGCTTTCATTGAATGGGCCACCGTTTCTGCAGGTGTAGCTTGCCAAGCTTCGATAACCTAATCAACAATGAGTTTCATGTTACCAATCATCGTAAAACTTCTCGATTTTCACTTGAATATATTTGGTACAACCACCAGGGACGATAACGCTATCGATCTTGCATTTTGTCAACGATTTCTTGACTTCTACGAACAATAAACGCTACTCTGAAGTTTTGGAACTTTTGAAAAGAAAGGCGAAATTTCCCACTGTAACGTTGAAATTTAAAAAGAAGGGCGTATATCGTAAATTTCCTTATTATTTCACAAAATAAAGCTAAAGAAGCATGGTAGTATATTGTTAATTACCGTTCTTTGTGTTTCGAAAACACGCCCCTCTACAAGGGGGCGTCTATTTGCTTTCAATATATTGGGGGAGGTGCTCATTTGATAGGGATACTCGTTTGAGAAGGGGTGCTCATGAAAGAATACGGTACACATCTTGAGAGATGGTAGGAAATTTACCTCTATTTATCCCACTGCGTCCCTCTGCAACAAAGAGGTGCTTTACAGTGTGCAGCCTAAAACGTTTTTGAGTCAATCGGCAATGTTTAACTTGTGTGAACACTAACAACCACGTCTGTCAAATTTTTTGTGGCCAATCTTCCTTATCATAGCCTCTTGCTGGATATCGTGCTGCAAAATGAGGCTGCATGGCCTAAGCAGATACACGCTTGTTTGGCCATTTCTACGAAAGAGGACCTTCAAGTTATTCAGGCATCTGGCACTGTCACATAAAGATATGGATGCTACGGATGCAGTAAGTTCTTTGCGTTTTAAAGGCAATTTTAGGGGCTTAAGAATTTATACTCCCAATAAGCAGATTCTTCGAAAACTATTCTGACCGGGCCCCACAACACAGGTTGGAAAACATGTATGTATGAACACATTTTCAGCTGCGACCTTCGGATGGGGCTATTTCCGTTGCATTCAACTAAGATAACATATACATCACTATAGTATAATGTTCATGACTTCATCAGGTGCGAGTGCAAGAATTCCAGCGGGCTTCTATCGATTTGTTACGCCGCGGAAAACAGGACAGCATAGGCCCGTTCTCTGGCCGCATCGGAGAAAAGCGATGATATCTCAATATTCGAAAAAGCTTTAGAAAAGCTATTATTTGTTTTGGACTCAGCATGAAATCCTGTACTAGAAAATTGAAACAGAATTGTAATTGAACTTTTCGGTTTTCTACAAAAAAAATTGTTTCCCTGAATCGGCTTCCCGCGAAATTCTTTAACAGAATTTGTCAATCGATACCACTGCCGAAACCAACCAAATAAGGATAACTGAAAATATTTTTTTATCAAACACTCTGAAAATGTAGGAAGTATACGAAAATTGCATTTTGAGTGTTTTTTTCAATTGTTTCACCTTTAAGTTGATATTTTCGTCACTCCTGACGGAGAAGCCAAAGAGAAATACACTGCAAAGCGGTCAAGCAGCTTTGAGAATCCCTAGGAAAACATTAAATTTTAGGCCACAGGGTCATTAAGATTGGCTCCTGCTTCTAGAGATAGGCTTTTTTTGCTAGAAAAGCATACCAAAGTGACTCTTCATTTGTAGCAGAATAAAATTTTTGGGGTGCACCAGCAGACAGAAAAGTCATTGAGATTCAAGTTTCACGCAAACGCCAGAAAAGCTGATTTTTGACCAGTTCGCACCAATTGCCAACCTGTGCACACCCCAACTAGTTTTTTAGCCTTCTTCACTGGCCAATTCAAGCAAAAAATAAAGTATGTATCGTCTATCCTTGAGAAGCGTACAAGAAAAGTTTGAGGAGCACTTTGGCTTAAAATCCCCATGAAGTCAGAAATTCACAAAAATGGTTGTCCTTTCAATTTTTTTCTTGGAAACCAGAAAAAATCCTGCAAACAACAAATTTATGATATAAAGGGAACAAAAGTTGATATATCTTTAAAATTCACTGTCCTCCTTTCCCTAAGAACAATAGGTGTAACAGCTATGAAGAGCATTCCATACACTCAACATGTATTTTCTGCGAATCGTTTTAATTGCAACATATAGGTATCAATCCAATTTGAAAACTTAAAAGTCAATTTCTAAATATATTGATTATTGCTTCCTAGAATGGCAATCTGGCTCAAACCTGACAGTGGCATAATGTCATACCCAGCCAGGGTGGAATCCATGTAGACCTCACACCAGATATTGGCCAGTAAATTAATAAGCTGAGCTATGTCGAAAGTTCTACATCCTAATGCTTATGTCAAAAGTTGTATTGACCACCATTGCTTGTTTATAAGTCATTTGCTGGTCCAATCATAGGTAGCAAACCCATCCACCTTTTCGCCAACACCTTACATTTTTTCTTTGTTGTATGCCAGTAAACCAAGGAAATTCCAAAGTTATTACGCCAGATATCCCTGACATAAATTACATGGATTCCACCTGTGATACCAAGTTTTTAGGCAGGATCTATTTTGTCTAAATTTGATGAGAAAATTTTTGGGAACGTGTGATTTTTTATCAAATTATTTTTTGTGATATCATCCTATGACTTTTAAGCAGTCTTTATGTAACCAGAAGTTAGTCATTGGTATTTCTCGTTGGTAAAATTAGCATTCCTGTGGTAAAAGGGCATTTCTAACAATAAACAGGGCATGGCCTTAAATTTATTATTTTGCCCCGGGCTCCTCCTTCCAGCAATTTAGTCATTGGAGCTGTCATTGTAAGCTTCTTAGTAAATTCTAAAGTTAAGCGCCCAGTGCGAGAACGCCTTGTCTTTGCTATTTGCCTAAACTGTCCATGTCTTTCTACCTGCCTAATGATAAGAACAACCATTTCAGTAAATTTCACAACATAGTGTTTTCAGAATATCAAAATTAGCCACTGTTCCTTTTATGCTATAGAATTGTCATTTCTGTATATTGTTAATGAACCTTTTGCAAACTATTTCTGTACTATACTTCTTTACATTTATTTTATATTTCATGTGTGTCATAAACACTCTTTAATTCAAGTGGTCAATAGGTAGTTGCCAAACAACAAGGGTGACTTTGAATAAAGTGCAATTATGCTTTGTAAACTTTTCAGACTTCAACTGAAAAGAAAGAGTGGGTACTAGAACAAGACAATGAGCTACGGTTTGAAGTTGAGCTACAACACCAGGCAGAGCTAGTAGTATGTTCTTTTCATTTTCTCATTAAACTGCAATCTTAAATGCATCTTTTGCTTTTTCATCCATTGAATGAGTTTTAAGGCATACAGCCTCAATTTTAGAACATAATATTTCATTAAGACAACATTTCACATTATTTGTATACAGTATACCTTATATAAATTATTTAGAATCTTTGAAAATATCTGTTTTTGTTAAAACAATGTACTGTATTTTCATTGTATACTCCTCCCACTAATATAAAACTTTATCTAATAGCTGTCAATCACAAAAAAGGATATTTTAATTTCATGTAGGTCTGTGTTAACTATAGCCTAGAGACTTTAATTAATTTTGACTTCCTACACTATTATTGAATTTTTTAAACTCAAATTCCAAAATGGAATGATCTTATTGATAAGAATTGTCCATGGCTTAAAAAATTAATCCTTTAAATAATTATATAACCAGTTTTTTATGTAAAACCAACTGGTCCATCAGTTTGACTAGTTTGTCAGTGGCAACTCAAGTACACCTTTCCGAATTTCACAATAAATGCCTTCTTTTAACTTCTCAAAAATTTGATAAAAATAAGGAAATTGAAAACAGTAAAGTTTCATATTTCTCTAACCAGATATTTTCTTTTTTTACCTTACCTTCTTAAGTCTGTGATTTTAAGTTTCAGAAGTTTTCACTGTGGTCTTTAGCAGAAATAAACAAATAATATAAAGTTGTGTGATGGTTGCATTAAGGGTAAAGACTTTCAACATAGAAACATCCTGTTCTGTACTTCAAAGCATATAGAGATCTGCCTATATGACAGACTAGTAAACAGTCATTTTTATTACATGGTGTTATTTAAGTGTTCTTTTTATCATTTTGTTAGCTAACACATGGCCAAGCAGAAATTTTTGGGACAGAGCTGGTAAAAAACAAAGTGTACTCATTCAGGTCTGGAGACAAAGTTGCTGTTTTTACATGGCATGGATGTACAATAGAGGTTTTTATTACCTGATATATATGCATATTTCATTAAGAAAAGCCTGTCTTTAACATGTTATTGGACCCCTTAAGGGATTGTATTGTACTATCAAAATCTGGTGGAAAACACAGGGTTACAAAAATGTTTCTTCTGTTTTGCCAAAGCATTTTCCAAATTTGACAGGGTTGGCTGATATAGTCATTATTCACTATTGGTTTCTATTTCCAGTGTTTTATTCTGTTCCTATCCTTCTTCTAGTTGTTATGTATCTGTAAATTTTTTTGCAGCGATGCCTTGTTGTTTATTTCAATATTTCCTTTTCTTTGATTTTTTCTTTTCTGTCTCTAAACCCTATTCCTATTATTGCCAAATAAATTTGCACTTCCTTTGCTTCTAATATATCATAGATTTCATTCTAACATACAATCATGCATGTTTCTAGCCTTTGCAGGACAAAAACTTAGTATGCATGGTATGCATGGCATGTTGATATACCCCCTCAAGCTCTGCAGCCATAACAGTTGCTATACTGAGTAGCGTTGAATCTTAACCGAGGCTCACCCTAAATCCACTTTATATGATTCATTTTCACCCATGTGAACTCAACTCGGGTTTAATGACCGTGTAGATTGGTCTTTGGATGGTCTTGTTTATCAATGGATAGTATCAAAATGAATAGTTTAAAGTGGATAGTGTCTTTCAGAAAACACCTCGAAAATAAACCGCTTCAAAAGTTATCCTGTAAAACCGGGCTGGACTTTAGATCTTTGAAAATCTGGTCATTAATTTTAGTTTCTGTATTTATATCCAGAAAACATATAAATACAGATTTGCAAGCTACGCTACCGGGGAGCAGAAAGCTATGACTACCATGGGTCCATTTGGAGACAGAGATTAATATCAAAACTTAAATGTTAAATATTTTGGTCTTTAGCTCCAAGGAAAGCTAGAAGCAGCATACGTGGCATCTGAGACACCAATGGTAATTTACTTGAATCTTCATGTTGCCATGGAACAGCTGAGACAGAAAGCAGAGAAAAGCATTCCACCAACAATAGGACCAAAGGTGATTATCTTCTATAAACAAAGTTTTGTGAGAAAATTAAAGTTTTTTAAAAGATAAGTCTTACACCAGGGGGTTTCTCGTTTTTACCTGAAATTATTACTGTTGAAGTTAGAATACTGTTTTAAGAAGTTGATTCTGGCTAAAATGTTGATAATACCAGTGGCAGCTCGTGGGAAAATTTTTTGATGAGGTTGATGACGCAATATTAGAAATTTAAAGCAATAAACAGGAAACGCCAAGAATAATAAAACGTTCCCTTTTTCCGAAGAACTACCTTAAGTCAACGAGGCTATCGTCATTTTTAAATGTTGTAAATGAAACGGCAAGGGTTCTCCTCAAATGCAACTTTTTTGGTATGTTCAACTTCATGTGTTCCAATTCCCTGGACCGTTTCTCTGCTCAGAACAAAGAGGGGAGTTCTTGAGTGATTTCCATCAAAACATAAACACCTCGAATATTGCAAACCTATAGAAGACAATATTCGCATAGCCTAGCAATGAATAGATTTTGTACTCAATCGAAAATTTCGAACTAAGTAATTAATTGTCATATGATGTCGAATTGAAAGCATGCTGTCAGAAAACTTATTTGAAATGGAGATATCCCTTTGATTAAGAAGGCCTAAACTTTCCATTTTGAGTTGCATTTAAGGATCGGCAAAATCGATTCTGATTCCGATTGAAGTTAGTATGCCTTACTTACTTTTTAAAGCTGAAAATTCGAGTCGTTGACTAGATGCCATTCTGATATGTTCCACTGCAACCTACGGTTGAGTTGAATTGCTTGGGGCTAGTTTCAACTAGCCCCGAAGGAATGTAGATTCGTGCAGTTTTAGCCAAACGGAGGGCAGTTTTAGCTATAAGAAGCACTTCATTGGTGCATTCTCTGCTAGTCTGGGGCTAGCCCCAAAAGGTCAGTCGATAGTTTAAGATAGTTTTTCATCTAGTTTTCAAAAGAAATGCGAGCAGTGGAACCTAAACATATTAGAGAATGGACTTATAAGGAAAATCGAAGCCACAAAATTAGTAAACATGCCAAAATTATAATGGACATCTATTTTATTGAAGTAAATCTAAAATCTATTCTTGAAAATCTTTGGTTGGGTAAGCCCCACTATCCCCAATGCACGAGCCGCCACTGGATGATAGTGAATCGCTGGAAAATTTAGTGTTAAGATAGAACTCTGTAAGTATAAATTGCTCCTCGATAGCTGCACACATAATAAACCATATCTCTGTTTATTTGATTGCAACAAAGATTCTGAAACCAGTCAGACTAAGATTTTTTTCATCCAGTCAGACTAAGATAGTGCCGCGAAAAATTTACCTAAGTTTCATTGCTTTCTCTGACAGAATGAATCAAATAATTTAGATTTAAATTTTTTATTTAGGTATCCTGTGAAGGAAAATCAAACGCTTCTTCTTTTACTCCAATTTATTTTGATCTACCCCTGGACATAAAATTTCAAAATGGCTTTGAAAAAAGCAAACATTTTACAACATATTAAAAGCTTTGTGGTCTGACACTTCTCAGGACTATAATACATAAATTTTGTACCTTCGAGAAATTTTTCACACAACTTTATCTTACATTTTGGTATTTATTTAATGTTTTTGTGCCAGAGTTTGGGATGAAAAATGATTTTTCTACTGTGTTTTCTTCCCATTCCATCTTGATACTTCTCATTCCCAAGATATCCTCATTTCAAAATCAAGATCGCGATTTGCTTGCTTTCATGTTTGTCTCTAAGAAGCAAATGACTAAAGACATGCAAAATTAAGTAAGATATATAGACTTCAATTGATTATTCACAAAAGTAACAGTTTATCTTCTTCAAAGTATACAATCTCAGTTGGACAACCAGGATACCACTTCTGAAACATAGCGTTCTTCATTATTTGTTGGCAATCACCTTTGTTGACTAATGGTATTTGAAAGCCAATCAAACCTTGCCTTGCTGACTTCCACTATGTGTTTCTAATGTTGGTATCCAATACAGGTCGCATTGATCTTGCAGCCATACAAATTCTGTTTTCCTTTGCTCTTCTGATTTTCTCACAATGTGCAATTGATAGACTGACTGAACTTAAATAAAAACTGAACCATGTGAATTTTCATTTTAACAACTAAGGCCACCAAAGCAATGAATTCAGGGTAGATTTATTGTTGCGCATTTATTGAGCCACGTCATTTAGGGCACAAAGTTTCATTTATTGTGCATTGCAACAATCGTCTGGGTGTCACTCACCTTCTATAGGTGTGTTACAAGAGCCCATGGTTTGTGTTTATATATGTTTGTGTTTGTGTTTGATTAATCAGGCTGTGAACGCTCTGTTTAGGTGATGGTTTGTGGACCGATGGACGTAGGGAAATCAACTCTCTGTCGACTGTTACTTAACTACGCAGTTCGGATGGGAAGGCGGCCTATCTATGTAGATTTGGACCTCGGGCAGGTGAGTTGACTTTCGTTGTACTCTCTGGTACTTAATATTGGTTTCATTTTTTGGAAAATGTCACCACCCAATTCACTTTATTTTGGTCCCCTTGCTTTGAGTGACAATTCATAAATACGTTTATGTCAAGCTTAATTACTATGGAATATTCTTTTCAACCAATCTGTGTTCACCTGCATGACTTAATGAAACTTCCTTTGGCTTCTCTACTTTGTTCTCCTTTGTTTGTAGCAACCGAAGACACATTTTGTTTTGGAATCATGTGTTCCACATAATCCTACCCCGTCTATTTTGACCCCCCCCCCCTTTTGATTTTAAGGTAAAGTACCAGCCCTCAGTAGCTGAGTAGGCTTTAAAGTGTACGCTCAGTTTTGTATTGCCAAATGAGATTGAGATTCAGTTGCTGATTGTTAGGGATGTACCGGATATCCGATAGGCCGGATAATCCGGCGCCGGATCGCTGATTTTTTGAAAATCCGGTTCCGGCCGGATTTGTTTCCGAAATCCGGCCAGTTGCCGGATTTTCCAGAACTTTAATCATAACTAAGAAAATTTGGAAAACCAAGTCAGACTCCCTTCATACAATGATTAAAAATGGATTTTCCAGAACTAAACAATATCTACGATAAAACAAGCGCCTTGAAAACAGATTTGAAATGAAAGTGCTCGTCATCACGAAACAGGAAGACTGGATGATATAATTCACAAATTTGATCCAGGGTTGCCAGATCGGCTTTTTAGGCCAAATTGTTCATTTTTGGTTTTTAGATTTAGATTGCCTGAATAGGTCTCTTTGATCTTCTCGCTATACCTTTTTTCGCAAAGTGGCTCAAAACTTTTTATTACTGAAAATTCTATAAATGGTCAGATTATCCGGTAGAATCCGGCCGGATATTCCACGAAGAAATCCGGTAAATCCGGTTCCGGCCGGATTCTGAAAATCCTGATCCGGTACACCCCTACTGATTGTCAGTGTAGAACTCCTTTCATTTAAAGAATATCTGCAATTTGAGAGGCGGTTTTGGTATTAAAACCAGATCAAGCTTTCTCTTTTAATAAAGAAGACTTCTCGCTTCTAAGTACTGTAGTTCACAAAATATTTGAAAGAAAAATCATTAGAATACTACCTTGACAACGAATTGAAGAAACATAAAGTCGATAAGCTATTATACCAAGCTTGTTTTATTAACAGAGAAATTTTCAATAAATTTGGAATACAATTGACATCGGCTTTTTAATCCTGCTGCCTGTGTGGAACTCTTTTGCATTATTTGTATATAAATCTAAAAATTGAGATTGATTTTCATTGGTGTCCAGTGTTCATTATCTCCATTCGTATGCATCGTAATGTTTTTCCCTGAATTAAGTGCGACAATTTCGGAACTAAAAGGATATTAACCAATGCACACTTTTTTAAAAGAATCTACTCTATAAGATTATTAATGCTCAAAGTTGCTCAAATTTAAGAATAATGCCAGGTTCAAGCTTCAGTAAGACTTAAATTTTTTATTTATCTTTGTTTTCTCTCAAAGCAAAACAATTGTCACTTTCAGGCTTTATATATGTTTTGAAATACACACATCTGCTCTGTGAGTAATTGACTCTATATTATGACACAGTGACTAGATTTTTTATTTTAATACCACATTTAATGTTTTGTTCTGTTATTGTTTGAGTTTATGACGAAACAACACATCAAAAATGATTTGAATTTGTTCTTTGATTGTAAGGCGATTTTACACCTTTTGTTTGGCAAGAATAATTTAGGAATAGTCTTGGACTTAAAATTGAATTTTTTCAAGAATATTGAGGCTCGGCAAAAAATTATGTTTTCTTACAAAAAAAGTAGGTAATACTCCATCACCTGCTAGACATGCATCGTAAGAGACAACCTCTTGCTGTCTCTAAATGTTTGTTCATATTCATTTGATCATGTTAAATTGGTCACTGGTCAAACGAATTCGATACTATACCATACCGTATTATATAATATCAAACCATGCCATACCATATCATACTGTAATTTACCGTACAAAACCATACAATACCAAACCATACCACACCCATGCCATCGCATACCACACCAAACCAAACCACACTATTCAACGCCAAATCATACCACACCATACTACACCATTCCTTGCCAAACTATACCACACCATACGGTACCATACCCATGTCATGCAATACGATACAATAACCAGACATGGCTGGTCCAATATATTTAAGGCTGTGGTAGGCTACTATAGGGCACGCTTATGGATAGTACTGATTACAATTAAAAGAATGGTTGCAAATCGTTCTAGAAGTAGAATTTAGAATTGAAAATGAGACGAGATCTGAAAGGCTTGTTAATCAAATTAGCAACAAAAAGGAACACATTTCCAAAGTGAACGCCAAAGAGACATGTTTACCTTATTTGATCAGTGGATGCTCACCTTAAAAGAAAAATCGGTGTCTACGAGGTCGATAATGAGGGCTTTAAACCATTCGTGGTGGGCAATAACCTTTCGACCATAGAATTTTCAAAAATCCCTTTTTTGCACAGAAATGCTTCTACCTTGTAAGGAACTACAGTATTAATGTGATATTTTTCGTATGGTTTTCTACAGAAATTATTTAGATTATTACTTTGGCTATTACCGTTAATACTGGCTATTGCATGTTGCTACACTTGAATAAAAATTATATTGCCCACATATATTATGAAAGCATATTGTCTATGATTTTTCAGGGCTCAATAGCAATACCAGGAACGATAGGTTTGTAAAGGTTTATGTTTAATTACTCGATTTCACATCAATATTTTCTTTTTATAAACTTTTTTTAACGCATCAATATTTGAATTTAAGATTTTACACAATTTCTTTGATTAATAAACACTTAATGAAATTATTTGTTAATATTACATTTTGCTAGTCAAAGTTGAGGTTGATATCTGATTGTATCAAAGGAAATTCTTTAACCAGTTCAAGAATCTAGTATAGTTCTGTTTTGTATCAACACAAGCGTTTTATTCTTATGCTATATAAAATTTCCAGCCTTTGGACTAATCTGCTTAAAGTTATTTTACCTTAAAATACAAAAATAAGTTTTTTTGTACATGTAAAGCTTTTTGTATTCAAATATATTTCATTTGTTTTGTTTTTTATGTTTATTGTAAATGTTATGATTTTTTGACTGAATTAAAAATATTCATTATCAATGAAAACAAAATTATATCTAACAAGACACTGTGGTTTAACGATTCTTGATAGTTGATAGACTGTTGATAGATAAATCAGAAGAGCAAATCAAATGCGTCTTTCTTCCTCTCACATTGCTTTCGATCCACACCTGGATATAAATTAACATCTTACTTTCGGCCTTTATCCGACGTTTATACTCTGTCGCACATAAACTATTTGATTATGCTGTGTTTCCGTTATCTTGCGGCATCTTCAGAGATTGAAATGTTGATATTTGGCAAAGTTTTAAAAAAGGCGTTAATTAACGTCTCTTGTACCTATTTTGGAGACAACAATGTTCCAATTTTATATACCTTTAAAGCTATAGCTAATTTTCATTGCTCGTAGGTGCCCTTCTGGTAGAACGACCTGCAGATGTTGAAGAAGGTATTGGGTTTATCACAAAAATTTTGGTCAATTACCTCTTGTAATAGCAGTTTAAGAAACTGAATTACCAATCTACCTTTAATCAACATGCAAAGTTTCACATTAACATTTTTAAACTTATGCCAAAAAAGTTGGATTAATGTTCCTTTTTCAGTAAAGTGAATATCACTTTCAATCTAGAGTCCCGGGCGATTTTTTTTGTATAAGGTTATTTGTATACCTTTTGAAGTAAAAGTTTGGAGAGGGGTCATCGTCATGTTGAAAATAGAAAGGCTTTTTCTCATTTCTTTTGAAAATAGTAATGATGGTTGGAATTTGAAGATGGCTTAGTGATCGGAAGTTCTAGTTCCTGCCCTGACAAAACTTTATATTAGAATGAGGAGAGTCACCAACCCATTGTAATTCTGGGTGTAGGAATCACGAGGTTTGGTCACATTATCACGAGAGGGTGACCCGGATTCCCTCAATTAGCACAGCTTTGCAGTTTCCTAAAAACTGCCTATGCTCTATGTAGTGACAAATGAAAATACGTTTTTTATATTCTTAAATGGTCACGTTAATACGCATTTATGTGGAACAAATGTAGCAAATCGATCGCAAGTTTCTAGTATAGTTTTATCACATTGACAAACTGAAAGGTCTGTTTCTACAGATTGAACTGCAGTTGAGAAGATCAGTGTGGCAGTTCTTATTGGGAAATTCCTTTTTATCCTTTATCCTGGAAGTGTTTTTCTGTGCCACTTCTCAATAATTGATCTTTTTGTCTCCATGATCCATGTATAGATTTAAATTTAGTCATTTTTTCTTGTATCGTTTCACTGTTGAAGGACGAACAGCTTTTTAGTGCGGTTAAAAATATGTCAGAAAGGTATTCCCTTCATCTTCCAGCTTCATGTCCTCTTTTGTACCTTTATCTCAGATAAATTGTGTTTATTACTCTCATTCATCTAAATAATCAAAGCATTTTATTTGATATAGATTTTTTTCTCATTTCAGGCTTCTCATTACAAACTCCACTAGTTTATCACCATGGTATCAACAATCCAATGGCAAATCTTAAACTTTATTCTTGCCTTGTGGAAGAGGTTTCCAAGAACGTCCATAAACGATTCGAAGAGAAAGAGAAAGGTACGCTGACTTAAACCTCAATGATGATGTTTGTCGTGAACAATTTTATGGGATGTCGTTCTTAGTAGGCCTGTTTGTATCAAAGTCAGTTCTCAAACTTCTTCACGAATGCTGGGTTACAACAAATAAGCGCAAAGAAGTAGCTACTTTTTGCAAGTTGAACTGTTCTTTGTTTTTATTTAAAGGTGTATATCAGACGAATTGAACGGCCAAAGCAACGATTGCTTAATTCTGCGATTGCTTAATCCATTATATTGTAAATTATACTCTATTTTAGCTGCTACTAATTATCAGAGTAATTTAAATATTTAGTAAATGTTAATGTAAATATATGACTTTGTTATGTAGATCAAGTGGGAAAATACTTTTAAAAAAGTTCATGTTTTGAACACCACACGTAGGCTGGACAGAAAGGTCGAAAGGGACGGATGTGGCTCTTGCATATGGGAGAGAAAAGAAAAAATTTTATCTACGAAAATTATTGAATTGAATTTTTTTCTCCGAGGCACATTATCGTTTGGACTTAATGCATTTGCCATGCATAAGTATAGCGAATCCAAAAATAACTCGGTTAGAGCACGCGCATTTGAAAGGAATTTGAAACTACTCACGTGAAACTACTCTAGTGTTTCGCCGATTTGCTGAAAGGCGGAGACTGTTCACATGTTTCTCCTTGTGCGCAATCTGATTGGTCAACCGCTGGGGGTCAGATGGCTGCAAGCCACTTTTACCTGTGTTGAATGCCTTAAAAACACAGATATAAGGGGTTTGCAAGTTACAGTTACAAATGATTTCTGGTAAAAATGTATGAAGATAGGTGTTATATTTAGAGCCGTTCCTATTTCTCTGCCAATAAAACGTTCTTAAATACAAAGTTTTTTATCGAAGAAAGACAGTGTGTATGTTCTTAAAGTCTTAGGTTTCTCTTTGGAGAGATTCACTGTAGATCTTAAGGATAGGTGTGACTGATTGGTTTGCATTTCAAGATAGACGTGTACCGATTTAAAGGCTTGTGCCTGTAACATGAAACTTAATTAATGAAAAGCTCAGTAGCAGAATTATGAACTTAGTTCACTTTTCAAATGTATCTTTGTAGTCATTGCAGCAAATACCTATCCCATGCGTAGGCTGATCTTTGCTCTTCAATCCAGTGTGTCTTGTTTCAATTCTAATTAATCCAGACTTTGTTTATGATTTTCACTCAACAATAAGATGATATTAATCTCCAACCTTTTCAGCTCGTGTGAGTGGCTGCATTGTTAATACTTGTGGATGGGTGACTGGAGAAGGGTTCAGGCTGCTTTTAGATATAGCGAAATCATTTGACGGTTCGTAGATCCATTTCTTTTTTTATGTATAAAAAGTTTACTTAGATGAAATAGTGCTGTGAGCTCAAACCCTCTCTTTGACGCCCGAGCTTATCACAAAGGAGAAATTAGAAATTTGCTGTTTTCTATGGAAGGTTGGACATCCATTACAGCTTCGATTTATGGAGCCCTGATAATTCGAATTTTCTCTCACTCTCGTGTTATCTCAAACTCGCCTTTTAACATCCTTCCATTTGAGTCCCGATTTATCATGATTTACTGAACGTGGATTTTTTATGCTTTTCTGACCTCTTTCAAGCAAGGAATTCTTCAGTACTTATTAAACCCCTTTAGAACTCCTGGACTGTCTATTATGGGTTGCTACTGGCTTAATTTCAATAACTATACTAACTTGCGTGCTTTACAATATAATATGATATAACTAGGAATTTAAGTGAAATTGTACTAGGGAAAAAAACGAATTTACTGACGACGTGTCCTCCTCTAGGAAATATATATCTTCAGCGATTCAAATCTCGACCTTAGTTTTATTTTTAAAACAGATACTTAAATCTCAATATTTACCTTCAATTATTTTGCCAATCTGTCACTAATTTTGCCTACTTCTTGTAAAAAGTCTGTTCTACAAATGTTTCATGAGGAACCGCGTAACTTTTAATAAAAAAGAGAATCTTATTGTGCAGCGTTGACAATGTCTTTGTTTATATAAGTTCAATATTTGCAATTTTCGATAGTTTTGCATTTTCTATTTTTTGTAGTTAATGCTGTTTTGGTGATTGACCAAGAGAAAATTTACAACCAGTTGAAATCAAGACTGCCAGATGCAGTTCAAGTTCTGCATTTACCAAAATCAGGAGGGGTAAGGCTTGTAAAATCGGAAGTATTGGGTTAAATTTTTTACTATTTTTTGAGACAGAGATCGTAGATATTAATTTTTTAAAGGATTAGATCTCACCTTTAAATTATTTATTTGTTTAAGTACAGTATATGAAAGATGTCTTCCAGGCAAAAGTAAGGGCCTGCAAAGGCAGGGGAATACTTGTACTTGCTATGTAAAACAAGCTGAGCTTCCTTTCCGCCCCCCTCTCCGCCCCTCTCTCCGCCGCCCTCACCCCCTCCCCCCCCTCACAAGGGTAAGAGCTTCAAATTTCTTGTAAGCTTTAGCTTTTATGAATAAATTGTTTGGTTTTCATGGATTTTATCTTATTTAAGCATTTAGGGTATTAATTATGAATAGGAAAGTTTCTAATGAGAGCAGTTTAGGCTGTGTATAAGACTTCCTATAACGATAAATATATTTGGTTTTGTTATCATCTCCAGAGATGTCTGTATGCGTTCCATATTTCTCCTTTTTATATGTTCTGATTCAAAATATTTTTGGCCTTTTTTGCCTATTTATTGTAGAAAATTTGATTGGTAAACTTTCATTTTTATCGTGTCATGTAAACGATTGAGAATTAAACTTTTAACAGAAGAAAAATCTGTATTTCCTAGGTCGTTGAAAGAAGTAAGGACGTACGAAGACAAAAAAGAGATGAAAAAGTGCGAGAATACTTTTATGGCGGCAGAACACCGTTGTACCCTCATGTTTTCGATGTTAATTTTGCAGATATCAAAATTTATAAAATTGGAGGTAAGTGATATAATTTCTTGCGAAGATGCAAATTTTGAAAGATTCTTTTATTTTTCGTTGGTTCTGTTTAAAGCAAAAAAATATTAAATTTTTTTAGAAATTTCAAACTTTATTCATGCACCAAATCATATTACGAAAACAACTGTGTCCGTCAGATGAAATGTCCACAGTTCCCTTTCCTTTGTCACCTTTTTTAAACCCTTAACATGGTCCATGCATCAGTGGAAACGGCATTACAAGAATTCTGCTAATGTCAGAAGGAAAATTCAAAGGATTCTGTGAATCTTGCAATGAGTGATTTGAAAAAAGTAAAGCGCCGGAAGAAAGCAAAACGACGACGAGAATCCGATGTATTGTTGAAAAGAATATTTAACAGAGATAAAAGAATGCTCAGAAACTGATTGTAACAAACCTTTTTTTAATCTTATATCGTGTTTTTTGCTGTTCACCCGCCCAGTATTGCAGCAAGAATTTCTCTTATCTGTGTTGGAAAGCTTAAATATTTTATGTTTCTTGTATTATGTAGGTTTTTGTTGATATCTTGCAGCACCATCTGTGCCAGATTCCTGTTTGCCTCTTGGTATGGAACCAGAGATTAACGAGCTTAAAACAGTCCTTGTCCATCCAAGTAAGTCATTCTAGAATTTACAATTACCGCTGGTAAATTGAAGCCACAATGTGGAGTGAACAGTAATATATAATACAAGTTTAAATAGCTCACTACTGTGTTGGATTTATAATTTCCTAAAGCAAGCCTCATAGAAATTTATTTTCGGAAATTGTTAAACTTTGACCACATGATACAATATACAACAGATTCTAACTCCTGAAATTTCAAGACTACAGATGTAAGGCTTGGTTCATAAATTTCCAGAAAAAGCCAGTCTTGATAGGGAAGGAGTCTCTGCTAGTTGTTTTAATATCTTTGCTGATTTTAGATGGACTCATTTCTTTCTTCAATGCTCTTTCAGATTTTATGGTGATATTCACAAACATTACGAAAACAGTATTTTATGGCGTCCACACTTTATTCCGTTGGTTGTGTGCTCCAATACCACAAAGAAATAGTCCTTAATGCAAAATCTCTACGTCAGGAACAATTTTGCAGTAATGACAGTCCCATTTTGCCATCAGGCGGTCACAATCCAATTAGCAAAACCAGAAATTTAATGCTTTTTCGTATCGTATTAATTTTATTATATGACCTACTTAAAAAGTCAGTAATTTCTAAAATACAATTTGATTGTGGTTCAAAAGTTACACGTTCTTTTTAAATGTCATTGATGTCAACTTAACTCGACTCGAGTTTGGTTCCTAGCAATAAGCAATAACAAACTTGTTTTCTGAATATTTTTCATGCTCACCCTATGAAACCTTTAAGAGAAAAGAACATTTTGTAGCAGAATTTAATTTGACGGAGGAGTGCGTTGTTCTAGTAGCTAAAAGCACCCAATTACCATCAGCTAATTCCTCGACCAATAGAGGCGATTGGTGTTAATCGTTTGGTTGTAACCTTGCCTTATTTCCAATCTAACTCATTTATATGTCTTACCCATAACAATTACGACATTACTGCTGGATTATGCCATTTAAATTGTTAATTGATTTGCTTCCTAGACTGAATGAATACGTATGTTCTTTGTTAACTTAAGCTTAATATTTGATTGAGTCATATTTTTGATGATTCAGCTTGATTGTTTGTTATTTGCAGGTCGTGATTTGCTTCACTGTGTTTGCTCTGTCAGCACTGCCATTTCTGAACAAGATGCTGTTACCTCAAATGTTGCAGGCTTCATCGTAATGTAAGAGTCTTCCCTTTGGTATATTTTTGCTAATTATTTGCTTTGTTGAACAGATACCTGAGTACGTCACACCTGCTTGCATCATCACTGTAATCAGGACAGACGGTGTTGAGATTCATACCTCCGTCTCTTCAGTTCAATGTCAATATTTCTGCTACTAAGATACAAATTTCTGCTACGCCCTTTTTGCAAATTTTTCACCATCATTTGATTCATGTTAGCTACGGTAAATAGCAAAGCATTTTACAATTGTTATTGACACAAGCATACAGTATACTACCACCCCCCCCCTCCCCCTCCCTATGAGTTTAAGATATAAACCACCAGTCGCTCTAAAAAGGTGGACAGCGAGCAGGCAGTATAGATCTTCAGTAGATGGATCTATACTGCCTTGAAAAGTAAATAGGATATTTTTGTAAGTAGCACACAACGGTTTCCGGACAATATTCAAGCAAAAAGCCATCCAACCTTGGATGTCAAGTGGGTTACCTTCAATCGCCATCTTCAACTTCCATGCTTCACCCCAAGCTTCAATAATCTACCTGCTATATGAAATTTCTTTCTTATATTATTCATTTTTCAAATTATCTAGTAGAGAAAATTGTTAAGCATTCACAAGTATTTATAAACAATGTTTTTATTTTAGAACAAATGTTGATATGGAAAATCAGACCTTTACCATATTATCTCCAGCACCAAGACCGCTGCCTTACAAAATTCTTCTGCTAAGTACTATTAAATTTATGGATTTAAAGTAATCGAGTGTCCGCCATTTTGTGATGTCATTCGATGGCTTAGCCTCAACTCGTGCCATTTCGCAGTATTTGCTGGTCTCACTATTGCAGACTAAAGTTAAAGGCCTAGTATTGAACACCATGGTTGCTTTAAAAGAGTCTTTGTATGACTTTTAAGGCTGTACTGTCAGGTTTGCATGTGTATTACATAGCCTTGTGGTTTCCATGGCAACAATAAACGTAAAAATATTGCTCTTAAAAGTTAAAATGAAAGGTTTTAAAGTTGGGTTTTTAAAATAGAGAGTTAGAATAGCTGTATCCCAAAACAGTTTAATGCGGTATCATATCAGCTGTGTTGTGACTTATCTAGAAAATCCTTTCATAGTTGTTGGATCACAGTGTCCTAGCCAATGATGTTTCATAAGCGTGCTCGTCAGGAATTGTTGGCTTTTGCTCCCAGTTGCTACTACTACGCAAAGGGCTGCGATACTTCTGTGTCAGCTTCATCGTTCCACTATCTCGATCAATGACAAAATTTTATATATTTTCCGTTTTCATGTTCTTCAAAATTTTTCGCATCGGGCTTGATTATTTCTCAAAGATCAGCTAAGAATTTTGTAGTTGCAACTTGTAGTTATCTTTAAGCGACGATAGCATAGAAAATAAGAATACAAGGTTTTTTCAGCCGTAGAGGATTTAGCTATAAATGCTTTGTTTTGCAAACATTGGGGGCTTTTTGCGACCCCGTGTTATAGATGTGACTGATCATTTGGTCGGATGAAAGGGTCCAGTTATCAATCGTTACGTGTGTATGTAAATGACTATGAACCTCTTGAAGAAATGTCAAGTAGATCATCCAAGAAAGGACTGAAAATGTCACGGATTATTCTAGGAAGTATTTATGTAACATTGGCTCTGTCACCGTGACACCCTAAATTGTGATAAGAAAAGGAATATTTTAAGATCTCGTCAAAAACATGTAAATAAGAAGTAAGACTTTTCGAGTTGTGTTATGTTTTGATTTGTTTAAATCGCTATGAAACAGCTACAATACCTTAGGCTGAGGTAGAACATATGGACAAAAAATGATTAGATCTCGTATTTGTTGCGTGATATCGTTGTATCTATTACTAAAGATGCTCGGCAATTTGAAGACTATTTTCTGATCAAAGAAATGCTTGTAAAATATATTTTTAATTGTAATATTGTCAATTGTAAGACTGCTTCTACATATTCTGCATAATCTCATTTTTCTATTAAGACACGATTGGTTGTTTCTACTATCATACCCCTATTTTTCAGCCACACGCAGCGTCTCTTTGGCATTTGTTCAATAAAGTTTGTTATGAGGTGCATTTCCAATCTTGATCCGTCAACAATCTTGGTATATTCTCAATTTTTCAATGTTCAATCTGCAGTCTGTAGCATCTTTCAATGTGTCTGCTGTTTTGTTAATTATCTCCAACAACACCCGAATCTAGTTCGTTAATTTTAACTTTGCTTTAACCAGATTATTGGTTCTTTTCACCTGTTGCCTTTGCTTTAACAATGTTAGTGATAAAAACAGACTTTCCTGCTCCAACGTTAGCCCCGTTGAATCTGCTGATCATTCCTTCATTATCTCTTATGCTATCTTTTTATCTGATGTCTAATAACTCTTGCATTTTGTCAATGTATTCAGTCATCTTCTTGGAACCCATTTAGTGATTTCTGGATTGCCGAATTCCTCTCTGGCAGAATGTAACACGTGTTGCGGCCTGCTGATAAAGTCAGCATTCCGTTTCAAAAGGTTATTGATGTTTATGAGCTCATCCTACTCTGTCTTGTGTTCCAAAACTTGATCTCGAAGGGCCATCCCTCCGCCTCCTGGCACAGAGCCCTCAGATGTCTAGGCCCATTCATGATCAAAATCCACGGCTAAGAGTTACCCACTCAACCTCTCTTTTCTAAAGCACTTTTCTTTTTGCTTCAAATCATTTAATGCTAGATTACTTTATCTTGAGTTGATTATATAGAAAGATTAACAAATTGCTAGTGCACGCTGCATTAGATTGGCGCGTTTTTGCATATCTCTGTTATCTAATTTCTTGTCTCCGTATGGCTTTGGGTAGTTTCCAGTTCAGGAGCACAATCGTTTGCCAAAAATTTTTCTTTCTTTACTCGCAAAGCATCCTCCAGTGGAATTTCAGTTTGCTATTGCGATAAATTTTTCAATATTGTACTTTTTATTCTAATCTGAACAAGTATTTTCTACTTAGTTTTGTGGCATTTCTTTTCCGTAACTGCACAATAACAGCTCGCCTGTAAATATAACACTGGGTCCCGAGACCGACTTGAAGCTGTGAGCTTGGTTTATATGGTGCTGATGCTTAGGCCCGTCGTAGATCAAAGTGCCATCCACGTAACATTCTAAACTGATATCTTAAGTAAAGCATCTTCTTAGGCTGGTTTGTGAAACTGTGGTTGTGAACTACTGTTGGAGAGACAAAGTAAATTACAATACAGAAAAGGTGTTCTGAATATCACTAGGACATGAATAATAGACACTGTATGATGGTTTAAAGACACTTTCTGAGAGAGTCATATTTTACCCAGAAATATAAAGCTAAATTGTGACGTAACATTAATTCTTTCATCGTGACGCTAGATTCATACTGCTACTATATATTTAATACTGCTGCGTCTTGGGCAAAGATTCATTTGTGAATTTAGCTTTGGTAGGAAACATGTCTGGTACGTGCAGTGATAATTTACAGAATTTTGCAATGAATCACATTTCAGATGACATTCTACTGTTGATTTTCTCCTTCTTCAATAAGAAGGAGTTGTGTGAAGCAGCCAAAGTAAACAAACGATGGCATAGAGTCTCCTGTGATCCAAGTTTATGGAAAGACCTGAATTTGCAGCGAATTGTGTCTGGCCACAGCTCGGATTTCCTTAACCCAATGGTAACCTCCAGATTGTCATCTCTAAGAAATGTTCATTTTGGTCCAATGCATATCAAATTTAGGACACTGAAATCAGTTCTAGTTAGATGCAAGAAGCTTGAAACTATCATTTTCGGACGTGGAAGCAGAGTGCAGAAACATGCCAAAAGGAAAGCAATGATCATTCCACAAAACATACAGACATTGGATATGCGTCTTGCCAAAGGCAACTTTGAGTTTCTCCTCGCAAGCGGACCACGTTTCCAGTCTCTTGTCAACTTTGGGATCGGACGCGACTCGTATACGCACAACTTTTTCCCTCATCTGTTTTGCCAGGCAACAAATCTTAAGATTTTGGACCTAACAAATTGTGACTCCTTGGTTGATGACCAACTCTATGATGTATTCACGCGGTGTACATTATTGGAGTCTTTATGCCTGATTGGTTGTCGGAAGCTCACCGGAACATTCTTGCCGAATCTGGCAAGGACCTGTCGCCGACTACAGACACTTCTGATCCGTTATATGCCTATTACAGACAGTGTACTTTGCTCATGTGAATGGGACTTGCTTCCGCTGGAAGAGATCGATATATCAGCTTGTCCCGAGATCACATGGATGGGATTATCCTCATTCATTCCAAAATTGAATTGCATACGTTACCTGAACATGTCCTACTGTGGAATCGGACATGCAGTTACCGATGCGATACTGACACAACTTCTTGTTCGCGGTATAGCATCTAAGATAGAGATGCTTGATCTTCGCTGGAGTTTTCTTGTCTCTGCACATGTGCTTCGCGAATTTCTGTCCAGTTGTAAAAATCTACAGTATTTAGGAATCTATCAGTCGAACGGAGTGAATTCAAGTGTCGTTTCGGATGTTGCCAAGAACCTCCCCCGACTTAAGACGATCGAATTTGGTGGCCTAAAGCAGGAAATTTTAACATCAAGTCATATGCTTCAAAGTCTGCGAGAGAATTGCAAGCAGTTATCAGTCCTATCGTTAATAAACTTTTGCACGATAAGTGCACCTTGTGATGAGCGACAATTTGAGGAACTTATAAAGACTGCCAAGAATTTAGAACGTATTAATCTTTGTGACTGCAGTGAGGAGCTCGTAGCGGCCGCAAGAACAGGTGCTCTAAATACGCAAGTCAATGTGACTGAACGGTGGGAATGTGCACTTCCTCCTCCCGTGCATACACTCGACTTTGTAACACGATGCTAACATTAGTTTTTCGCTTTTATCTTTGTTGAATTATTTGAAGAATTCTTTTAGACGATATAATTTTGCATTGTTTCTTCTCCCGCAAACTCCTAACATTATACTAAACTAGTCCTCTTCTTCCTATCGACGATAATACGGCTCTGTCTACAGAGCATCTAGCACTGTGACAAAGCGGTTTGCAATAATCATCGTTACTTCACAGATTTAATTTACTTTGCTCGTCGACCATGTGAGCAGTGGCGTAACCGACAAAGGTTCGGGTTAGAGAAACTCCTAAGGGCCCCCAAGCCTTTGGCGCCCCCAAAAATTTTCAATAAACAGGCCTTTTTGCATTATTTTATGTGAAAATAGATTTAAAAAGTTAATATTCTCCCGTTAACAGGCTGCACGATGCCTTTTTTCTTTTAACTTCTTAAAAACCACCGCTGTATCTTAAATCCTGATGTTTTCCTTTCGATGAAGTGGGAGTAATCCAGACCTTGGATAAGAGGCCAAGGATATGGTGCAAAAGTCATGAATGGAATACATGCTGGTGTGCAAACATTGATAAAGAATATGGTTGTTAGCCCTGTTCTATTTGTTCATTGTGCCAGCCATAACTTGAATCTGGTCATTATTGACTCAGGGGGGGAGGGGGCAGTACCAGAGAATGATGATTTCTTTGGGACATTGAAGAAGTTTTTAACTTTTTCGCTTTAACATATTGGGTGATAGATATCCACATATTATGACAGTTTTAACTCGCATTACCGACATCAAAAAACAAAAATGAGCGAGATGATGCAAAGAGACTCAGAGAAAGGATGGATTCTTATGAATTCGTTCTTTTTATTATTATTTGGGAACGAATTCTACAGGCATTCGGCACAACTTCTCGTGAATTGCAATCCCCAAAATTGACTGAACTGATGAATCTCGATTGATATGTTGCTCATTTTCGCGAGTCCTGGGACTCTGTTAAGCAAACTATGTCTGCTTTAGCTAGTGCTTGGCACACAGTAGTTGATTTCATGCCAAAAACTAGAAGTAGAAGGAGCAAACGCTATTAGAGCATTTGAAGACAATATTTTCATTCCCCCAGAACAATTAATCAAAATCAATGTGTTTCTTGAAACTGTCGATACTGATTTGATGCAGCTGAAAGAAAGATTTTGTGGCCAAGATCTGGTTACTCCAACGTACGATATTTTTCCAAACCGTCTCGAAAGAGCCACCAACAAAGACAAACAATGTATCCCAAAGATTTTACAGAAGACTTAGAATCAGAGCTACGGGCATTCGCTAACAGGTTTCGCGTGGAAATAAAAGAGAAATGGACAGCTGTAGACAAGTCTACAAAGCTCTTTTTCTTTTCGCCACAATTCCTGTCCCATATTGATTGTCTTGAAAAAAATTCATCGTGAAAGGGCCCCCAGGCAAAATATTCCTAAGGGCCCCAAACTGCTCCGTTACGCCACTGCATGTGAGCAAAAAAACCTTTTTAACAATTTGGTTAGATATGGCTTATTTTTTCTTTTTTTGATTACGTACATATTTCAAGCAGGAAATTTGACGTCATTGACAAAAGAATGTTTAAGGGCAGAAACCTTAATCGGAGAGACTAAATAACTGCGCGGAAAGCTGGAACCAAATGTATCGATATTTCACTCAAAATGAGCATTCGGCTCTCTTTGGTGGCCTCTAAAAGACTTGTAAACGGAATAATAAGATAAACTTTAAGCTACTGGTTGATTTTGGCTCACAGGAGATAACCTCCAATTCTTATCTGCTACTATCAGCACATGCCGAAGTTTATAAAGATTTTGTCCAGCGGTCACATGACTGAATCATAGCCGCCATGATGGATTATTCCCTCGCTACTCAGGGCAATATGTTACATCTGTCATATCGCTTATTAATAAAGGATCTTTGCTTTCTTTTGCTACATTAATTTTGGAAACTTAATCTTTCTTAGTTTTTTTCTGAAAAATATTAGGATACATTGAGCAGATAATTATAAAATAGTATGATATGTTTCTTTGTTACATTGTGTGCTTTGTAAAAATGTTTTATTTTTTTTTTAAATCGTTATTTATTTGAAAGCACAGACGTTTCGGTAGAGAGACAAAAAAAATAATTTTGCCAGCGCTGATTCTAATGCTATCGCTGAGTAAAAATCCAAAAAAATGTGTCCAAGGATGGATTTTAGTGACAAGGTTGGGACTTTGTTTCAGAAAATGATCGGATTTGGGTACCACACCCTTATAGTGCCTGGGAAATCGCGGAAACGCCTATTTTAAAGTTACATTCGAACTATAAGATAAGAAAAAAGATGAAATCTTCCGCCATTTTATTACTACTGACTACCAACAATCTACAAAATATTCGAAGGTGTTTCGCAGCCCTACATCTCGTCCCTTAATGTGTCAGTTGCTTTTTTTACCTAGAGTATGCATATACTGTGGTGTTTGACCCCATTTAATTTCAAATACGTTAAAAATAATTTAGTTGATTGTTGTATTTTCACGTTTGGTAATACAGCGGGACAAAAAGCAATTAGACGATGAGGAGGGTACACCCCCATACTTGACCTTACATGGTGTGTCACGGTACAGGGTATCCTTTGATAATTTTAGTGGGACAGGGTACAATGACTCGCATTTAAGTACTGGGGTGGGAAACATCATTTAGTAGTGTACTCTTAAAAGTGTACTCAAGAGTTTTTTGGAAGTGTGACATAACGACAAAGTTTGCTAGCAAGAACTATTTATAGAAAGGGTATATATATATATCTTGTAGTACAGGTCTAGGAACTCTCCACACCATAGTGTAAAGTTTCTTTATTTTCGGCACTTTTAATTCAGTTTCTGTAAACCACGCTATAGCAGCGATATAAGACTTGAACTTGAAATATGAGGACTTGAAATATTCTTTCGCAATTGCACTAGCAAACATTGATCCCAGATGGGAGCCTGAAGGCATCCAAAGCAAGTTCGTTCTTTGTGGGCTTTTTTAGAATGATTCTTGTGCCTTGTTTGTGCTGACCACAACAAGATTTTTAAGCATTAATAACTAGATGAAATCGTTTGAAAAATAGAGAAATAAGTTGAAATCTTGGAATAATCTGGAAACATGCTATCCTCCTGGCAGAAGAAACTAAGCCTTTGCTTGTGCGAAACTTTTCGTCCTGAGAATTATCTCCTTTTGAATATTCGCCTATGTTACAAGATTATATTTTCGTGCAAGTGCATAGAAGTCGATATTTAGGCTGTGAATAGAAATACTTAACATGTTATTTGAAGAACGATCGAACAAGCTGATTACAAGTTGTTCGAATGTCATTGAATGTCCTGAAGCAAGGTTGCTAGACTGTCCGCAAATCGGCCTTGATCTGCCTGAGACAACAACTATTCAAAACTTGCCATCTTGCAATCTGCATAAAATTGCGTAACTTTTCGTTGGCGATCGCCAAAAAGTTCAACCAAATTGAACTACTGAAACACAGCGACCAGCACGTAGGTGTAAAATAATCATGTGCGCATGTTCGCTGGTCGCTGACTTTCGCCGAGTTTCGCTCTAATAGAGTTTAGGCTTTACCCTTTTTTTCTCAGAAAGGGTTTTGGGGTTTTTGTTCATTGGCTTGATACCGAACGAACACTTCTTTAGAGTGATTCACTGTTGATTGGTAAGAGAGCAACCATCTGTGTTTTCTTATGTTTGTCCTTACCTTACCAGTGATTTGATTGGGTTATAGAGCCTTCAGTTACCACAACTCTCTTCCTGTATTCGCTCATTCCAGCTGTGAACTTTGTTATTTTCATTTCAGGCTCTTATCTAAGTCTAAACAAAGAAGTGAAAATTGGTTTACAGGCTTAAAAGGCAGCTTAAATTTTAATGTCGTTACCGTTGCATTTCTTTTAATTGCAAATCTTTCAAAGAAAATCAATTCACTAGTTTCACAAAGGCTTGTCAATAAACATGTGATTGGTATTTTGTGTTTTGATTGGCCAACGACTCCTATTTGTTGGAAAGAAGAGTCTAGATTCCTATTGTCTAGGGCTTTTTTCTGCCCGTTTGTCTTAGCCATTCTCGTTCTTTCATGACATCCTATTTTCTAATTTTTCTTCCTCTTCAATTCAAAACAGACTCATTCTCATAAGAGACACAAATGTTCCTACTACATAATAAATTAAATGATGTAAAAATGATGTCATCAATTCCTTTTCTTCTGACTTTCCCTTGCCAATTAGGCCCCAAGATTCTTTTATTCTGAATGTTTACCACGCCAATCAATTGAATTTGTGGTTTTACCTGTATTCTAGTCCCTATTTTTACGCGTAAAAGCACAGTAATAAACTGCAAGTGACGTTCTGCGGTGAAATGTCATCACAACATATTTTTGATATCTAAACCAGATGAGTTAAAACCAAAGAACCTGAAAGAGCCTAATGATATCTTGAAAGCCAGGCAAATGAGTTAGAAATTGGCTGAGATATGGCCATATGAGCAAGCTCTTTCTTTTTCAAATCACGGCAATTTGACCTTTTTTCTAAACATTATGAGCCAAGCCAAAAAAACCATTAGCAAACTGGTAATCTTTTTAAAAATTTCTTTTATAACTTTTTAAAAATGGATTTTTATGCTATCACATTTAAGAACTTTATGTATGACGTCAATTGTGACGCTTTCCAATGCGGTTTCCTGATAATGGCAGAGCGTAAAAATCGGAGTCATATCTTAAAACCTATCCTGTCCTACGCGGCAAAGCATGCAGTTTCCGTGTACATGGGCCTTAGACATATTGAGTTAGTTCAATTCCTGTGTGTAATATTGTTTGAAAATGTCAATGCAACAATCTTTTTTCCTCTGTCTATAAAGTATTGCAGCACTGCCCGATTTCAGCTGCCCTGCCCATCAAACTCAAGTAGAGACGCGTTCATTTCTTCATTTCAATTTGAATTAAGCTCAGAAGTTAATGTACAATATATTATAATGAAAGCACTACACAACAAATGAATTCCTTTTTTCGTTCTTTTTGTCTTTCTTCTCATTTTTTGCAAAACCTAAACAAGGAAACATCAAGAGTGCAAATAGTAAGATTTTTGTTTAATTTGACCTTTGTTAATGTTTGGGACGTTTGTGAGATGTGGCTAAATGTACCATTTTATTTAATGTAAAAGTTGGTTACAAGTGTAATTGACGTTCAAGAGTCACGTTGTTTTTACGTGCAAAAACCTGCTTAACGACTTTCAGGTGTAAAACATAATCGTATTCAAATTGTTGTGAGGAGCGAAAAATAAGCGAATTCACCGTTATCTACAGGTGCTCACAGCCAAAGACCTCAAATGATTCAATCACTATTAGCAATCTATTAATAATATATTATGTGGCTGTTTCTTCTTTTCATGTTAAGTTATGGTTGTTGGTAGCAACTTGTCGAAAAATATTGTAAACTGGTGATATTTCAGGCCAGATATCGTAAAAGGAGTAGATAAGTAGACTTGAGTTTTTTTGCTAACCAGAAAAGTCTACGGACTAGTCACAATAATTGCAAAGAAGCTAAATTCTAGCATTATCTTTGTTGCTGTGTTTCGGAATGTAAACATGGACTGGGCGTCGCAGCACAGACAGTGGTAGATGTTCTGAAGAAACTCAACAAGAAACAATTCTTTTTGTATTCACAATTCAGTTTTGTCGCTTAACACACGGACATTAGCACACAAAATGATGTTCTAGTTCAATATTCATATTGGTTTCTGAAACACGAAGTTTGTATCGTTTGATATTTCCTTTGCTTCAAACCGGTTTCATTCAAACGTCCCCAGGATGGCGCAAGAACTGATGCCAGTGCCTGGCTCAACACAGAAACGGCAGCAGTACAATTGGATGCCAAATATCAAGATTTCAGAACTTCTTGATTACGCAGTCAGCAAAAGGTCTTACACTCCTAGTTTGGGTTCAAGGAGACCGAGTGACCGCGCCAATACGGACAGTGCCGTGTCAGATCAATCTCACCAATTGCTGCTTCGTAAAAGTCCTGTAAACACTCCGTGGACCCAGTCTTACAGGGGACATAAAAAAGTGCCATCCATCAGGCAGAAGCCAGCATCTTCCACATTGGCTGATGTAGAGAAAAAGCTTGCGTCACTTGTTTTAAAGCATACGGACGATGAGATTTATAGGCGGAATTTCATAGAAGAAAATGCAAGTAGCGACATTGCAAATGAACAAACAGCCACTGACAATGAGACAGTTAACACTGGTGTTAAAGAGCAGTTGCCTTTGCCTGTTGTCAAAAAGCAAGTTTGTCAGATCAGGACTATTTATAAGCCAGCAAGGCAAGTGAAATATCCATCCAAAAGCAGTAGAAGACATAGGTTCTGTTTATCAAAATACCCTCATTCAAGGAAAAATCAGAAGAGGTATTACGTAAAAGAGGCTGATGAAATTCAACATGAGGTTACTGTTGATCAACAAGGCCTCAAAGAAGCCTGGGAGTTTTACGTTCTGGGAAAGCTTAGCGACGAAACTCAGTGCTTTATCAATCACAGATTTGATGGTAAAGAAAAGCCAAAGGAGAAGTTAGTTGATTTCTTGGATGCAGGGTATAGAGATAAAGACAGGTCTGACTACATGATGAAAAGAAAACGAAGATTATTCGATATGCAATACAAGCACGATGAATTCCCAGGAGCTTCTACGCACTTATGATTTCCAGTCAATCTGATGATGGATGATATTGCCTGGTCCTCGATGGTGGCATATGCTGCAACTGTTTTGGATTCCTCTGATATTATTTCATAACAAGTTCGTAAAGCTGTATTATGACATAGTGCATTTAAGAACAGGGGGTGTTTTTTTTACTGCACTTGGAGAATAGAGAGACTGTGTTTTTCTATGTTTAGCTTGTTACAAAAAACGTTGAATGAGCAGCAGTATGATTGAGTTATTTTGACAATAGCTCATCGCTAGTAATGTTTCACTATGGCTCATCGTTATTATTATATTGCTAGTAATGTTTTACTATGGCTCATCATCTCAGAAATGAAGGGCCTTGTCCCCTCCACTAGGCAAAAGGGCACCGATAGCATTACCGTAATTTTATAGTGTCATTTGACTTTGGAACATCTTGGCTGAAGGGTGAAAAGTGGCATATACTTGACACGTTTGGACAACAGAAATTTTGTTCAATAGTTTTGGTCCCTTCTTTTCTAGTTAACTTGATAATTTATGTTAGATTCCTATAAATAATATCGTCGTCTTTGAAATTATCAATTGTATGTGATGTTTAAATAGCTTTCTTTGAGTGCAGCGTTTTGTTAAGATACTTATTAACCCTATGGTTTCATAAAAGGTTCTATATGCAAAGTACTCAAAACTTCGATCTAGCTCATAAGTGCTCATGAAACTTTGATTTAGCAAGTTTGAATTGTATCTGTCTAAATAATATATGTTGCCACAGTTTGTTTAAAAAGAAAATATTAAACTTTCATGAATCCTTCTGAACCGTTTTATGCAAATTTTTCGTCTAAACGATTCTATTTTTCGTAAATGATTCTATTGTCATCTATTACTGCTTTTGATAAAATTTTCTGCTGGTTTCCGAACAACAGATGACGTTTTCTGTAGAATCTTTTTTAATGCCAGCGAAAACTTTCTGATATTGTGGGGTAGTTTGAAAAAAGCAAACATTTGTCATATTCAAATTTTGTACTATAAAAAAAATGTTTACAGTGAAGATATATTGCCGGAAGGAACGGGTTGGCTTGGTAGACTGAGGTTGGCTGTTATTGTAAAAATAGCGTCCTTTTCCGAAGTTGTAGTCTTCCATCGGAAATATTATTGCTTAATCATTTAATTGCTGTGAGCAAAATTGGATTTCCGCCATTGATGTGGAAAGATAATCAAACTTTGCCATATACCATGCTGTTTAAAAAGTTATTGAAGACATCTAAAAATAAAAGTCTATCTAGCTTTTACTGAAAAATCTGTAAACAAAAACATCACAACTCATTTTTCAACCCCTAGTGCTAAGCTATTGATACTGTAAACCATGAGATATTCTCGAATAAACTCTTGAATCACAGGGCTTTAAACATAACTGCTTTGCTTCTTATGTAAACGTCAGCTTTTTACTGCAAAGTAAATCAGGAAACCACACCACCAGGGGCCGAAACTTTTATGCGAAGCAATAATTTCAAAGTTGTAAAAAAAGGTGAAAGAAGCCTTTGCCCCTATTTCTTCAGCCTTGGTCCCACTTTCAAACTAGTGGCGTGGACCCTGTAAATGGTGCACCATCGATCATAAAATGTATTGCAAGTGATGTCCCTCCAGGCTCCTTCCTTGGCTCCCTTTTGTTTTTTATATGTCTCCCTCTTTTCACTGAAAATACATTGTGGTATTATTTACGCCCACGAAGCTTAAAAAAACTCGAGAATGTATCAATTTTTACCAAGTTGTGTAGACAAGAATGGTTATAGAACAAGGAACTTGCCACTGAACATCATCAAAACTTGGATCCTTGTCGTTGAACCGTCCCTCCCCCACCCCACCCCCCCTCCCTTCAATATGACTTTCGTTTGTACGACAATAAATTGTTTCTTGCAACGAACAACAACGTGTCAGAAATAATTCCTTTATCGTGGTAGTAGAGTTACCCTGGGTACCAGACTCACTATGTATAAAATAAAATAGTGGGTCTATAAAATCTATTATTTTCCTGCTACCCAGGGTATAGTAGAGTGAGGTTGAAATTAAGCCTTCTAGAATGGCTAAAAAGCATCTCCCAGACAAAAATTGTCTCTGTTTTGTCAAATTCCTTGGGATTAATCTTCTTATGGGATGTTTCTGAAAATCCTCCTCTAGATCAACGGAAAAATTAAACTGCAGAACCTTTTAATATCTTTGAATGTTTTTAAAAATTTCATGAAGGACAATTTTTGGTCTGAAAATTTAAAAAAGATTAACTACCCGTCAAAATCCCAATTTTACCGACTAAAATTACAATTTTACCGACAAAAACAAACATGTCTATTCTTGGGGGTGTTACACCCTCACATCCCCATGTGACCGACCCTGTAGGTCGGCATGTAAAACGGTGAAATATTTACTGAAGTATATAAGCCTGAGTGAATAATATTAAGAAAACCAACACTTCGGTATGAAGGCTTACACACTTGCTGACAGTGGGTGACAAAATGATAGACTACATGGCTGCAGACCAACCCCCTGTTTATTTTGACAAACTTTTCCGTAAATGTTTTTATTGAAATTCTCAAAACACTAGTTTCAAGTAGTTCCTTCATGAAAAATCGAGCCCCGTCGTCAAACCTTAGCTACGCGATTGACCGGGGGTCCTTGCAGATTTGGCTCTTTCACTGAAGGTGTTGCAACTTTGTTCATTGATTTGTAGCAGAGCAGGTGCCCGTCAAGAGAAAATAGCCTTTATGACAAAGAAAAACTGAGTCAGGCTGAATTTTTAACTTATGATTTCTATGCCTGGCATTTCCTTTCCTCCCCCGCATACCAGTACGCGGCCGCGCAGCGATGCCCTGGAAGGTATCAATGGTCAGAACTTTTTCACGAAAAATTAAACACTCCAGGAAAAAAATTTAGATCTAGATATTTTGTAAACATGTACTTATTGACTTTAAATTAGGATACAGTAAAGTCGAGAATTTGATCAATGAAGGATAAGTTAAATTATGCATTTCATTCAGGTTTACTCCGTGGCTATTTTAAGTAACTCTGAAGTCTACAATAATTTTTATTGCTTATTTTTAACTCAGCTTTTATACTTCAATTAAAAAATGACAAAGGGCGGCCATCAGGGGCAGGGAACTGAAAACCCCCAAATAGTCCCCGTTTCCCTGAAGCCGGAACAACTTTCCCAGAAAAAATCAGTTGAATTGAATTTGACGGGACGGGACTTGTCCTCTTCCTCATTTGACTTGACAGCCTGTTGAAAGAAAGTCGGAGTGAACCTTGTTGAATTACTGTTGATCGTTGGCTCATTGAGATTTGCTCAAATTAAACAAGTGCTAGGCCGTCATCAAAATGAAATTCTGAAGAGGATCAGTGGCAAATCGGGACATTTCACTCGTTAGGAGGAACCTCGACCATTGCTCTGCATCGCAATCATTCGGCCTCAACAAGACCTTTGCTTGACTGCCGAAATCGTAGCAATTACGTGATTTAAAATACTTGGAAAGTTAGGACCACGTTTTAACAGATTCGATATGCAACGCGGTACATCTTTGATGAGCAAACTTGCAGGCAAACCAAAATACGAAGGTAATTCTATTTGTTTGCCCTGCACTAAGCGATCTTCGATCTTTTTCACTAGCTGGGCTCCCTAAAACCTGGTGTACAGTATGTTCTTATTATCATAGAGAAAGGTGTAGTGTTTCTATTCCCAAACGTTTGTACGATTAGAGAATGTGTTTCATTCGTCGCCGTGCCGTTGCATGAAAGCCGCTAAATACGAACAATCCATACGTGACCGTTGGGAAACATTGGTTCTTGTAGGCAAACAAGAAACGGATTCCCCAGTTAAATGAAGGCCAGATTTTTGCAAGTCTCCAAGGCCAGTAACTGGTTCATGCAAATTATACCATTTATTGTCCCTGATGAAAATCAATTAAAAGAAATGTAATCGTTTTTTGGATGGTCATCCGGTTTGTGTAGTAATTTTTGATAGGGTAACAAGTTAGCATAATAAGCGCGTTGTAAACAGCCGTTAAATCAAATTCACCACAAAGCACAGGCGATTTCCGTTCAGTAAATAAATATTGGAGTGAATAATTGGAGCGAAGAATGAATATTTAATCAGACAACTGGCTGCCCAAGAGTATTCCAAGTCAGCCAAGTTATACTGCCCTCCTATTGCAATTATGTCCCCGGGCTGTTGAAGCCATCGGCGCCCCATCCAAATAAGTACATATGTCAATATAACAACGTCATAGCAGCTCAGGTTTTCAGATTGGCATGCAGTAGGCCTGGCCTCTCAAATTCATCTAAGTTCAGGGGCCACTCAGTTGAGCCTAGTTTCATGTTGAGTTGTCCAAACCAGAAAAATCATATAATTGTTACCTATAAACAGTAACTTCATGTTTTCCTGTCGTTTACTTCTAAAAAGAAACATACATCATGATTACTCTTTCTTGGATTACACTCGTTTTGGTGTCAGCAGTGTGATTGTGAGCTAGTGTGCTCAAGGGGGGGGGGGGGGGTACCCAAGCCTTTTTTGCCAACAGTAAGTAAGATCTCAATGCTGATAAGTCTGAAAATTCACCCAAAAAATACCATAGATGGCAAAAAATTCCTCATGAAATGAAATTATATGAAGGGTTTGCATTTTTCAATATTACATTCTACAATAGCTTGGTTCAATTTTGAGGCTTTTGCTCTTTTAAAATTGTTCTTTTAAAATGGTTGTAACTACCTAGGCCCACTGAGAGGAAGCAAAGGGGCAAGGGGATAATTGCCACTGATCTCAAAAAAAGAATGGATCAAACAATTTGTTGTTCTTCTACATCAGCATGAGGAAGCGATCAAATCTCTCCATCTTGAGACCTCTTGTGCCTAAAGCTTTGGGCTGCCATTTGTTAAAATATTGCACACACAGTGCTGCGCTTTAAATTATGAATTAATCATTAAATTCTTAAATATTCTAAGAGACAACAGGCCTGATATTGAACTAAAACCAATATGATTGCACTCTAGTCTTATACAACATGGCAAGGTCTCAAGATAGACGCTGCCATGTTGAATCAACGCTAGGCTGGAGAAGCTCAATCCAGTCTTTTTTTGAGATAAGTGGTAATTGCGCATGGGCAAATAAGCAAAGAGGGGCCTGCTGACAAATAAACTGTCCCAGTTTAAGCTATAACTCTGAATAACATGAAGATAAAAAATCTGTTCTTTGAATATTTAACCATGCTTTAGAAATATAAATTTAAGTAAATAAAAAAAGTGATATGCAGTCCATTTAAAATGAATTTTAGGGTTATTGCTTTGGGTAGGAAAGGTCCAAGCATTAGTCGTGCAGCAGGGGCCTGCGGGGCTTATGGGGCCCTGTAACTGCCCTTTCATCAAACAGGTCATTAACAATTGCAAATTGCTTCTGTTTATAATTGACATATGTGCATTCACATCTTCATGTCTGTAATTAGTACCGGTCAAGACATTGTACTCAGGCACAAAACTTCAAGTCAGTTTGTGTATTGAAATTGTTTCATATCTTCTATTCTAAAGTCATGTGCACCTTGGGCACAATGTGAAGTGCTAAATTTACAATACTTTAAAGGTGAAGCCTTTACATGGAAGTCTGGCCGGGAAGCTTGATAAAACAAATTGACTATCAACTAAAGTTTTCATAAAGTTTTCATGAAGATGTTGTTTCAAACAATAAAATAAACAAAGCTCAAGTGTGAAATTTTTTCCCATAAACATGGGGGTTTCCAAAATAAACAGATTACTTTCAATTGAAGCACTTTGACATTTTGATGACATCAATTACCAGGATAAGTGATAAATGAATTGCAGCAGTTTACTGCTGTTCAAAGAGTACAGCTTTTGCTGGGAGCAAAAAAATTTTCTGTATGGGCACTGTGAAAAATCTATCAAGGGTTGGTAGACCGAAGAAGTTTGCAAGAAATTCAAATAAGTACAAATTTTCACCTAGGAACCTAGGAAAGGCACCTAGGAAAACAATGTTCATTGATAGCAAAAAATCTAATCAATATATTGACTTCTGTCTGTGCTCTGTGGTTAAAAATACAGATCAATTTAATATCTTAATTCAATGCACTCATATGGCTATTTACTGGTTCAGTAATTATGTGTGTTTTAGTTAGATATTTGCAATGCTACCTAGCATTGGAAGGTAGTTTTTAGGACACTGAGAAGCTTGTGCTTATCGAGCAGTGTCTTGGTCCTTCCTCTCGATGTGACCACAGCTCATGATTCCTATGCCTGGAATTACAACTCTTCCCACTCTGGGTAAAAGTTTGGTCATGCCAAGGACTCAAGCCATGGACCCTTGGGTCTTTAGTCAGCACCTCTAGCCAACAAGCTATCCTCACACCTAAACTCTATTTACAGCTAACTAAGTTTTATATAAAAGCTTTTTAATAGACATTTCTTTTTTGAAACTCCAATGTTTTTGGGTTATAATTCAGAAGTTGCAGTGTTTTTTTAAGTGTTGTGCATTTTCCATGATACTTGTATGTAGGTTACTTAAGCTTGGTTCCCACTAGTCTTCAATTTCAGTTTCAGTTTCATTTGATCATCAATCTATACTATATACTATATTAATTCCCATTAGAAATTTCATAGAAAACAAAGAAACAAACTCCTTTTTTGATGTCGGTCTTTGATTAAGAAGAATTCTTTTTTAGAAGACGAACTGCAACAACTAACGGCGTCTTATAAGATACTCACTTTTTTGCCCATTGCCAGAACGAGAATGTTACACTTATTTAATGCCTTAATGTAAGCATAGAAATACGCTGTAGTAAACAATTAATTGATTTACCTGTGTTTCTTTTTATCATTCTTTAAAATTCTAGTATTTGCCCTCAGCACCAACACTGCCCCTCCTGCCTTTCAGTTTCATTTGATCATCAATCAATACTATATACAATACTACACAATTACATTACAGACCATACAGTGCCAAATTAATAACACCTAATACAAGCAAAAGGGAATGACATTACATGATTGTATATGATATAGATTGATTAAGGAGGAGCTCTCTAAGTAGGTAAACTAATCGAGAGAGAGCGCCCCCCCCCCCATAAAAACAAAAAAACTAAAGAAAACAATATTAAATATATAAAAAAATGAAGAACCAGATGTGCCCCAAGAAAATGATGTGTCATGGTAATACAGAGGAAGAAAGAGAGAGACAGACTAGACATAGGAGTTGATATAATGAGCTTTCAATTTAGACCAAAAAAGTGAATTAGAGCCAGCTACTCAAATGAAAATTGGGTTCATCTCTTATCCTTTAATTGAAGTAGATATAACAGATAAACCCAATTGCAAAACATAAACGCTCTTCTAGCTGTATGAAAACATATCAAAATGAACTACTCCAAGTTAAACACCCAGAGCATTCCCACTTGGCGTTTAACTTGAACAGTCAGAGATGAGTGCATTTGAGCGCTCTCAGTCGCCTAGTGGGAAGCCTTAAAAGATCAGATTCAGTGTCATTACAACGATATTGGCAGATTTTGCATCTGCTTGGCATGAATGAGCTCTGTTTAGAAGTACCCTATTACCCGGCTTATAGGTGCACCTCATTTCAAGGCGCATGCACTTTTATCCGGAAAAAGGCACATTGCACTTATAAGTGGATCTTAATCTTGCAGTTTTTGTAAGAAAGATGAAAATGCAAAAAATCCAATATGGCTATCTATTATCTTATTGACAACAATCACATACTTCCTCGATAACTTCTCTTGCATTATCAATTTCTTGAGATTGTCCTTTGAGCTGACATGATGACGAAGACAACCTTGATGAGGAATTTATGAATGAAGAATTTATGATCATTGAAAAGGATTCAGATCCTGAGAAAGTTGACATTGAATAAATGTTAAAATATCCAGTTTCTATTGTTAAAACTGAATATCTTTGGAACCTAACCACCAAAAACAAAGCCTTTTTGTACAAATTTACTAAGCAAGACCATAAAACAGTTTTATTGTATACATAACAGGCATATTGATCACAACGAAAGATAATTTCAAATTCATCTTTTTCTTATCTTTTCTTTCTGGATTCTGTCAGTCCAAGCCTTCAAGTAATTCCATGCAATATGCTTTGGGCAGGCAATTCTGAATTTTGAAGCGAAAATAAGGATTGCAAATAAGAATCACTTAACCAGTACAGTAATTGTGCCAAAAGCTTTATTTCTAGCTACCTATAATTTTCCCTATTGATAATATATAAAAAGCATTAACCATCAGCTGTTTATATTTATTTAAGATGATCATGGAAATAGAAAATGGATTCACCCGGACAGGGCTCTTTCAGAGAATTTTGTCATTTATCAAGCCAGGGTAAGTTTGATCTGATTTAAACCTATTGCAATCAAATTTCAGTGAAATTCAGTGGCAAAAAAGAGACCATGGTCCCAGTCCCAACCATCTCTCAAACTGACAGAGTCACTTAAAAAGGACTTAGGTTTAAAAGAGGTACAATGTTGTACGCAGCCCGAAAAACTGCGTATGTGCGGACAAGTATCACATGCAAAAATTTTGAACTTTTAAAACTAAAGACTACCAAAGTGTGATGTCATCAAAATGCTATGTTAGAAATTTCTTAATTTTGAGCACAAAATCTGAAAGAATAGCAGAGAATATTTCTCAGTATGCAAATCAGTCAAATGTGTTTGATATGGCCCAAGAATGATACATGGCCAAAATCGGATTACTGCTATTCTGGCCTGTTTCATGAAGAACCAAGAGCAAAGAACAGTGATTTGATGGGGAATGAGCCTGTGCCTATGTTGTCATATCTTAAGATAATTGGGTATTTTCTTGGGTTTCTACTATTTGATTATATTACTGTTTTCTTCTTTTGGTGGTTTTACTGTATGAAGACATACTTGCTGCTCTATTTTTGCGTACGATAGCTTCATCTTTGGGTAGGATTGTATGCCTGGAAGTTATTTTTTAATCCAGTTTAATTGCTGTTATAAAAAATATAAATCAATTTGTATCTGTAAAAACCATTCTGCAAATTTATGAATTTCCAGTTCATTCTCCACTGTTTCTTTTTCTTCAAAGTATCTTGGTTGCACTGAGGTTGAAGCTCCAAGAGGAATTGAAATAATTAAAGATGCCATCAAAAAAATTCAGGTAAGAGCCTTTTTTGATAAAGAAGGTTTTTTGTTATAACCATGGGTGCTTTTGTGCAGCATTTATGTTTAGTAACAGCATCTGGTTATGTTATGTTATGTTATGTATGTTATGTTATGTTATGTTATGTTATGTTATGTTATGTTATGTTATGTTATGTTATGTTATGTTATGTTATGTTATGTTATGTTATGTTATGTTATGTTATGTTATGTTATGTTATATACACTGGTTTATTTGTGGATTATGATTCTTTTTTGTTGTTGTAATCTACAGGGTTATCTGTGTGGAAATTGGGTTTAAACATTGAAGTTTTGTAATTAATCAATTGAATGAATATTTAAATCTTTTATCCAGAAAAAAATAGAGGATACATGATCCCTTGCAGCCACCCTGTGGTTTAAACATTGAAATCTTTTGAATAATCAATTAGATAGATATTTTAATCTTTTATTCAGCTAAAATATAGAGGATATACAATCCCCTGCACCCACCCTCCCCCACCCTGTTGTATGGATCCTATATAAACTTTACAAGTCATTTCTGACAATTCAAATGCAAAAGATAGATAAATATATCGCATTTATGATGATTCATTGAAATTCCCAGTTTACAGCAAGTTTGCAATAAGGAATGCATGTGTATAGGACATCTGTTTTTGAAACAATAGAGAGTTACTATGCTTTTCTAAATTTTGTTGTCTACACACTACAAGGACAAAAGTATTGCAACACCTGCGAAGGGGATTAATGGTGGATCACGAAATGAATTTTATTGTCGTCTGATTAAGCTTTTGATAAGGGGAATTTTAATCTATTGTGTTATCAAAATTCTAAATTAACAAATGAAATAACTTTTAACTGGTACTAAAATTTTGTTGAGTAGCTTTTGGGGCTGATAACTATCGAAAGTTTGATAAAGTAAAGTTTGATAACTAAGAAAACATTTTTGATAAAATGGCCAAAACTCTCTTTCAATCCTCAAAGAACTGTTTCTGTGAGTTTTTGCTGGTATTTGGGAGTCTTTGGGGATCACAAATCGACTGATTTTCCACTCATGGCCGATATTTTCGATTTTGGTAAGGTAGGGGCTTTGTGAAGGCCTAGAAAGGACATTGATCTTTTTGTTTTGCCGCAAATATGCAGCTAATTTTTATAAAAGATGTTTTGTGAGCGAAGGGGGTATGGCTATGTTGGAAAATGAATGCCTCCCTTATTTCCAAAAAAAATTTAATTCACCAAAATGGCTGTTTTTGCAGTACCTTGACATACTACTCCGCATCTCGTCCTTCGAAAAGTTTCAATTTAAAATTTACTATTGCCCTGAGAAATTTCGGAAACTTTACCAAACTTGAGTCGAAAAATTTTAGATAAGGAATTCGCGACTATCGACTCCAAACTCGTGCCGTTTTCCTACCATTTTCTGTCAAAACTTTCAAAATTTCTGTTTTCGAAAAATATTTGCCGCTTATTTTTGCTAAAAGTACCTACCCTTCATTACTTAAATATTTTGTTTTCTCCATAACGATTTTTCAAATTTCCATATCTGTCGCTAATATGATTGTAAAATTTGTAAAGTTTGTAAAATTCTCAAAATCCTTAATCAGTTTCCATGAATTAAACTCTAGATTTGGCATGGTTTTGTATTCATAAAAAGGGATTCGGCGTGTTATTACTTTTGTACAAAAGGTTACAAAACCTCGAATGTTCTAGTTATGATTTGTGTGTTGCAATACTTTTGTCCTGCTAGAGTAGTGTACAGTATTTCCGTATTACGGAATAATCGTCTTACACCCCATTGATTTCTTCAATTTTAACATTCCATCGGTTTTTTGTTTCCAACAAATGTTTTTCCGATGCTTTTTCCCAGCTATTTGTGCAACAGAATCCAAGATTCTACTTTGAATATCAGATGTGTGGATAGCTACTTTTTTAAAACTTTTGAAAACTTGAGAAACGGTTAGGCGAAACCTGTATGAGGTTTTTTTGCACAGTTTCAGCATGAGATTAAGAAAAGCGAAGCTGGGAAGAAAGGTAGCAAACTACAGAAGGTCGAGATTTGGATTTCAATTGATGTTATCAAAGTCATTAATATTAAAAACAAGGTGAGAAACTTTTTCACTTTCAATACAAACTCTGAAATGTCTGCTGTCTTTGTGGGGGGTGCCTTCCTAGGAAGGGGGCTTTTGCATAGGAAACTTCGATTTGTGTTATGGATTCTCTGTTGTGTATATAGGCCGATAGAAATTACTGACTCGTGGGAAATCGATAGCATAATCAAGCGTTAATTCACATTGCCAAATAAGGAATTCTCCATACCAAACTCGAGTGCGGAAATAGAAGAGAGGAGCTGAGAAGCGGAGGAGCATCTAGCGGAAGCAAGCCAAAATGTACAATTAATAAACCATGGTCTACTTGTCCGCTTTTCGTATTCGTCGGAGATGCTCGTCTGCTTTTGAAAGTTTCTTATAGCATACATTCCTGTTTGATAAATAGTATATGCAAAAGAGAGGTTTTTCTCTTTGCATCTAATGAGCATGTGTCTCGTGAAGAATAGATGGTGTGGCTTTGGAAGGTTGTTCACAGATTTTTTAAAACGTTTTTGCCATCCTCCCAGCAAAGCAGCCTTCCACTGTTCATTATACCTACCGGTTATTTATTTCTTACATTCAAGGGTCCTTTTATGTTGCCTTGTTGTTGTACTTGGTTTTGTTGCACTTTCCAATGCTAAGTCATCCCAAAATATTGGGAGGTGCAGTTCAGTACAGGCTACTTTGATACTTGTAAGTTCATAAATCCATAACTTCAAATATATTTGGATATGACATAAGAGTGATTGCAGGGGCGGATCCAGAGCAAACTTGAAGAAGGGGCAGTTGGTAGTAGGGGCGCTGAAAAATTTTCAAAAATTGATGACGAGAGTACGCTGTATACAACAATTTCAGATCCATTTTCGGAATAAACAACATAACTTTGAAGTAATCATCGAAGCAAATTAACCTATCGGTCTCAGAAACTATTTCACCTGATTCTCATCCTTCAAAAGGGGCGAACAATTTCCAAAAAAGGGGCGCCAGACTTTCTTCAACTCCTCGAAGGAGGGGCGACTGCCCCTAGTTGCCCCCCTTAAATCCGCCACTGAGTGATTGTGGAGACAAAGAAATCAGGAATCAGGTATAGCAACATATTGAGTTTACCTCTTCTTCAAGGTAAATTCGAAGTGATGTTAATTTTGCTTACACGTGTTATTTGTTCCAAGTATAATCTTATAGAATTCAAGCTTGAACACTTATTAAGTTTGAAAAAGGTATATTTTGAGATTATGCCTTTTACTTCTGTTTTCTAGGAGGTGATTACCCAGAAGCCATTGCACAGGATATCATATTGTGCCGATGATCACCAAGATAAGAAACTTTTCTCTTTTATTGCAAGAGAACAGGATTCAAGGGCCCACAACTGTCACGCTTTTGTCACTGAACGAGAGGTATTTCACATCGTTGTTAGTTCAACATGCTAACTTACTTATTTATAAATCATGAAAAATATTTTTCTTGACTTTTCAAATCAAACTTTTTCAATTTCTTTCGAAGTGAAATGTTTACAAAAACATTGCTGGATCCGTTGGCCTAAATCATCGAAATTAATTACCAATTTCATCGAAAGAGATAATGTTCAGATGCGATCGAGTTTTTGCAAAACGAATATTTGGTTCCTGTTGTCTGTGATTCTGAAAATCCTGTTGTCTGTGAATATTTGGTTTTATAATACAGAAAGGTAAAGGGAATATACAGATGGAATTTTTCATCTTGAAACTTTCACGTTTCGGGTTTGTCTTTAATTAATTACAGAAGCTCAGAAAAGGACTTGCATATTTTTTCATACTTAGGGTAATATTTTCACATCATGCTAAAGTCGTTTTTCAGCGGCACCCGAAGAGCATATAGGGCTATATGACGGCCAAAATGAGTCTTTCTTTAAGATGTAAGTTTCGAAAATTCATTGATAGAAACGGAAAAATGGGGAAAGGCATAAAATTTGTTTTCAGAGGTGAACAATTTAAAGCGCAAAAAGTCTCAACTTTCCATACTTAGCCTGATATTTCTGAATTGTCCCGTCTCTATTAATTTATTTTTCTAATGCCTCTGTATTAATTATGGTTGCATATCAATAGGGAAAATTTTCTTCTTTTGAGAACATTACATAAGCATCCAAAATCGGCTCAGGGACTAAGAAAAGCTGCAAACATGAATCCGAGTTCATTTTCACACAAAATCCATCCACGATTCTTGGCAGAATTTTTCCACAGATTGTTTCAATTATTCCCCAACTACCAATTCTAAATGTATGCTTATATTTGCTAAGTTAGTTTTTTTATCCCACGAAGGCTGCTGAACTAACAGTTACATTGGGGCAAGCATTTGAGTTGGCATACAAAAGGTACTTACAAAAAGGGAAAAAGCAAGATTCTAAGGAAAACAAAGAGGTTAATGATTTGAGAAAGCAGATTGAGCAAGCTAGAATTGAGAATGAGCTGCTTAAGAAGCAGTTGAATGGGGGCAACAATGATGTGAATTCTCGAAGGACACAAAGCAGCAGTTCGATTGGTTCAAATAATTCCAACCCCGCGTCTACTTCTGTAGCCCCGCCAAAGGTTTGTAAGCACTTTTTGCCGCTTGTAACTAATTTATTGATTTTCAAGAGCAACAGGGTCATCTTCAATACAAAAGAATGAAACTGATTGAATGATACTGATGCTTTATAGGCGATTAAAGTGAAATTTATGTTGACTATAAAGGACAGTAACCTTACTATGATGCAGTCTTGTTGTGATCACGAAGGTTTTTGGTCTGCCTCAATTCCTAACTGTTATATACAATGCTTACAAATAATTGTTTGACACTTTCAGCAACCACAACCATCACTCTTAGTCGGTTTTGAAACTGCGCAGCAGCCTGAACAGCAGCAAGAGGACAGTTCTTTCGATCCGTTTGACAACTACTTGTCAAATTTGGCTGAAAAAAGGGGGTTGGGTGTAGCTCACGAGGACCCTTCGTTAAGAGCTCCTTTCCAAAGTCCGCTACAGAAGGATTCTGGTGAAAGATATGATTTCCAGAGCCCGCTACAGAAAGCTCCTGAAGAAAACCCGTTCAGCTTTCAGCCGGATGCAAATGGAAACCCATTTGATGCGTTCTTTAGTGATACATCTTCATCTGCTGCAGGTGTTATGCCTGAGCCTGAGGTGAGTTTAAGTCGCCCTCAAGGGCATTGATAAGCAGATTTGCGCGAGATATAGGCAGTCATAAGGGAATTAATCTTAAGGACATTCATAAGCAGATTGAGTAGTGCCCAGTTCTATGTGCATTCATAACCAGATTTTCGCGAGCTGTACCCAATCTTGAGGGAATTAATAAGTAGATTTGTGCGAGTTTTAGTCGTTCTTAAGAGAATTTATAAGTGCTGGTTGTTGTCAATCGTAACATAGAGCAAAAATGTTTGCAGCCGCTGTGCAAAGAGCTTTTGCGCCTGCAAGCTGCGGCCAAATGGCGACGCGCAAAATTTTTCCCGCCAACCGACCATGTGACACTTTGATTCCGATCCAGGCCTCCTGGGAGGTGAGATGTTATAGGGTTTTGTGTCACCACAACCACAAAAGACCTGAGCATGGCGGAGTGAACTTAAAGCCTGATCGGCTCATTTTATATACAAAATTTTACCATGTGAGTATGCCTCAAATATTGTCAGTTCCACGGAGAAAAAGTTCAAAATTCAAATTTATTTTATCTCAAAAACGGCACCATGCCGCACGCTGATTTTTTTATTGATTCATCTTCATGCCCCGAAAAATAAGATTATATTGGTTGGCATATTTGGAAAATTGGGTCACGTTCATAATTTCACCGCAAAGATACCTAACTTTAGGATTGTCAATTTATGGGTGCGATTGAATGATGATTTAAAACCGCCATACTTTTTGGGATATGCGGTATATTCATGGAAGTTTTTCATTAAAATAGATTGGTCACGAATGTAAGTAGCTGTTTTTAACGCGATTTTGAAATCGCTTCGGTATTTTTCTATAAGAGTAGGAAACCAAACAAAAGCGAAATTTTGAAAGGTCAACATGGGACGTTTTGTTCGATATTTGAATTAACGATCGTGAAAAATTTCCACCATGCCGCATCCTGAATTTTTGTATACTTGTAGTCAAAAGTTCAATTTTTTTGTATATTGTCTCCTTCAGAGGCGGAAAATTGGGTAACGCTTGAAAATTTACTTTTTAAATTGTTCATATTTCCCTTCTTGCCTAATAGTAGGCCTAGGCATAGGATACTTTAGTTTGGCAGTAAAGCATAGGCCACGAAGAGATTAATAAGGTTTTAAAGCCATAATTTAATGATATAAATGTATCTTAAGTAGATAATTTATCTATTTGACTCCATAAAAATAAAGCAGAGGTAAGGTTAAAATTCAAAGTTTGTTTTCTCATATATTTTTATATCAATCGCATCCGGGACAGAACGACACAATTTTCGCGGGCAGGTAAATCACGTCAGCATGCGCGCGCATAAAAAACATTTTTGCACTATGTTGTCAATCGTAAGAAAAGATAAGCAGATTCGCATGAGTAGTACCCAATTCTAAGGATATTTGTAAGCAGATTCGCGTCAGTTTTACCCAGTCTTGAGGGAATAAATTGGCAGATTTGCCTTAGTTCTTGTAAATTGCATGGGAAGATAAGCAGATTTTGGTGAGTTTTAATCTATCTTAAACCCGTTTTACACGAGCCCGGGTTAGATTCCACTCCGGGTCAGGTCAACACACTGCATTAAAAAAATAACGTTTACAATAGCCGGGGTCAGCTGGTTCCTTTAGAAGGTTGACCTGGGTACTACAACCCTAAATTGGCTACTTCGAAATGTTCACATGACCCCGGGTTTAGCTGGCCCGACTTCTCCTAAGAAAACTTCAGAAAAAGACAACCCATCTCATCGGGTCAACCCTACTGTCGAGAAGGCGGGTTGACCCTGGTTGGCTGCTGTTATCATGTAAACATTTGAAGAGATTTGACCATAGACAGTTTGACCCTCTATCGCGGGTAGCAACAACCCGGACTCGTGTAAATTAGGCCTCAAGGGCATTTACAGATTGTAAGCAGATTCGTGCGAGCTGTAGTTAGGAGTGATTTTCAAGTGATGAACACTCGTTCCTCTAGCCTCGAGACCGGAATGAACGTTTCCTCTTTCGCTTATTAGTTTTCTCGAAAAAATATCACCTGTGCCATCCTTCTTTCTGAACCCCGTTTGTTATTTTCAAGCTTAATGTATTAACAAACTACAAAGTGCATACACAAAGCTCGCCGTAGCCTAAGGAAGCGTATCGAAACAGTGAAACATTGTTAAGAATCAAATATTTTTATTATATTTTTATATTTTGAATACATTTGTCCAATTTTAAGAAGCCAATGTCTTATGATTCTTCTTTCTGTTTCCAATTTTAAGTGACTGCTAGCCATTTCCCTATTTTATTAATTTTTGGAAAACTTCGCAACACATTTATTAAAGATCGTTAGGAATTCCCGAGAGCAATGGGGCACACTGCTTTATGCAGGGACATGAAACTTTGCTGCACAAAACAACAGACATCACCTGACTGGTGACAGAAATCAAAACCTCGTATTTGAAAAACTCCCTTAAAAAGCGAACCATAGCTCTGGTCCCAAGATTTGTCGTTCTATACTGTATGCGGGCATTTTGGAACTGATACTTAACAATATAGGAGCTGTCTAGTTTCCATACTGCTCGACCTGATGACCTAATTCTTTTACCCTAAACCTAACCCCAACCCTAACCCTAAACGTAACCCTAAATCTAACCCTAAACTCAACCCTAACCCTTACCCTAACCCTAAACTTAACCCTTTACTTGAAATAATTAATCATGCTAATTTATGACTATTAATCATGCTTATTTATGACTACCAGGTCGAGCAGTATGGATTCCATACTATGGAAACTACGCCACCAGTACTTTAATATGTTGATGCTATATTGATAAAGTACTCGCTCTTTATTAACATGTAATTACGCATAAGAAAGCCACAAATGTTGAAAGTATAAATTACACCCTCTGAAAGTTAAAGCCATTTTGTGGATTGCCTGGTCTAATGATTTATTTGCCCTTAAATGATTGCCTTTTTACACTTTCTTCTTAAAGATAATTGATAGTCAAAGATACTTGAATAGATTGGTTATGTGGAGAATCTGCAAGCCAAACTCTTAAGCAGAGGTCCCTTTCATAGCGAAATGTGCTTTTAGCAGTTTCTTAAAATAACTATGGATTTTAGACACAATATGCAGTTACTTTGGCTTATTTTGCATTACCGCCTCTTTCTGCTATATTTGTAAAGAGTTTCGGGGTTTGGTCCTACATACCGTAAATCCCCGAATTAACCCCCTGGGGGCTTATTTATTTTTGATATTTTTGGATGAGGGCTTTTTCTAGGGGGGGGGGCTTATACGAGGGGGGGGGGCTTATAGAATTATTGTAGAAATTAAGAAGGTATTATTAAAATACCTCGTTTATTTTAGTAGAAATTTCTTTATGAGCGTTTAATTAATTACTACCAAAAGTATGAATTTGTTGTGGTAATTCAATAAAACGCCATAGGCAACCTCAGATGGCAAAAATCATCAAATAGAGGGGTCCAATTCGAGAATTTACAGTAGCAGTTGGGCTTATTCGAAGGGGGGCTTATTGATAATTTGTAGTTCCAGGGTGGGGGCTTATTTGAGAGGGGGCTTTTTCGAGGGGGGCAATTCAAGGATTTATGGTTCTTTGAATTGAAGCCATCAAAGTTTGTGGTTTTAAAGCACTAAGGTGTGTTTTTTTATACCTTTTCCTTGTTTGTTTGGCCTATTTATTCTGAAAAGACTCTGTGCCAGTGACTCTAGAACTTGGTTTTTCATATTTTTTCAACTAAAAAGCTAGGTAACATACATCCTAAACTTGAAAGTGCCTAGGGGAGCCTTATTTCAACGTTTCTTGTTTGTTACTTTTAAGTTCATTTGTATTTTGCTGTTATCTTGTATCATTCAGACCTGCTTTGCAACTTGTTTAAGCTTTATGCTAATTTGAAATCTAGGCCACAATACCAGATTATAACTCTCAAGCCGCAAAGCCATCTGCTGGGGCACAGTTTCTTCCACCTCCACCTTCAAAACAAAGTATAAAAGCTGCAAATGCTTTGAAGATGAAGCAGCCGAATGCAAGGTCACCAGAACCAGCACAAGGTAGCATATTTAAGTCCAAGTTTATGGATGTGCTAAAGGTTAAAGGTGTAACATTTGCATGTGGATCATGTTTTACTTTGCAACTCTTGAGCTTGGGCATAATTTGATAACTACAAAATTCAGTACATAATATTCTGTAGGTTCACTAGTGTAATAGAGGGATCTTGTTAACAAAATGAGACCTGCTCTTATTCAATGACTGCAAGAAGGTTCCATCCAAGTGTGTAGAGCATGTTAAGCACAAAAGTAAGGTGCAAAAATGATACCTTTTCTGGGGGAGTCAACTGGGGGCACTGAGTTACATACTTAAGTTTAAGTTTTGGGACTTTTGAAGACCAGAATCCTCTGAAGAATTTGAAAGATTTTATTGAAATGTTTGTAACAGGGAAGGTCAAAAAGTACAACCTTTGAGACCTTCCCTGTTTTTCTGCTTAAATTTCAATTAGATTTTGAATTGGTATTTTGGCATCAATCCTTAAGCTCAATGTGTTCATCTGTTTTTAGTAAAGTTCAGACTACTGGTATCCAATAGATTTAAGAAATAATGACTTAATGGAATTGCAGTGATATTTTTTGAGTTGATTTCTGAAGCTAAAAATCTTTTTATATTCAAGGCACTCTGAATGTGCAAAATGGAAATACAACAATTGAGAATGCACCACAAGATTTACTTGGCCTGGACATGAAAAAGGATGAAAGCGTCAGTTCTTTGGAAGTAAGATTCTTAATCTTCTATCGTATTGATTTATTTTAGTTCAGTGCATATCATTTGAAAAGTAATACTAGACTAAACTAGACTAAACTAACTAAACTAAAATAAACTAAACTAAACTAAACTAAACTAAACTAAACTAAACTAAACTAAACTAAACTAAACTAGAGTTTGCACTGCAGTAGATTCCATATTGAATTTTTTTAAACTTTGTAAAATTTGTTGTTCTCTGCTAATTCTGCCAGATCATGCAGCTTTAAGAAGAGTGCTGGATATTTTTCTCTTGAGTGACAATTTATTTATCAGAGTATGTGTCGCATCCTATACCATTGCATTTTACTTATGAAGTTAAGGAGTTGAGTGTGCCTTTTTGATAACTGCAAATAAATACACTTTTTTGATAGCTTTTTTTTCATTTTCAACATTTTCAACAACTGTTTTTCTGATCACTGGTTTTCCTCTTCAACTTGTGGGCAATTATTTGCGCTTTTTCATCAGAGAAGCTGGTATCTTTTGAATTCGTTTGTGGCATTTATCTGCCTCATATACGTGTACAATTGTGCAAGGTGCCTTATTTGACTCGATTTTTCTTTGCCAATAAACAACGCCTCCCACCTTTTGTGATAAGCCTTGTTTTCATATGTCATAAGTGTCAGCGATGATCCCCAATGCAGTTTCCTGATGGTCTAGGACAGTCTGAGATGTTTCACTGCTTTTACAAAAAGTTTTTCACATGCACAACAAGCAGGCTTTTTGTGCATGAGAAGGCTTTGTTTGCAGGGGAAGCTTTTTGTGGCACAGTGTTTTGTGTGGCACAGTGGACCTTTTTGTGTGCACAAGAAGGTTTTTTGCTTGAATAAGAAGTTCAAGGCTGTCTGCCTGAGTGAAAAACCTTTTCGCTTGAATGAGAAAGCTAGCTCTGTGTACTAGAAAAACTATTTGCCTCATATATTTTGGCTAGCATAATGGTTTAATGTTTGATGAATTATATTTGCAGCATGACTGAATTGTCTGATTGCCATTTTTTTCTTTTTAGAAAAGCCTTGGAGCAGGTCTTCAGTTCGACTCTTTTGACTTTGATCCCTTCAAGTGATTTTTAAAGGCAAGGTTACTCAAGAAAATATTCATAGTTTCTAAAATGAGAGCAGGTATATATATAAATAGTGTAGGGTGTTGCATTTTCGACTTTCTAGCTTCTTTGGTTGTTTAAGAGTATGCTATTACAAATATGCTGCCCCAAATCAGTGAAAGGCACCAAATCGTTTATTCCAAGCATCATATCAATTGAAATACAGAGGAGTTAATTATCAGAGGGTATGCTTAAACTGAATCTTATTTTTATTTTTGGGTATAATATTTTAATTTGTTTCTTTTTGTTGATCAGTTTTTATTTCAAAAATAAAGTTTAATGTTTATTAACAGTACAAGGTTTGGTTTTTGGTTCACTGAAAGTCATTACTGACACAGAATTATATTATAACCCCTTCTTGCTAATGATGTTCAATATTTCAGCTTCCTTCAGAAGAGGCAAGTCTGAAAGGTTGTCAAGATTCTGATTCAGGATTTTTATAGATAGTGATTCTGGCTCCACAGTTTGAACCTTTCATTTAGCAATGTGATTCAGGCTTGGCCATAGCTGAAGGGAACCTGAATCATGATGCCTGAATGGAACTGAGACTGTCTCCCTTTAACTGTTCACAAAAATCAAGCTGCCCTCCAAGAATCAATTGTTTTTTATTTCTATTTCTTTATATCCATGAATAGTTAGGAAAGTGCTAGGAGAACTGTTTACTACTCCACTGCTAAAAGTCTTATGGCCAGGCCTGTTGATTTGGTGACCCCTTATTGTTTGACTTGTTGATCAAACTTTAGGAATAATCATGAGAAGTTTGTAAACAAATATATGCCAAAGCAAAGAAATAATTCAAATTCCATAGAATGTAACTGCTGTTAAATCAACCAGTGAAGTGTTTTAAATGGCCACTTATGATGATCCTTTGCGAGTCTGTTTTGGACCAGGAATTAATATGCTATTTCCAAAATACCAGTCTTTAAATCCCCCACCTGTCAACAATAAAATCAACAAGACTAGTGTAAGGGTTGCTGAAATTGTTCGTTGGGAAAGGGTCTAATGGGGGAGGAGGGTGTTGGTGAAGAGCTCCTCAGGATAAATTATCAGATTTTACCCTTAATGATATCAAAAAGTACAGCATATAGATTTATAGTTTATAAAGAATACACTAATCTAAATGTTTAGCTGGATGTGTCTTATCTTCTCAAGTTTTATTCTTATTGAAAAAATGCCTTAATTAAATGTCTATCAGTCCATTTTAGATATATAGTGATTAGAATTAGTACAAGATAAATTTTATTTTTTATGAAATTGAATTTAAATTCCATTATTTTGGTGCATTTTGTATCTTTCCATATCATTTTTTGCATATGGCTACTTGTCTTGTGTATTTTGAAGAACAGAAATATATTTGTTTTGTTTGCTAAATGTTTGAGCAGATATCAACTCTGACTACCTAAATGCTTGAGGAATCCCAATTTAATATTTGGTTTAAGGTCCCATTCTATCTTCTGTAATACAGGCTCTTCCTTGTATTTGCTTTCCTCTCATAACCTTGGCTAAAAATGTTTTCTGTCATCATGCTTTTTTGCTGGTAGCTGTTAAATTTTTGTTAGTAAAAAATCCATATTGTAACTGTGCATATATGCTTCTGTGTTGATTTCAACTTGATATACAGCATTTCAACCCCCTTTAAGCAAGTAGAGCAAACTGATATATTAAGTGTAAAGATAGTATCTTGCAGATGTTATATTCCATAATATGCTATTAGCTGGACGTTGGACCTTCCACACAAATAAAATTTTGCGGATGAAGAGTAATTTATGTAGAATTTTATTGAGATTTGATATTTGATAATAGATTTATATTGTGTCCAATCATGTTCATTTTTGCTTAAAAACTGCAATGCTTGACATTGGGAAAAGTCGGTTTTGTAAGATTATCAAACTTATTGGCAATGCATTGAGGTCTTGGCTACTAAGCCCAGCCATATCTAATCTGTGCCAAGCTTGATAATCATAGAGGAAGTTATGAAGGTGCTTAAGTAATATACACTTTGTCTGGCACACAGGCAGCAAACCCCGCTCAGTCATTTTTATAAGCCCACTCTTAACTGCATATCACAACAATCATTTAAATTTGTTTTAGTAAGTTCATAAGAGTTTTGTGACACGTGTGTAAGAATGTAAGATCCTTGTTTTCTTTGCAAAATGCAATTTATCTTTGAAACAGATGTTACATTGGCTAAGCGCTGCATCATTAATTCCATGGTCATTACTTTAAATTACTAACACGGAAATCATGGAAAGAACAACATCACTTCAAGATAATTTTATCATAGTATTAAAATTTGTCTGTTTGGCACACATGGCATCCTCATTCTTTCTGTTACAAAAGCTTTAATAACAATTTGTACTTCGCCAACAGCATGAGCATTGCACAGTATCAACTTGTATTCTTTTGAATCTATTTTCAATCAAAGCCAACAGGATTTGACTTCTTCATAATTCTGATCATGTATCCTTTTTTCCATCCATATATTGCTCAGGTAACTTGAGTCCAACCCGTGCAGCAATATCTGCTATTGAACTTTCTCCTGCTCCTTTGTAAAAGTTTTGTAACTCCTACCAAATGGATTAATTCCATTCATTTCCATAGAAAGAAAATGAAAAGTTAAGATTATGAACTTCTTTGAAAGCTCTTTTACCTAAATAATGACCATAAAACTTTTTTGGTGAGTTTTCAATACATCTCCAGAGTCCAGATGACATAGGATTTGCAGTATTCAAATGTTTTACTCTGGAGACAATGTTTTACTCTGGAGACAATGTTTTACTCTGGAGACAATGTTTTACTCTGGAGACAATGTTTTACTCTGGAGACAGAAGGACATCTAAAGGTGCTGGTAAAATGGCAGTCTTATCTTATTTATGTGATGTTCTAAGAATACCAGAATTTTGGCTTTCATTTTGTAAGTTCTGTAGGGTATATGAATCTGGCAGAGTTAACACCAAAAGAGAAGGCAATGCTGCAGTTGTTTTGCAGTCAACTGCTGGACATATAAGAAGATAATAAATATAGCAGAATCACATGTCTATACAAAATACAAACAATCACTATAGCTAAATAGACAGGCAAGATAACGCAGTAAGGTCTGCTAACTGAAACTTGTAATTACTCAAATTTGATACTCTATTTTCCAATGATATCAAATTTATTTTTTACCTCCAACATTGCATCTCCATCTCTCACAATACAAATTTAAAAATATTGAAATAATAAGATATGTATCCTTCAATACTTTACCTGTTCCTTCCTTGTTGATTGAATGTAATTCAAATAAAGTTCACCCTCAAACATGTTCTTTTTAATGACTTCTTTATCTGATTCATGTCTCAAGCAATTCACAGTTTTGGTCAGTGTCTCGTAAGCAGGTGAAATTCTCCATGACATCTGTTGGTTAAAAAATAATGATCACAATATCTTCTTTTTCAAGACTCGTTTGTGAATGTAAATACCAACATTTTCCTGCTTGAAATTAGTATAAGTCTTAATTTGATTGATAATCAGGCATCAAAAATAAAATTACCTGTAGTATTCCCCCACTATTTTCTGATGTATGATATTAAGGTTATAGCGAAAAAATGATAGCAAGCTAGCTGCCCTCTCCCCTCCCCCTACCCCCATTTTGCTGTTGTATATGATATTAAGGTTGTGACGAAAAATGGTAGCAAACCAGGCTGGAAACTTGCCCGCGCAAGAAACAAAAGTTTCCAAGTCTGGGTAGCAAACTAGCTGCTGTTGCTTAAATTGGACTGTAAAGAATGCGCGAGAAGCAAAAAACTTGATCATTAATCGAATAATTTGTGTATATTGTTATACCGGCAGATGACCTCCAGAGGCTTGGTTTCCGAGTATTCTGAGCTCCTTTAGCAAATTTCGGATCAACCTTATACTGTCCGCCATTTTGTCAACCTTCATTTGGGCCTCGTAACCGAATAGAGGCACTTCCAAGAAAAGGAAGAAGTTCTCATCACTGGTTCTCATTCATCTAAAAAGCTGACCAGAAGACGTCCTTTTCTAGATCGATGATTCCAACCAAATATAACGAAACAGGCACACCGAAGCCAGAAGGGCGGGAGGGGGCTGAGCGGCTATAGCCCCTTCAGTTTTTTATTGAAGTATATGCGTGTATAGTGAAAAACGTCAAAGGTAAAGGTGAGCCTTTGCAGGTGATGCATTTTTGAGCAGGGGCTCAGACAGAAGTTGAAGCTATGGGGCCGCGGGCACACTAAATATTCCAAACAAGCAATGTAAAAAAATACTTTGCTTCACAAAAAAGTGCAGTGTTTCAGAAAGCATTAGGCTGATTCCACCAGGCGAATTTCGCAGCGATTTCACAAGAAAGTAGAAAAGAGTTCTACTTTTTCGCGGCAAACTATTTCGCAGCACCTACTAACCAGTCAAAGCATGGTGAATTTGCTTGATTTGTAAGAAAACAATCTTGGAACATTCACCATGCGTGCAGTTCTGAAAAGGGTGCCTTTAAATTGAGTTTTGGGGGAAATCATTATATAATTTCGCAGCGAATTCACAGTCTCGTGGAAATCAAAGACAATTTCGAAGCGAATTCGCAGTAAATTCGGTGCGGAATTTGCCTCGTGGAAATCAGCCTTTAGACAAGATTTCCTTTCAGAAACTCAAAAACTCAAGTGGAAGGAATTGTGAAAACGCGGCAACAATTTGATACGAGGCTGCGCCAAGAGAGGTATTTTTGAATCTTTGCGATGGCTGCCGAGAATGTTGGAAGTAGCGAGACGGCACTCAAAAGTATTTTTGAGGAAGGCTGGAAGTCGTTGTTAAGTATCCAAGAAAGGGACGTTCCAACTAATTCAGAAGAAGTTCAGGTGATTTTCTTGGTATTTTAAGGGATTTTCTTCGTCCTGTTTGACTTCTCTATGTATGTTGTTGTTGTATAAAAGTACATCATCCAGATTGGCTAGTTTGCGATTTTGGCGGCGGAGGTCACTATGCCTACAAGTTCAACTTACGTGGTTACTATTTACAGCTAAATATAAAAGTTATGAATTTTATTATATAATAATATCTGTTGATATTGCGCGGTTGAAGCCGTAATCGGACGCATGACATCCTTTCCAATCTTTTCGTTGTATGGTTTTCACATTGAAGAGTAAATAATAAGTTTATTTAATACAAGATTCGTTAGGTAAATGCACAATTTTATTTTGAAGTTTATAAAAAATAACTTGCCTAAATATATGTGTAAGTAATAACACAGAAAGTTGCCAAAGAACTTTCTTAAGTCCAGTTGTCAAAATGGCTATGCAAAAAGTCGACCAAGGCAAAACTGACTTGAATGAAAATATATTTTTATCTCATTTTTCTTGAATTTGCCAAAAACTTGTTTCAGTGATGGAGATAGCTGAGATGTGAAATTTTTAAAATTTTCAACTTAATATCTTTGTTATTCCTCAGATATTTTGCTTTTTGTTTAATCGGCCTAAAATTGTATCAATATTTAATTCCCCTAACTGTCAGTAAGATCAGGCAAAGTTTTGCTCCTACTATGGCTATGAATCTGAAGTCTCATCTAAGGGGCAATTTGAATAATGTTATTTTGAACTTCACTGATGATGATTATATTTATGAAAATGACATAAATTTTAAGCATTAAAAATTAATAAAAGCAATGATGATTTTTAGAATTTTGACTGGTTTTTTTAAACCTTTTAACTCTGTCTAAATCCTTGCCAAGCTTGAGATAAGTGTCAACTCTGAAAAATGATGCTAGTTAAAGGTTATTTTTATACATTCTTGTTTTATTTTTAACTTTATTCTCAGAGGGTCTTATTTAGATATGGATTTAGTGGGAAGTTCATCTTACCTTTTTTTCCTATTGATGCTCTGTTTCTTGCCAGGATGAATACCACAGCCCTTATCAAGCCTTGCAGTAAGATTTTTAGCAAAACAGGGGTGAAAAGCTGGGGTGGAGTAAGCAGCTCTGTTAGTAATTTCCTGGTTAGCTATTGGTAGACAAATAAGAATAGAAAAAAAGGAAAAATTGATTAAAGGAGATCAATTTGCTTTTTAGAAAAATAAAGCAATCTGTAGCTCCCCTCCAGCATTTGAGGAGAGCCTGGAGGGAAGCTAAATGGCTCTCCTCAAATGGCCAGGTTTGCCTCATTATATGAGAGTTTCTATTGTTCATTTACAGAATGATATTGTTAAAGCTATAAAGTTGTTTGAAGACTCAACTAAAATGGTGAACATGATCAGTATATTTAGTAGAAATGAACACATAGATGAAGTATCTGCTACGAATTTGAGGTTGGTGGTTACAAGTTGTACATTTTTTCAGCTAAGATAATCTAATCAGAAACAATGAAAACTAAGCCACAATTTTATTATTCTGTCTCCTGTAACAAGCAAACATATTAACTTGACAATATATGAACTAAGCAAGAAACTTTCATTTTCAGTTCCTTTCATGTAAGCGTTTTAAATTTTGAAAAAAGTAAAGTTATCATCAAACTAGAATTTTTTATTAAAACCAGGTGATTTTCTTGTCTTTTATATAGTATTGAGGTATACAGCATCATTTTATTTCTTAGTAGTTTTGGATGTTGTTACTTGCCAGCCACCCTTCAAAATTTAGGAATAGCTTTATCAGATTATAATCAGTTTCCATCATATTTTTCTAGGTACTTCCTCTTACCGGCCTTCATGGGAGAGCTTAGTCTTTTACAGCAGGGTAATGATAGGAGCTCTGATGTTACAAAATCAAAAGTAAGCTAACATCCCAGCTAGTACAGGAACTTTGTAAGTGTATTCTGAAACAAGAGTATTTCTATCACATTGCCATTTTCTGCATCAGTAAAAACTATGCAGAGGACATGGTTACTAGCTATACAAGGGCCTTAGGGTTTGGAGATCTACTTAAAAATTTCCAAGAGGGGGCTCATTCACTCCTTGTTGCCATTTTACCCTAAACAACCCTTTGAAGAATGATCAAAGGGCAGTATATTTTCCTCATTTAAAAAAACAGGAATGTTTCTTAGTGCCTCTTTTAGCAAAATTTTTATTTGAATCAAGCTGCTGCTTGAACAATTGAAAGTTCACATATGATTGATGAGATAACAGAATGTTTACTTTATCAAATGAAAAAACTTCTTTATAATAACATCAAGATTTTAGTATTGTTGTATCTTAGGACATTTTAGTGTCAATGAGCTGTTTATTCAATTACTTTTGAAATATACTTTTCAATAATTCTGTCATTCTTTTATTATATTTTTCTTTATTCTTTCATTCCAGATTTATTTTCTTGACTTTCTTCAAAGATGCAACGATTATTCAATAACAGACCTAGTGAGTTTTATTTTTTAAGATATGGGATGTTTTCATTGTCATATGATGTTTAGGTACATTCCCACAGTCATCTTTTTTGACAACACCCCATTTCCTATGATCATTATATATTTAATATCCACTTTCTGTGCTTCATGGGACTTACTCATATGGTCTTCCAGTTTTGGAATAATTTTAAAAATTAATGTTTTATCAAACAACATTTGTTCTTGTTCTTTTTCTTCTTTCATCATCTTAATATTCTCTGTTGACTTCACTGAGCATCAACCAATCCGACATCACCACCCTATATTATCAATTTCATTTACTCTGATAAGGCCCTGTATGTCAGTGCATAAGAGTAGCTTTTAATTTAATTTGGTTTAAAATTTTATTTCTCAACGTATTGGATTCTAATCATCGTTTTGCTTTGTTCCTTTCTGTTGCCTAAAATGTTACCTTAAATGTTATGATGTTTATTAATGTTTAATAGAATAAAGGAAAAATAGAAAAACACAATCCTTAAAGTTTGAGAATATGAAAATGGCTTTGAAAAAAGGAAATATTTACAACATACTTAAAGCTTTTTCATCTAACACTCCTTAGAGTATAAAACATCAGAATAAGGGTCAGAAGGAACATAATGAAAAATATATACCCAGTTATGGATGGAAATAGGACAATCAGAAAACACAAGCACATGACCAATGTAGTTGTCCAATTAGTGCCGCGTTGAAGACATAAAACTATGAAAATATGAAGGACATTACTCTCAATTTCAAATATTCTTTTAGGCTGTGATTTCAAATTTGTTCACTTTCCTAGCTTTTTAAATATCTCATAAATGATTTATGCTAATAGCCCAATTATATTTTGGTGAAACATATTATATATTTTGGTGAAACATATTATTACTACATATTAGAATCTTCGATATCATGTATGATATAAATAAACCTTAGGTACAAAAAGGAATTGTGTCAAAATACAAGAACAGGAAGAAAAACAATTTAGGCCTGTCATCACACTGTTTATCTTCTTAATGCTTAATTTGATTTGTAAAAGATGTGTGTAAATAATCCCTAGATACCATGTACACTTAGTGAACAAAAGTATTGCACAGGTTTGACAAATGAGTAATGGCGACCGCGTTGTAAAAAACACAGTGATCGAAAATTAAACCACTTTTTTGCAGCCATTAGGCGTATTTTTATAGTTAATAACCAGTCAAACCAATCTTCAAACTGTTGGCAACACTTTTGATTTAAAGATTGTAAAAAGTTACTTTTTAAAACGTTAAAAAATGTAACTTTTTATCGGACAGTCTCGCATCTTTGAAACCTTTGTGAAACTTGCCAGAAGTTTGTCAAAAAGTTTTGTAACAGATTCTGTTAATCACGACATGACAGTTTAGAAAAACATTTGCAAGATCACATTTAGGTGTTGGGGTACAAAGTTGATCATGAATGGCCTTGTATTTCGTGGAAATTGGCATATATTAAGCCATTTTATTATGCCTACTCTTTTACAGCTATTGAGGCACTTGAGTGAACCTGTTATCGCAGGAAGTTTGGTATTTTCATTTAATGAGAGGACGAAATGTTGTTTTACGCAATTTGCTAAATTATTTGTTCCCATTACTAAACCGCAATTGGTTGGAAAAAATGGACTTGACAATTTATGACACATTTTATTGATAGAATTCTGCTGCAACGTATCACGAAGCGGCCGCTACGATAAGGCCTATTGCAGCTCCAAAAATTTCCGAAGCTCACGAAGTGTAGATGGGTTGGTTTTTGGAGTACTGCAAAATTAATATCTTAAATACTTAAACCTTAATATCAATGTTCTTTGAGCATTTATCTTCTTTAGCTTCGTGTGTCTATGATTACGTGACCCTTTTTGTCGCACATTTCTCTTTGTTCTTTAACATACATGCAAATATAGCCTACACTTTATACTTTTCTCAGGACAGCACGGAAATACTTTTATATGTTTTAATCTTGTCTTCCTGCAGGATTTAAAACAGTTTTGTGCTGACGAGGAGAAAGAATCCAAGCCTATTCGTCCAAATGTTTCCACTGACAGACAAGCCAAAATAGACAGATATAAAGAGACAAAAGCCCTGAAAGAGAAAATTTCTGTAAGTTTACTTTTAGATAAATTGACATTGCCTATTTACTGCTAAATCCTACTAATTTATTACAAGAGACAAAGGAGTCAAACGTTCCAAACGATATCAGATTTCTATTTGTGATTCGAAATGAGAGATACATGCTCTATTTTCAAGTACATCCAGAGCTTCTTCTCTGTTATATTTTGGTGAAGTATTTTACTGTATTGAAAATTGGCTGGTAATTATCAATGGAAAAGCATATTGTTTTCAGTTGACACTTGACTTGACAGCTGACTCCTTCTCGACTTGGAACTTCATAATGACACATTGATTTGACGTTAGACTTACTGATTGAAAACGGCCAAATAATTACAGGTTTTTAAGATGGATAAAATTACTGAACTTTTAGATGCCATTACTTTAATTTCAATGTCCTTTTCATTTTCTCAAAATGCCTCTATTTCTCTATTTTTTTGTATAGAAACTGGAACAGAAATTGAAGCTGTCTCCAGAAAGTGTGGATGAAGAAACGCAGGTTAATTTTATAATTCATTCATTTTTAAAATTTCAATCCGAATAGTATTCAAATAAATTGCTGAATGTAGCCTCTCCTGACCAGTTTTATCCGCTAATGCTGTGATGTGTCCCCAATCGCCATTATTTGTCTGAGGCCTATTTTCTGTTACTTCTTCTAATAATTTTTTTTATGTTACTGGAAAGAATAACTACATTTCAAATTTGCTAGGTAACTAAGGTTTTGTCTTCAATTTCAAAGTTGTGAAGCAACAAAGGTTATGTCTCTAATTTCATATTTTTCATTCTGGAGAAAATTTACCATTAGAAGTCTAGAACCCTCCTCTGGTTCGAAATTTATTCAATGTATTAGCATACTCCATAGCAGAATGCAGTTACCAGTTAATACATTGAACCTTTTGTTATTTATTTTTAGCGTGAATATTATCTATCTTGGATCCGACTGTGGGTAAACGAAAGTGTAGACAAGCTCTCCTTGATAACAAGTAAGTGTTCCAATGTTTGGTCGCAAAACTGGACTTGGATCGGGTCGTAGTTCATTTCGACTACACCCATGTGGTACGTTCATTGCAGGAATGTCCATATAATCCTGAGCAATTTAAAGTTGATCGGGAAAATGACAGTGAATTCTGGTGCAGTTTGAAGGCGATTACCGATTGATGGGTTTTATATCCCCAGAAATTTAGAGATAAACGCAGGTATGACTGGAGTATTCAGGGCCTTTGAAATATCTCTTGGTCAGCGAGTCCACGGGGATATGGTAGGGAAGTGAAAAAAATTGACATTCAAACCTATAACCCTTGGCTTCCTAGAAAGACCTTTTAAAATGCTAGTGGGCGTCAAGCTTTGTCTTACAGAACTACTGCTAAAGGCGAATTTTAGCCAATAATAATCAGCATGATGTCATTTTAAATTTCTTCAGAAAAGTCAGCTGCAGTATTTTGCAGTTGCAGTAAAAATTCAATATTTTCATCGATATATACTAGTATAAATGGTGATAGATTTTGATTTTTCCAATTTTAACAATTTTAACTTTATCTAAAATTGATTACAATCAGCTATTTATGTTGCGTGAACAGTTGATTTTTAAATAAAAATGACAATCACAATTGAGTAGTTTTTCCTTCCAAATTCATTTGATGAATTTGGAAAGCTTGAAATATTGAATGAAAACTTTTTGTTTTGGAACGTCTTTAGTTCACAGTACTCAATTATAAAAGAAGTTATTCTTCAAAATACTTGCATTTTAATCTTGTGGTTTTTTTATTTTCTCAGGCGAATTAGAAATCCTTGAACATATGAAAAAGCTTCAAACAGGAAAAATTAAGCCAGAAGAAAAGCCAAAACCTAGAGAGGTAGTCTTGTTGTTTTGGTTCTTGCCCTGCTTTTAGATTGCTTTTATTGATTGATATCTGCAAACAATAAGGCAAAATAGGTCGTTGTGTCGTTAAAATCATTATTCAGTATTCTGCTGACCACAAAAACATATTTACTTGATAATTCATGCATAATTGCTTCTACGTATTAGTATGGTTTGTCTAATGACAGTCATAATTCTAAATTAACTATTGATTTTCAGAATTTTAGGCTAATAGCCACGTTTTTTTATTTCTATGTGTTTTGAATTTCTGATTGAATGTAGAATGAATCTTGTGAAATATGAAAAAAATCTTGAATATATGAATTTTTTAACTTTTGATATGATGATATAGAGAACTTTTCTGCAGCAAAAATCAGCGAGTAGTAATCAGCGAGACTTTCAGCTTGGAATAGGTCGATTAGTAACCTTTGTATCCATTTTGACAACGTTGATTTGCAATGTTAATTGTTTAGTTTAGTTTGTTTGTGATCTTAATTATTAGGTGTTTAATTGTTTTCATAATGAAGAGTTGAGTTGATTTTTTTGAAGCTTGAAACAAATAATAAAATTTGGAAATAAACACGTGTTCTCTCATCTTTCCAGCCAATTAAACCTATATTGATCACAAAGGAATCTATTAAGGTAATCGAAGTTGCAATATTTTCCATAGCCGTTTTTATTTAATAGCAGGCTTACTTGCCTTGTTTATTGAATTATACTGAAATACGAATTAAAACAGTTTTAATAAATGTTAATGCAATGTCCGACTTCAAACTTTGAATGTTGCGCGTATGATAATGGTTCACAGCTTTTATAATACTTTACTGCTTGAAAACTGCACATGGAAAGAAGTTGCAAGCATGTGATATGCAAAACAAGTTTGAATGTTAATCGTTAGTTCTTTGTTTTGGGTAGATAAGTTTGCGTAGGAAGTAATAGGCGGGGCACGTTCCCTCTCTTTTCAATACATACCTATGGCCCTGGGTTGACATATGTTTCTAGGATAACGGCCATTTCTTCTCTCCCTTGTTGTATTTTTATGTTTGTAATTGTGGAGAATGCAGTGTAATTTGGGATCCTCTTGTCAGGGCCTAATAAAAGCCATTGTCGAAAGTTTATTAAAACGCTGCTAAACCTATGTGTATCTTCGAACCTGTTGTTTTCTTCCAAGAATTGGATAAGGGTTTGGGCCATACCCATAATTCAATTTACGATTTTTATTAATCGAGTCTGTTCTTTACTAAATTGTCACAGCCTGAATCATGGAGTGCACATTTACAAGATTTTGCACTCAAATGTTGTCTGTATCTACGACGTCACAAAATTCGAAAACGTTCATTGAAGTGTTTTTGATACGTTGTAGCATTATTCTCTTATTCTCGCAACAAAAACATGAAAGCTTATTGATTATATAGCCAAACAGCTACCTTGCAGTTCGCTTAAGAAGAGAGGAACACATAAGTGCTTTAGATTTGGCCATTTATTGTGTTTTTCTATAAGCTCTTTACAGAAAATGAAAAATGAGAATTGAAAGGGATTGTTATTTACTTATGTGATGACATGAGAGCAAGTTATCCATTCAATTCTGTTGATCTGCTTCTCAAGTATCAATGTTTTTCTGTATCTTTTTTCCTCTTACGATTTGATAAGATAATATCTTTAATGTAGTAATGATTTCTCGATATGAAATTATTCAGAAATATTTTATCCTCAGAGCGGATAGCCTTTTCTTTCAGTCAAAAGTTTTTGGCGCTGGATACCCCAGTCTGCCTTCCATGACACCTGAACAGTGGATGGACAAGCAAATCGCAGATGGGAAAGTCGTTCTAGACTACAAGTAGGAATTTTATATTGCTAATTGCTTAGGTGATTTTGCTGTTCCGTTTTTACGTACCGTTAAAGCTGTGTTGAGCCCCCAATGTGTCTTATTCGAGTCCATTTGGAGGTTCCAGGGAAGGAACGTAAAATGAATTGAGCTGTTAAAGATAGAACTCTACCGAAACGTCGACTAAATAGAATTATTTGTATGGTTTTAATTGGTCTTCTATTGAATCCCAAAATAAGCCTTAGTTGTACAGCATGTTGGTACCATTACTGCATTTGCGACCTTCACAGACATTTAATTAAGGTGCTACCATTGTTTGTACCGCTTGCTAACGTTTCAGCCATTGGGTTAACACTCCTGTCAGACAATATCTCTAATAGCTGGCATAGACTTGTTCAACGCTAGATAAACAGTTTCAACCCTCAAAAAGCTTTTAATCAATTTGTTGGTAATACATTTTTCAGTTTTATGTATAGCTATCTTCTTTTTACTTTGATAAATGCCTTCCAACGTAAAATTAGGTACCTGCCTTCCATCTCAATAGAGTTTTTCACCAAGACTTGGCTCTACCAGTGAAGGCCTTCTCAAGTTTTCTTGAGATTCGCCATGCTAGTGAATATGGTAACCCTCTCCTTGTTTTGATCAAAACATGCGTGCTACGCTTCCAGTTTAGCTTTAGAAGTAGAACTTTCGCTGAGATAGTAAGCAGGGGCGGACATGTAGCCAAATGTTTGGGGGAAAATCAATTGTTTTATTAAGATGGCATCACATTTTCCCAATGTTTTAGAACAAAAGACCATTGTCCCCTCCAAAGTATTGACCACTGATAGTAAGCTGTTATTTCGCTAAGATGGTATAGCTGCCTGCGAGGTCCCAGTTTGATTTCCAGGTGAATAGTAAGGCCTAAATACTTCAAGTAAGCACAAACTATCAATATATGAGGGCATTTACAATATCTTGCTTCAGCCCAAACGTCAACAGTGCTCCAACTGAACATTCCTCCGACGATGAAGATGATGATGATGACGAAAAAATACAAAAGGCAAGAGCTTGGGACGAATGGAAAGATGGTAGGTTCTTAAAGTTTGCGTCAGTTTATTCAATAGTAATGCGATTCTGAAAATTTCCTCAAAGATTATCCTCAAGCTTGTTTTGGTTTAGTTATATCAATAAAAGATATGTTTAATTTCTTATTTGTATCATAGTCGTGATTTCTTAAGTACCAAGTTTCATCCGTTTTCCAGTGGTTTTATTATTGTTCCGTTAAGCATTTGTACTGTGAAGCATTTGTAACATATCATTATGGCACCAAATAAAAGATGAACTTTTTTGTGTGCACACTTTTATCATTTTTCAATTTATATTTTGTTCATTAACTTTTAGTTGGTTGATAAAACTACTTTAATATTATGGATAACCCTTCCGGTTTTGATGCCATTTTGAAATTTGAGGCACTTCTCTACAGTTGCATTTCTTCTCGGTTCGAATTTTCAATAATCGTATCAATCTTAAATTTAAGAAGGAAATAACATGTTTTAATGTACTTGGCAAAGATCTGTCTCCTTCAACTCAGACTTTTGAGAATAGTTGATATTTTTTAGAACAAACCAATTTTTTGCTTATTAAACAAATCAATTCATTTTTAGAGCACAAAAGAGGTGAAGGCAATCGCAAAGACAGGGGCTGAGATGGAACCCTGAAGAACGAGAAAAGGAATATCTACTGTAGACTTGAGGTACCAGTGAAAAGCTGGAGATCGTAAGGTGCCACTTTGTATCTATCTTCTTCGCTATTCAGGGCAGGCGTTGCCACATACATTCCTTGCGATGACATTCAGGTTTATTACATTGATTGCAAATCTCGTCACAGAGATGTGATCTTGCTAAGATCGTCGTGGTTTGTCACGTCTTTTACAAAATGTATTAATTACATGTAATTGGGTGTAATGCATTATTTTTACTGCCTACGCAAGACTTTATATCATGTGATTTATAAAGTTATTTGAAACAAAATTGAAATCCTTCGAAAACGAAGTGCAGGGCAAACGTTCATTTTTGTGTCAGAGTTTGCTTGACGAAAACGGAGTTGTCCGGAAAAATGGAAATGGGTCGAATGGTAAACGGAGAATAGTAGTAACAGGGCGTAAGAGAGAGGCACAAAAAAATCATGTTACATTTTTTTTGAATTTCGAAAGTCTAATTTTTCTTAAAAAAACAGGTATGTCTATTTACAGGACTTGAAAAACTTTTTAAATTGATATTTCTTGAATGGCTACTACCAGCAGTAATAGCCAATCAAAATTGGTTAAAGTAATTCGGTATGTGTTTCGCTAAAATGAGGTTCCCAACAAAGGGTAATACAGAAATACAGGTTAAAAGAATATTTATATGCATTGCAGAGAAATGTGGATATTAAAAAGCTCTCTAAAAATCAGCGAAAGGGTTTCTAAGAAAGATATTTATAGCATTTTAAATTTTAACCGGGTTTTCTATTGCGTGATTTAGATTTGGTAACTGACTTTTGTAAAAAACATGCCTGATGGTGATGATTTTTTTTATGCTCGGTGCTGAAAATAAAGAAAAAAGCTGCCAAGTTCTTTGAAACAGAAACCTTGACAAGCGTTAAGAATATGCGCTATATTGTTTTCTTGGACTGTTAAACTTAAATTGTTAAATGATGCTGTGCACAAATAATAAAATATGAAAAAATCTGCGGTGTCATATGAATTTGAACTGCAGAGTTAGGGGTGATCCAGGATATGTGAAAGATTGCTACTGTAAAATTGAGGAGGAATAAGAATATCACACTGTAGTTCTAAGGGAAATTGATGAATGGAGGCATTGTTTAAAGCTGAAAATGCTATTCTATTGTATAACTATTTAAATACTATTTTGAGGTTTATCTACCTTTACGTCATCTAATTCAAATCCTGCGTTTTTATGAGAGTTCACGTCGTATGAAGTTGTACTTTTTTGAGACTTCTTTACCTTAATCAGCTCTGATACCTTGCTGATGGCTTTGTCGTATGGTTCTAGTGATCTGGACCACTTTGGTGCCCAGTCCCATGTTTTTAAACGTTGAGGCAACACTCGTGGTTTCTTGCTTTGAAGAATGTTGATTATAATGATGGCAACTATCAACAGCAAGACTGGAATGCCTATTCCCAAGAAGACGGCTGTGCCAGCTAAAGAAAGGCCGAACACCATTCCTGGAATCACGAAGAAGACAATGAAGATGTACACGATTGCAAACCAACGAAATCTAGCCGTGGTGTTACCAAGACACTTTGCCATGTTCATGGGCACTTTTCTCATAAAAGGAACTGGGTACCACACGAGAATGCCAGATATGTTGAAGAAAAGGTGACAAAGAGCAATCTGCAATGTGTATCTGATCTTGCTTGAGTCTGCTGCGAAGGAGGCCAGCAATGCTGTTGTTGTTGTCCCGATATTGGAACCTAGTGTCAACGGATACATACGATCCACACTCACAACTCCAACTCCAACCAATGGAGTCAGTGCTGAGGTGAAGATGGAGCTTGATTGGACGAAAAATGTCAACACAGCTCCGAAAACTATGGCAAGGTAACCAGTGAGGAATCCAAATGGTTTTGGGAAATCAGTGTTGACAACTTTCCTTGTCATCACAGCGAGGCGTCCTCTGAACATGGAATGCAAGAGCTTTACGATAGAAACGAGGCAGACACATAGCACGAAAATCGAAAGGACGAGAAGTATTGTTCCAACGGCGTTGTCTGAAAGTGAGGTGCCATGAAATAAAAAGTCACAAGGGACATCTTTCACCTTGACCAATTTTGTTGTATTTACCATTTTATAAGAGCTCCCAACTGATACATTTGCAAGATGCGTCACATTGTGCTGACTTTCTGCGCAGAATTGCTGAATCATACTTTTCTGCTCATATTGCATGCGCTCTTTTTCGGTTTGTGCTTTTGCAATCTTCTCAATCAATTTTTTGTCAAGCTTGATGACCTTATCTGTGAATGGCTTGGTGATCTTCTTAAGGTAGTCCTGCTTCAGACTCTCCTGTGTTTTGAGGTTCAAAGATTCGACAATTCTGTCACTCAGGCGGAACAAATAACCAGTTATTGCCTCAAGGGGCAGGAAAATAAGAACAGTCAAGAAGTTGAACATGTCATGAACTGTGGCGGCAGCGAAAGCACGACGAAATTGATCCCTGTCTATAGACTGGCCAATGGACACCAAGGTATTCGTAACAGTTGTTCCAATATTGGCGCCCATTATGATGTATATTGCATTCTCTACTTTGAGAACTACAAGCAAAATTGAATGAACATGATCACTTAAAAGAAACCACACTGGCTCCAAAACATGACCCAAGGGACGGTTCTGGTAATTCTGCTACATAAGAGAATCTCCCTTGGTGTCCCTTGTGAAAACATTACAAGGTGCTACATTGTTTGAAACTGACATCTATTTGTGTAGTGCTGGTTACAAGCCAAAATGAAATACGCTAAAGTCAGACATTATTTTCTCTACAATTTCGACTCCGATTGAAAGGTTTTCGTCTAGATCTTTTATTTCAAATTCCTACGAAATGTAGGCAATAATTCTCACGAGAATTGTGTTTTGTGTAGCTGCAGCACCATTAAGGGTGCCGTTTCCCAACTTGGCAAATCATGATTCATGTTATTACTCTACAAATGTATTGAGAAGGTGTAAAGAAGTGATTTTAGTAATGTATAGCACTAAAATAAGACAGAAGAGGCTGTTTTTATGGTAAAAGGTCCTAATCTTGTGGAAGAAGCTTTTCACTTACCATCTCCAGCTACCATAGCAACAACAATAGATGTTGATGTGGAGGAGCTTTGTACCAGCACAGTTACCAATACCCCGATCATGAGTCCCGCGACTGGGTTGCTGAGGATTTCATTTTCTGAAAAGGCCCTTCCAGCTGCTTTGCCACCCAAAAGACGGAAGGCTGAGCTCAGAAAACTCAAGGAGCAAATGAACATGTACAGCAAAGCTAACAGCAGAGACACCTTCAGTACGACAATAACGACGCGCTTCACCTTGCCAAGGCCGTCCAACTCTGTTGGTAAAAAAAGTGTTTTTATAGCTCATAGAGCTACTTGACTGGTTGTAAAACATAGCTTTCATTTACGGTCTCATTTTGGAACTACTGTAAACATCACTGCACGGATTTCTGACAGCCATTTTGGATTTACCACAATGCTTTCAGCCCGGATACAATTTTCATATCGTTTGTGCTTGAATCATAGAATGTAGAAGTTTTTCAGTTAAATCCGTTGTTAGGTTAAACTTTGTGTTGCCACAAAATCAATTTCATAATCATTAGCACAAAAACTTTAGTACAACATTGTTTGAAGTGTTTTATAAACGAGGCCAGAAATGTAATTCATTTCAAGACTGTACTCAGTTACATTTGTCTTCTAAGAAATGATAATGTATATAAAAGCACGAGATATTACGATTTCAGGTAGAGGATGAACAGATTTCATAACATTGAAGAAATATTATACAATGCTCCAATATATAGCGCATATTTTTTACCTTTGATGGCAGAGAAAGGATAAAATAACGAAAGTAGAAATGGTTATATTTTACTTTTTCAAAATTTGCAGGACCTACCCGACCACTTGGCACTCGTATCTTTGAATTCAGGCAAGGCCCAAACATCAACTGATTCATCGTTGTGTTTTTGAGAACCCTGTGAAAATAATTTTGCCATTTGATGAGATGAGTTTGAAATTGTATTTATCCGTGATAGATACTGCCAATATCGGCTTCATTGGTTCCTAAACCTTGTTAAAATATGATTTAGGAAATTTTTATCCCTTACTGCTATCAAAACATGACGCAGCTATTCTTTAACCACTGAAAAACTAACTCGTCAATAAGGAAATCAAACATTCTAAGCTAAAATGTAATGTAAGCGGGACTAGCTAAAAATGTTAAATCATCGCGCTATGCACAGTCTCGCTCTTGTGAGCCTCTTTTTCGCTTTTCTTTCTATCATTCATTAGGTTAGTCCTGCTCTCTATCTTTTTTTGCATTGCAACATGGACTGCTTCGCTTAAAAAACAATACCCCTTTAGGAAGTTACATCAGTTTTAAAGTTTCGTACATCACTACTAAGGAATATCAAAACGTTATTAATGCTTCATTTGGGAATCTCATCTCGAGGTTAAGTATGTACGCTGTTATGTACTTAAATTATTTAATGTTGTCGTTACACTTCTATCAGAAACAACCAGGTTAACAAAAACTCATGACTCTTTTATGTTTGAATGAAAGAGCAAGGAAAGACGAGATATAGGTAATTTCTCACGAGGAACTAAGGGCTTGAGGGATGCCAAGGGGATCAATTCATCAACTGTGAAAGCAATTTGATAAAAAACAATCCAACAAGATCGACAAACGGCAGGTTTGAGAGCAATGATCTCAAAAATGAGTGTCTTAAAATCCAAAATCTCACCTCACTTGAATTTTTTGGATCCATTGTCAGGAGTTGGAAATTGAACTTTGACCTGCAGGAGGAAAATATATGGTGTTAGAATACTCTTCATTTGCCTGTTCTCTGTTCTTGAGAACTTATCGTCGCTATTGATTCAAATTTCAGCGTGTTTATAATCACAACGCTATACCAAGGGCCATTACTTTAAGGGGCTTGAGGGGTGTGTCACCCCCTTGAAAGAAACCCAGAGGCTTTTTGCCATCTAGGGGTGCTTTGTCGGCAAGTATATTGACTGCGAGTCCAAGCTGCTAAAAGAGAATGTGACTGCGGTGGAGAAATGATTGAGGGAGTAGAAAAAACTTCTCCTTTCCCTTTTATTTCTTCTCCACAGTCCTTTCTCTTCAAACCAAGAATCCTTTTATCGCAGTAGTTATATTTCCCCGTTTGTATTTTACATGAAGAAAAATTTTAGAAAGTGTAATATAGGCCAGCTCTTTAGTGTCGAAAGCTTCCAGAACCTGTATTACAGCTGTTCAATTCAAAGGCAATCGACAGATGAACGCGTGAGTGGAATCACGCTCACTGATTAATCAATTTATGATTGAAAGATACCCTGCGCCCATCTGTCGATTGCCTTTAATTACAAACTGCAAATATCACAAAGTGGACTAATATTGATACAGTTCGTAATATATTGCTTTGCTTTTGCATATTAAGCATTCAAAAAGATACTGAAAGTTAAACTTGGTGGAAAATATATGATTGCTTCCAACACAGGCGGTTAGGTCTGTCGTGGTTATGCCTTTCATTTTGACATGTGGTTATCCATTCAATTACTCTGAAAGCCATTAACAAAAGAGAAGATCAGCTATTACTGACTTTGATAGAATTCAATCTCATCCACAATGGCAATTGTTTTAAGATGCTCAAATTTGAATTCGATTTACAAATAAACCAAATCCTTATATTCAGAAAAAAACAGAAATTTCAATTGAACAGGAAACAAAAGCGGACAATGTGGGACGCTGAAGGCATCAGAAAGGCGAATTCTTGAAAAGGTAGTTTTTCATTGGATGGAAGACAAAAACCTTTTCTTAGACTGAAACAATGATCCAGGATGGCGGGAAAGAGCCAAAATGTAATCGGATTTCTTCAGCTAATAGGAAACCCACCAGGGTGAACCTGTGCGCCTATTTGCAAAAGATCCTCAGCGCAGAGCGTCAGAGAGAGAAGTTTTTGTAGGAAGGTTCAGGAGAAAAACAGCACTTTACTTTGGAGATAACCTTAACTTTGGCTGAGAATTTTCAGCAACCATATCATCTCCGCACGAAATGCTTTAAAATCTAATAATCAGTGAATATCTTATAATTGTTACGCGGTACTTTTTATTTTCCAAAGTCAAAGATGGATTGTTTTTAAAAAGGCACTAAATAAATGATATGATAAGTTGCAGAAAAATCTAGTCATGGCGCACAATTTATTCAAGGAAAAAAATCTTATAGCGCGAAGTCATCGTTAGAGTCACTCTTGGAAAATAGGGACATTTGTTCGAATCATGATCTCGTTGGTCACTCCTTTGGGAAAATTTCGGACACGTACGCAAGTTGATAAGTTGCTCATTGTGCATTGTTGCGAAGCAGCGATTGAAAATAAAAGAAAGTAACTAACACAATAAGGTGACATGAAATGAGGAATAATCATACTAGGTGTGCTGAAGATATGATTAAGCAACAGGTCATTGTCCCCATGTGCCAATTAGTCTTACGGGAATAAACTTTGAAAAAATAAAGTTACTTGATAGGAGAAACCTTTTCAAGCAGAGCAAAAAACATGTGCCACTTTTCAAAGTGAAATTTGGTACAATAGATGTAAAATAATGTTTTTGGAGCTTTTGCGAATAATTATGGAAACTTTTGAATGGAAGGCAGAAAATTTCGCGAACGCGCGCTTTGTGTGCTAATGCATCGCTACTAGTTAAAAAACAGCAAAGCCTAAATGGCCTTTGGACAAAAGTAAAGATTGAATTGTAAGAATATAATGAATTTACACGAAAATTGGGGGTAGTTGCAAAAGTCATGGAAAAATCTAAATTTGTTTGTCACTACCGTTACTGTTAAAATAAAGCACACAAAATCATTGGACGGATATTTTAGTATAAATTCTTGTCAAATTGAGCTAAATATTCACTCGTGAAAAAGTTGATATAATTTGTATCTCTGACGTTAAATATATTTATAACATGTGCTTACCTTGGTTTCGGCAAAGAAGCTGCCTCTGAAGTCTTTTGGCTGTGTGATTGTATCGTTCCCTCTCAAGCCATAACTTCTCTAATCGTCGCTCTTATATCTGAAACCAATGGGGAATCCCTAAACACGAATACAGCACGTGAATGAATGGCTTTGGGTCTTTAAGAACATAATCTGAACACGTGAAATCACCCGTAACACACAAAGTGATCACTAACTGATCATGTCTTGAGTCGCTTCATAAGTTTTGTGGACACTTCATAAGTTTTCTATGGGCACTATGGTATGGGTGAATTGCGTGAGCGGTTTCGGAAACATGCGGACAGCCGCGCCATAGATTTGCTTTAAAAAGCAAACAGTTGGAAAGAAAGAACTTAGAAATTGTTGGCAAATGAGACAAGAGGGGTCTTGCAACAAATCATGGAGAATTTTCCAGATGGGAGGGTGTTCGCTCTAAGGCATTACAACACGAAACAACCAAAAAACAAATTGCACGAAACATGCTTCCGCTGAAACAGTGAATTTGGAAAAATAGGGGTTTTTCGGGAAGGGGTAGTTCACAAACTGTCAATTCTAGGCTCCTGTTGGATTAGATTACACATAAAAATTGAAGACAGCAAACATTGATAAATGTTACTAATGAAATTCCACATTAAACTATGAAAACATCGTTAAAAATCTCCCTCAGTTTTTAAACCGTCTTTTCATGATTCACGACTTGCTTTGAAAACTCGATTAAATCAGGTTTTCCATTCCAGTATTGTTTCTTTTACTCGTGGAAGCACGTTTTTATTGTAGAGAGCAAGTGTTGTCGACTTGTTCGTTACACGTGAGGACCACGTTAACTTCATGCACATTGCAGCCAATTAATTCTTGATTGCATGTGTTCACAAAACAAATTCCTAAATGGAAATCCGAAATGAAAAGGAGAATCCCTTTTTTGTTTTCGTAATTCCAATTATTCACAGTTCCCTGATCACATTATGTGTTTTATGTGTTTCATGTGAAAATATTTGGCAATATTTGGGAATATTTGGGAATATTCCTGCATTTTGGAATCTTTTATCTAGAAAGGCTTGCCAAGGTTTCTGAATATAAGCAGAAACTAAATGCAAACGCTTTCTGCGGTAACGTCCAAAATAAAAAAATGCGACCGACGTTAGAACATGCTAAACCTCAGATCAAAAATTAGAAGGAGAAACACTGCTTTTTAAAATTCAGCTAGTAAGCCGTGCTACGAAAAACTGCTATTAAGCGACAATTTACTGTGTGAAGTTGCAGAAAAATGAATTTGTAAGTCCAAAACTAAGAACAATGAGTTTCCCTGGTTTTATAAAAAATGTCGCCGGCTAAGAATTAGAAAATTTTCAGCAACTACGTCGGTCTAGCATGCTAGAGGGTTTCCTCGATTTTCCGTGATTAAAAAGTCATCGATTTCCAAAGATGGATTTTCTGAATTTAGGCCCGAGTCCGAAATTCACCCACGCCAGTAATGTACTGTGTTGCGTTGAAAAACAACCAACGCAACTCAACAGAACTCAAACGTCATGGATACCTCCAAATTTTGTAAATTCTAGACTGCAATGCTTCCATATGCATGGATAGAGCTGTTTGGACAATCAAGCAAGCATTTGACAGCCTTTCGCTAATTTTTGGAAACGCATCCCCTAAATTATTGCTGCCTTACATTGAAATTGTTCTTACAACTACAGTAGGGAAACTTTCATCACAAAATAGTCATTTTTCAGTTGCAAAAACGATATTTTTGCATCAAAATTACACGAAAGAAGGACATACTGAAGAATTCTACTAAAAAGAACAAAGGGTATGACGAAAAACTTCGAACGGTAGCAGTGGGTGTTAGTTACTGTGACAATAAATATGAGAATATTAAAATAGCAAACATAGTCTAAAAACCTACGACATAGTGACAAAATTGACTTTCTCTAAAATGCAAATAAAAATGAGGACCTCTTCTAAAGGATGGCTCCCACACTTCCCTTGTTTCCCAAAAATAAAAATAAGCAAACTAATTCGGAGGGTATGGCCTAGAATTAGTTATTTTGTGATATTCCACTCCAGGAACATCTCTCTTGTTGCAATTTTTAGTGGGTTCCTACAAAAATCTCTTTGGCGTGTGATATTTAGCAATAAAACAAGCAAAAAGCCCTGGAGTGGCCTGAATATAACGAGCTTAGCGCAAAAAGAAATGCACATTAAATCGATGCATGTCAGTCCATTTTGCATGTTGTTTTTGCACCTACATTTCTAAATGAACAACACCCATTAATATTTCAGAAATTCTTCAAGCACCTAAGCGTGTTCATATGACAATTTAAACCTGAAACTGCAGGGATTCAGTTCCGTGGTAGGCCTACATTCCCCTCAATTTTAGACGCATAAAAAGCTTATCAATTTCAATTGTATCCAGTGGCAGACACTTGGGGGGGGCGAGGGGCGGCGACCGTCCCCCAATACTTTGGAGGACAATGGTCTTTTGTTGTAAAACAATGGGAAATATGACGTCATCTTATTAAAACAATAGGCTTGCCCCCCAATATTTGATCAAGTGTCCGCCCCTGATTGTATCTAACTAAGAATAAACCTTGTTTGTATTCCACTGAGAAGAGGCGCATGCTACTTTGAATGAGGTTTTTTCCCCAGAGGATGAGTATTTAATCTCAAGAGAAACTAATTATAAAATGTACCAAAATGAAAGCAAGACTTTCCTAGCAGCGTTCCTTCCAAATGTTGTCATACTTTTATACACAATTTTGGTAATAACGAGAGTTGGAGGTCAAACTGTTGACATGAAACTACAACTCAACTTCTAATGGTAGGATACGATTACATATTTACAAATGTAAATCTATGGAATATAAAGTTTAAGTAGCAGGCAGTGCACTTTTGGATGCGTGAATCTTGCACCATGTGATGGAACAACGTCATATCTGCCTTCTCGAAGCGATTGCGTTATAAACGGGGGACAGCAATAAAAAACAGCACATATATGCATTTCAATTTTTAGAAACTGTTTTGCACATCAGAAAAGGATGGGGGGGACTGTGCTTTGATATGTTATAGGTATCGCTAATGCTATTTAATGTTGATATGATACCCAGCCCATGTAAAGGACGTTATCAGGTGAAGTGCAAATGGATTGGGAGTGGGGGTTGGGGGGGGGGGTCAAAATGAGTGCTTATTCAAAATCTAACATTAATAATTGGCAACATATTTCAGTTGATGAGACAGGCAGCAGGGGATAAATTAACTTTAAACATATGTTACTATACACAATTCAATGTTTGAAGAATTGTTATTTTCTTAAAGCGGAAGAGTTACAAAGAACATTAAATTTAAATTGATTCAAATGGCTCCGTTAAACCATACGTCTATTGTCATTGTTCATTGTTTCATGTTACGAGTAGCTCTTGATAACAGGGAACTCTTGAAGCAGAGAACAGGCTGTTGCAGAAACATAGGCCTACTGAGCTGCCATTCTATAATCTAGAACTTCTGATTAATTCTGACCATTAATTTTGTTCCATGGGTTCTTCTTTGCTCACGCTGAAAAGGAATGGAAATTTTGCTAAAATTCAACGATTTCTGCATAAGGTATAGTGAAGAATTTCTGATTGGCAATTTTATGAAATGGGACATCGATACCTTGAGTAAAACTTGCACAGATTTTAGCGAACAAAAATACTCCAAAAACTTGCTTACTAACGAGGAAATTTTGTGCTTAGAGTAACATCGGTGCTCGTGCCGGAAAAAATCCTGGTATCCAATGAAGAATGCCTTTAGTTCCTATTGTTTTCAAACAATGGTGCCACAAATACCTCTATCCTTCCTACAGTACCTCAAATGCAATTCAATCATAACATTGAATGGTCTAGAGGACACCCCTAAAATTATCAAACACTATATTGAAGTACCAGAGGCTGACACCAGAATGCAAATGTCATCAAAAACGCTTACCGTGCAGTGCCTCTTACGATGCCTTGCATTGACAAAGAGGCCAGGGCATTTACCGTTTCAGTCTCTTCTTTTTCCAGTCTTTCTGCTTCTTGTTGTGGTTTTGCAACTTGGGTTGCAATTCGTTTGATTATTGGCCAAAATTTGCCTGGAACACGAGAAATTATCAAATCAGTTCCATTAGAGATTCAACGTTGCTTAAAAAGTCCAAAAGAGTAAGCAAAAACTGCTCATGACAAAAAACAACAAATTTCATAAATATCTAATTTCATGACAAGCAATGTTTGATTCGTAAGTTGGTATCTTTTCAGCAACAGATTTCAGGAAAGGATTCAAGAAACTGAAATGAATGAAAATTTGTAGAATTTACAGACTTTACAATCTGTTTGGCATGATGGAATCTGGCTAGAGGGGAGGAATTAGGAGCCACTATTCGATTTCCCAGGTCCGTTAGCTACCTGGCCCAAGTTTTCGATGAATGCATACCAGTAAATGCAGCCTAAAGCGACAAATCAGGAAAAATCTACTTTGCAGGGGGAGGATAACTTTCTACGCTAAAATTGTCAGTGTTTTGGTTTAACTGTATTGCGAAGAGCATAAGTGCAAATAGTTTCCAAAGAGAGTTATAACAAAGCTAGCCAGCCCCTGTCTTCCACTTATGAATGACAAAACGATCAATCCTGAAAGATCGTTTGTTGGCTATGACGAACCCGAAAGAACAAAAATCCACTGATGACAGAAAGATTAAGGGTCAAGTCTAATGTAAATGCACTTCCAACCAAAGAAAGAAAAAAAATCAATACAAGCCTGCTTTGTATAAAGATGCCATGATCCCAGAAATAAATGAACAAAGTGAAGGATTTGATTCGAGCAAGTAACCGTAATCCTATAACTCTTATAGAATTTAATATAGAACAAAAAGATGATTAAATCTGATCACGAAAAGGAAACAATTCTACTTTGACAGAAGTAGGTTTCTATAAAGATAAAAGGTTTCCTTAAAACCTACTTTGGACATCAACGACTCTTTCTAAAGATTTTACAGCGTTTGGATTCGGCCTAGTAACCAAACTCTCTTCTCGCATCTCTGGGATCTAAAAGAAAACAGAACGATGTTAGTGTCCTTATGATATATAAAAACAGGGTGAATGGTTTACGACTTTCTGGCACTAGACAGCAGGGTACAGAAACTACCATGATAAAGTCAAAATTTAAAAAGGTAATGCCATGTTGGAGTAGGCCCCTCAGAGTGGGTCCCTTGCAGTAGGTATCTCGCAATAACTATTTACGGTAGCCTTCTCGTGGTAAGCCACTCGCGGAAATTCTTCAATGGCTTTGCTACCAAAGGTGTGTACCCATTCATCCATGGGTGGACATTAGGTTCGCCGCCTAATGCCACGCTCGACACGGAATGCGAGCTTATCAGTAGCGGAGTTGTCCCCGGACCCCTAAGCATTGTGCAACTTGAAGTTAGCAAAGGAAGAATCGATTAACATTGCAACATCTACGCTTTATTATGACAAATTAATACTGTTTGGTTTTTTCGCATGTAAGTTAACATATATGTTGATGAATTTGGAGGAGTTGGAGCAGAAAATAGGCTGACCAAACCCGCGATTCGTCAAAAGAAAATTAATGGCTATGTTGGGTGTTTTATCTCTGAGATGGATTATCTATTTTGAAATGACCTCGTTATCATCCTATTATAAACAATCTTTCGTTATTCTGTGTTGACCTTTTCTCTTCTTGTTTAGATATAATTTCGCACAGCTGCCTTGAATACATCAAAATGATCTCCTTGCCATGAAAATTTCCACTGGTTGCTTGTACCATAACTCTCTTAAGTCTAATACGTTTTCTACGCTCAACAGTTAAACCTCTAACTAACTACCTCTAACTACTTTGTGGGCTTTTAAGTTGTGAAGATAACCTTCATGGCAAAAATTTTGATTTGAAATTTGATTTGACTCGTGTAGACACTAAAGGCTTATGATATAAACAGCAGCGTAAAGGTTTAGCGGTAACATATTGGTCAAAGAGGCACTTGGATATAAAATTCAATCTAAGTTTTGCACTTTGCCGTTAATTTTCCCACTTCTTAGTGCAATCTTGAATTTTTCGGTAAAAATGTTGATAAATTGACCAGAAAGTATCTGTATTACTGGTAAAACAACCCAAGGATTAAAGCCACTTTTACGATAGATAAGAGAAAGAAAGCGGCGGGAGGCAAAAACCTGCTCAAAACATTTATAAAAAAAAAAATCTTTACCTCTTCGCCAAGCAATGCACGCATGCATCCCTCTGCGGAGTCACATAAAGATGACAAATTATACCTAGAAAATAAGAAAGGAGATTCTCGTTTTATACAGTATTAATCTTGTTTTATACAGCATTACATAAAAAACATTCTAATACCAAGGTTTTTTGAAAGATTAAGCATTGAATATAAATCTTGTGTGATTAAAGCTCAAACATTAATTTTTGAAACACATCTTGAAGCAAAGGAATCTCTGAGGTAATACTAAAAAATTAGACAAGTTTGTAATAAAAACAGTCCAGCGACAACTTACCCTCCTTCCAGAGACAAAACCACCCTTCCATTGGCAAGTGACATTATCTTTTTTGTCATGTATGCATAACCTATAACATTGAACAGGAATCGGTCAAGATAATTCTACCTCATTCTATAATTATAACAAAATTAGTAAAAACGATCGTAGACTATCACTCCATTTAAAAATTCACATGGCCCTGTTGCCTTACGGGAATGAATCCAGGGGCGTAGCTAGGGGGGGTGTAGGGGGTGTAACACCCCCCAAATCGTCATGAAATCGTCAGTAAGTCTTCAGTTTTTCTACAAAACTCTTAGTTTATCGGTAAAATCGTGTATAAATAGGTGAAATAGTACTTAAATTCTTCTCAATCTATGAGATCAATCTACACCCCCTAATCTGGAAGGTCAAGCGACACCACTGAATGAATCCTTCACACAGTGATCTTTAGACAAATAAGTCAATAGTGTTTTAATGAAATCCTTCAAAAGTTGTACTTCGGAATAAGCACTTCATTAAATAATACGTCACTCACATTGGGGCGTGACATGATATCCTCCGAGCTGTGGACTATGACCAGCCGCTGCGTCAAATCCAGCAGATACAAGAATTATATCCGGGCAGAACTCCTTTGCGATTGGAAATACCAGTGTTCTATAATAAACAATACAGAAATGATAAAGTCTGTTTCCTACAGTCATGTTCACTTCAATTAACAACATCTGACAGTTTTTACGTAAACATCGCGTCTGTCATGGACAGGTTGTCTAATAAGAGTTTTGAATATGTTAAAATTCATTTGATTTGCCTTGCCAATGCTCTCGCATCATGTTTTGCATTTTGAACTTTGAAAATATCAGAGTTCTATTTATTTGAAAACAGGAAACATTTTGAGCCACACCAAAGATATGTCGTCTGACACTTTTCAGAGTAAAAACGTCAGAGTGTAGATGAAATGTTTGCATTTTTCAATACCATTTTAAAGTGTTGTACCATCCAAACATTGTTTGTGTAAATTCTATGTATCTAGTTAAAAAAATTGACCCCGTAGAAGGTGACTTTCGATTAAAAAAACTCCCTAAATCAGTTTGGTACATCATCTATTTAATTGTTTGTCATTTCTAAACGACAAAATTTGATAAAGTGTCACGTTGAGCTGAATATTATATTACAAAAAGAAAATGAAAATTAGTTTTACTGCCGATTCTCTATGGACTTCCAATGGTACCCCAAACGGGGGTGTAAGGGTGAATAAATGATCACGTTACTTCAATCTTTACCCCAACCTGTCATGGAGCATCTGGTTACTTATAAATGAATCAAACAGATATAGTATTTCATTTCAATGTGCGAACTAAAGATCTTTTAATCGGTTCGAGTGTGTGGCTGGGCTCTTGAGTGCTGAAATAGATGAAAAAATGATGATGGTCGGTAGAGCCACCATGTTATGGGGATTCCCTTTCTTGCCCTTTCTTGGTGAAAATAATCTAAAGTCCGCTTATGGGAAACAGTTTCGTGAAGCCTACATCCATGATTTGAAGCAACTTACATAAAGCGAATGTTATGGGTATTAGCTCCTTATCTTTTTGGATGGGGGGGGGGAAGGAGAGGGGATGATCAGAAAAAATAATTAACGATCCCCACTGGCCCTAAATCTTTCCTAATGTCAAACTAACTCAAGTAACATTTTAGAGAAAATTTGTAACTGTGGCATGCAATCGAAGAATGCTTCTGGTAATATAATATTCAGTAATATAATATTCAGCTCTTAACAAATCCACTGAGGGCAACAAAATCTCGTAGCAACTAAAGCACGCTGGCATGAATAAACAGAAACATAAGACATGAAAGATACTAGGGTTAAAAATAAGTATGAGTTTGGATCTATTGATACAAATAATCTGACTACTGAAACAAATTATATTATTTCCTTCCTAAAATACTTGACTACTAAGGACGACAAATGAAATGAACGGGAGAAAAAACTTTCTCTTATCTTGCTTACATCTTACAAAAGTACTGTCTGTCATTAGCCTTGTTCAGTAACTTAAAAACAGAAAATCAATTGCTAGCATTTTCATCTTACCTGAAAGCTGCGAGATACTCTGGATCTCCGACGGGTGGATCTAAAATATACACCGATATTTGAATAACGCACTGCGCAGGAAAGATGGGAGAAAAAGAAGATTTTAACGTGCCAGCGTAAAGCATGGAAAGTCTAAGTTTTATTGCATCAAACGTGACGATTTCATGCATGGGTAGGGAATTGATTACTGAGATTTTACTCCACATTTTACATTTATATGGCACAAATGGTTCATGGCAGAGTGCAAAACAAAAATCAGATATTTAGAAGACTGTCGTTGAGAATTCCTTTGCATGCTGAAATATGACTCTGGATAAAATGATGGCCATCCTTTACTAGGGTAATTTGAGACCGTTTCTTCTTTGACTCGCAACAAATTTTGGGCAAGGCTGTTTTGAGATGTTTTGATGGGAGAGTGATAATTTTTCAAGTAAAACCAAAATGATTTTTTGCAATGAGTCTGAAATACATCTGACATCAAAGTAACACTTGAGCCTAAGAAGCTGGATCCAAAATATTTTCGACGATACCATTTTGGTATTATTGTCTACACGTAACAAACCCTAGCTCCAGCCATGGTAACCGAACTAGAATTTGTAAATAACTTTGATGCACAAATGGACTGCGTTATTCTCTTGCATTATTTTATCTTACCTAAACCTCCACTGAGAGCAACGTTGACGTTATAGCCCATACCAATACCTGCACCACACTGAAAACAAATTTATCATGATAAATCAACGAAATCAAATTTTTATTTAGAAATATCCTTCTAAATCGAATTGAAGACAATATTCTGTGTGAACAGCAATCCAACGTAGGCACAAACTTTTAACACATAAGGACTTTGAATTTTCAGTTCTTACATAGAGACACAGTGTTCTCGCTAATAATAATGAAGTATTTAAAAAAGCCTATGAATATAGAGAAACAAACTTCAATAGTGTCTTACAGTTTCTTTTATAAGAAGCGAACATCGTTTATAAACAGTCTCTTGTTAGGTGCTGGTGTACACTGATTGGTCAAAATTGAACCAAGCATAGGCCCCTTTCCTCCTTATTTGGTTATTGTCATACGTTGTTGGGAAATACCGAGTAAGACCACGTGTCCCTACCTAGTTTTAGAGGGTCGTTTTAGGACACTGAGAAGCTGTACTTATCGAGCAATTCACTGGTCCTTCCTCGCAATGTGACCATACCTCGTGATTCCTACGCCTTGAAATACAGAGAGATGGCGACTTTCTTCACTCTTAGTGAAAGTATGGTCACGGAAGAAACTTGAACCCAAGACCCTTAAACCTGTATCCGAAACTCTAACAAATGAACCATTCTTAAGAGTAAGATGAGAATCACTTTTTACAATCCATGTATAATCCGACATGTCAGACATTTTGCAGCGATCATAAAAATTCTAACGAGAATAAAAAAATATTTACCTCTTCCGGTTTTCCAGTTCCAGGAAAAAAGGTCCCGTCATCGTGGCGATGAATAGATATATAGAGGACATGATCGTCATCATAAAACATTTGTTGTGTTCCATTCCCATGATGAATATCCTACATGAAAAGAAAATTCATAATAAATTCCAAATCTAGAACTTAAAAATAAAATATGAACTATGAAGTTAGTTAGTAACAGTAAAATCTATAAAATAGCTCATCAAGTTCATATCAAAAGAAAATCTCAATCTTTAAATGTTTCATGATAAATACATAAAAATCTTATTGGAATTCTACTATCTTATTAATTCAATTTTATTAATCATCATTATTAGAATCGTCTACAGATAATATTTACAGAGGACCCAGGTTTGGGCGAAAAGTATATATAAAACCAGTTGCGGACACCTGGGGGGCGAGGGGGGCAACCGCCCCCAATACTTTAGAGGACAATGGTTTTTTATTCCAAAACAATGGGAAATGTGACGTCATCTTATTAAAACAATAGGCTTGCCCCCCCCCCCCCATATTTGACCAAGTGTCCGCCTCTGTATCAAACGATGAAAACTTCATAAAGGTTCCATATGATCACACGACATCATATCTAAATTTGAGTGAATCGTCAACTCGAGTGCGGCCTATAACTTCAGGCCATTCAGTTTAGTAAGGAAGGCATAGACCTCTTACCCAATCAACAATCAGGATACGTTCCACAGCGAGCTTCATTCGAAGAAGTCTAGCAGCGATAGCGACATTGTTGAAGTAGCAAAATCCCCTGGAAATTTAAAGGATAAGTTTGGAGAAATATTATCGAATTTCAAGTTTCTTAATGGGATGGCATAAGTTTAATGCAGTTGGCTAACATATTGTTGTGCCAACAATCTCTCCAACTCCATCATTTTATTCCATTTTTCAATACTTGAAGCAAAACATTGAAAATTCCTAATTAAAAATAATATTTTTCATGGGGATTTTTTTTAAATCTCTCTAATTAATTGAGAGCAGATATTTCTTGCGAAAAACGTCTTTTTACAAGCTAAAAAATGAATTCCTGATGTAACGGCTAGAAGCCACAGGGTAGGAAATGAAGAATTGTGACTTTAGAGAAAAGCATTGAGTTCTCTTTGCGTTAAAATACTAGGTTTAAAAAATGAGAGACAGCCTCCATACAATGTGATGCCAAAAGCATATTGGAAAACAAAAATTGAAATCAATGGTATTTTATGATAGAAAAGGTTTTACTAACATTGCTTGGTGTGCCTCCGCATGATGCCCCGGAGGTCGAACAATGGCAAATCCATTCTAAAAATTGAAGAAGACAGCATCAACAATTGTGTATATTGAGAACGCGATAAAAAGCGATGTTCAATGCAGAGATGCTTGCTAAGAGGAGTCTAGCAGTTACTGCCTGGAACGCTTGCTATTGCGTTGTATTGTAGGTGGGGGGTGGGGGGTGATGCACATTTCACAAGATAAAAATATCCAAACAGCTTACAACCTGACATTTTGTTTTGGGTCTACAAGAAACTCATCTAAATGCTACGAGAACTAATATCTCCACGGTTCCAGAGTAATTTTCTTTACATAAACTGAAACTTAACAAGACAGAACATAGTAACAAGAATATAACACAGGGAGAATGAGAACAAACTGCAAACCTGTGGCTTAAACACTTAACATAAAACCTATACAGGAAAAGTTTCTTTAAACATGCCAGTAAATCTAAAATGCGGGAAGGCGGGAAGGCTCTTCCATGATTTTGGGAATTTGCTCACAAGACACTTTAAATGAAAATTTCCACCGATACCTTTTCTGCGAAGTATAATTTCTAAAAAAATAGACACCTCCCGGATGGAAGTTTTATTTACCTTTAGTTCTCCTGTTGCTACTTTCATCGACAGCTCAATCACACTGCCAGCAGCCTAAAAGAGAAAATAAAATCTGAAAAAAAGTCTATCCATAAACTCAAAATTATGAACTTCTAAAGAGTCTTTCATCAAGCGGAAAATAAATAACTTCAAAAACAGTGGTCAGGAGGTTCGAACGAAATCTTTAAAATAGGAAGAGTCTTTCACGATGCACAAACAAGCAGACGATAACAAAAAGTACAGCTGGCGAGTTTCTTAAATCTGTTTCTTAAACATAATCACGGTTTTAAGACAGAAAATTTTATCCTTACACATCAAATATAACTCTGAGCAGTAAATTCATTTTTAGAGGGTTCATAAAAGAATTCATACAAGTATGGAGGAGGGAGACTAACTAAGTATTTAAATATGAGTATTTTAGATAGAAGCAGTTTTATAAAGCAAACTGGATAAAGAAAAAAGAAAGGGGAATCAATAGGAAGAAGCACAAAAAAATTCGTTAAGCTAGGGAGTTCTGAGAACAGTCTGAAAAAAGAAGGTCAACACATCAAAGCAAAGATAAAAAATGCAGTTAAATTGCAAAAATTGAAATATTTGCACCAGTTTAATTGCATTTTCAATAACGAAGCAAGAAGAAGTTCCAGAAAAAAATAATTCGATTAATGGTTGGGGGATTAAAATTTAATAAAAAAAAGAAAATTTAGTTTATTTCAACGAGAAGCACCGAAAAGTCTTTTCACACTAAGCAGAACTCTAAACATCTATTGTCTGCAGTAGAAACTAAAAGTTTAAAAAAATTAGTGTTAGTTTATATAATTTATCAGTAAGGTTTATAAAATGCATACCATCCTTGCAGCATTTGCACTATGGGATTCGTTCCAAATGGTATCAGCATCGACCTTTAAAAAAGAGTTTTTACTTCATTTGAAAATTGTTCTGATGAACGTGATGATGGAGTGTTCAGGCGGAATAGCACCAACAAGGGGAGAGAAATTAAGTGCTTATGGAACTTCTAATTAAACTCATTATAAACTTAATCGAAGAACACACGATAGAAGAATTGACTTCTGAATCCGTTATCTGTTTTTAAAAACGAAATTAAAGTACAGAGTTCCTAAGCAATAGCACCATAAAAATATATTTTTAGATTTCTTTTTATTTTGGACCAATAACCTGAAGAGGAATCAGTTACATGTGCAAAAACAGTTGACTGCGTTACAAATTGGCTGAGAAATGGCCATATGGGGACAGGCCCGTTCCCATCAGATCACTTTAAGTTGATCTCAGTTCGAAACTGATGAAACAAGCCGAAATAACAGTAATCCGTTGGCAGACTTGGAATTTTTCATTGAACATATCTACCCATTCTTTAATAAACATAACTGATTTTCATGTAATCCGTTCAAATGTAATTATTTTTAAAGTATATATTTTTGACGTCGCACTTTGAAATGCTACACTTCATGGGAAATTGGTAAAAATTGTTTCTGCTAAAAATTCCCAAGATTAAAATTTGCGACAGTCTATTCCTGCAAAACTTCATACAATATAAAATCTTTGAAATGTTATTCCTGCAAAAATTCACAATAGATGAAATTCGTGAAATGTTACCCCTACGAAATTTCATAAAATATAAAATTCACGAAATGTTCCTGGGAAATGTCTGAAAATAAAAATCGAAATTTTTATTTTCGCCAAAAGCTAGCTTCAATTGCCTGTAGAATTTCTGCGAAATAATTTGCTAATAATAAATTATTCGCTACTTTCTTTCATTGTTTAATCAATCATATAATATCATCGAGGATCAGTGACGGGCGTTGCTTTCTCTTTTATCTTGCATGAACGATTATATCTACATTTCTTTACGGGGAAAACTGGTCGAGAGGATAATTTTGCTGTTTCAAAAGAAGTGCCAACGATTACCTCATTTATTTGCTCAACAACTCTTTCGAGCTATGCCACAATAACCATAAGTACTGAAGATTTGAAGATATGACACTATTTGACAAAAACCAAATTCGCTTAATTCTATCATCGCTTATTAAGTAATTTTCGGAAAACGCGAACGTTTATTCCCACGAAATTCTCAAATTTGGTCGATTCGCGAAAGATAACTCCAAAACCTTCAGAGAAAGTTTCTTTCTTTAGAGTAGTCGAACTTTGACCTTTTTGTCCAAAACACAAGTCTCTACTTATAATCAATTAATGGCTTTGGACAAATATATTTTGTGTGCCAAAGAACTATAGAACAGACATACCAAATTTCTAATTCTAGGCTAAAACAAAAAATATCTAGATTTCGCAAAGTCCAGAAAGTAACAAAACCGTCTCCGGAACTCGTCTACTGATTACAAAACGAAATTTGTCAAGTTTTGTGATTTCAAATGGGGAAGTTACGCCCAAGTTTTCTTCTCTTTGTTTACCTTGTTTTGATCAGCATTGCTATTTACAAAATGTATTGACTTTGCATTGAAAATGATAAATTGAGCTAAATAATCCCTGTGGAATAGAAGAATAAAAGGAATTTACCTTAAAAGTTTTCCCTGAGCAATACAAGGATAAAAGGAATTTACATAAAAATTTTCCCTGAGGGATAAGAGAGTAAAGGAAAACTTACCCCTAAACCGCCGCAAGGAAGAGAACTAAAACACTTCAAAGATTGGAGGCCTCCTGAAATTTAGAAGAAATATACGTTAGAAAGAGACGTAACAAATCCTAAGTTCCCTTTTGAGTTTTAAGCAACAATAATCTTCAATTAGGATACAAAACAGGAGCACAATTTTTTATCAGCTTAAAATATATATGCATCAAAACTTGAAGATGTATCGCAATGATATAAAAAGTACCACAACATACTGAACATTATTTTACAAGCAAAACATGGAAGCAAAGTTGCTTGGAAGAAAACAGCAAATAACAATGAAAAGGAATATAGTCGACATAATAAATAGCTTAATATATACTGTAAATAAAGAGATTATTCAAGGCGACGATAAGATTCAGAAAATAAAGAAACAATTGCGATATTAAACTTTAAAATACCAGAATTTCATCTAATAAATAGTTTCTAGGTAAAGGGGCCTAAGAATTTAGGGACCTAAAAAATTAGAAACATACTTTTTTTGTTGACTTAGCGCCTTTTGTCGAAAAACCTATTTTTGTCTGACAAATAAAAAATTTTCGTAACAAAATGTCCCATTAATTCTCAAGAAACACCTTTACAGTAAGGCATAAAAAATCAGAATTCAAGACACCTTTAGTTAAGAACCTAATGTCAAATTCCTTGAATCTGAAATTACTATATTCACCTTCAAAATTAAAATCTGACACTTAAAGGGAAAAGGCTGTTCTTTCCGGGGATTCACTTAAGTGCACACATAAATTAATAATTATCATCTTAAAAACTTAAATAATTAGATACAAAATACGAATGCAAAGTCATCATAAATTTTTAAATTGTGTGATAAGCAAATCAGATAAATAATTGGCAGCAGATTGGCAGATAATACGCTGGTAGATAAATTCTAGCAAATACGTCTAAACGAAGCTGAATAGAAATGCGGTGATGGGTTTAAATGTTTCCTTTAAATTTTAGCGCTATATAAAAGGGTTTGGCGACGGTCTACGATTAGCTTCATTTTATTCCATTCTACATTTCAACAAGGTGCCCCGTCAGTAAAAAAACTCTAATATTTTTGACAGCCGCTCACTGATTTGCTTATCACACAATTTAAAAATTTATGACGACTTTGCATTCGTTTTAGTTATCTAATTATTTAAGTTAAGCGTTTTTAACGCTTAAATTGTCGCCAAACCAACTGCTTCTCAATCAAAATCACCTCAAAACGCCAATCTTAAAATGCCAATCAATTCCTTGCCACAATGGGTTTATATTCAAAAACTTTTGGCAGTTATTTCAGATAAAATCTCACCTTCTTTTCTAGTGATCGCTCCACTTCCATACAGTAAAGTATGCTGTTCACTAGAATAAATAATAATTGGTGTTACTTTGTTGTGACAGATCTTAAAAATCAAAAGACGAAAATGGAAGGTGAAGGATAATTTATAGAGAATTGCTGTCGGTTAAAAAGAAGGAGGGTGGTTGGGTTGTATCATAACTACCTGTGAACCGTTTGGATTTCAGCCAAAGTTGCCTTCCTTGAACGAACACGCTGAAAACAAAGAAGTGAATGAAAAAAGAACTATAAAATATATGTGATAGATCAAACATGAAATAATCTTATTGAAATGATATTTTAGGTCTCTCACGCCAGCATTTCCTGTGCCACTCGTCATAAATTATCGCGGACCAAACTGAACATTTCTTTTATTCAAATGAAAGGCCTTATTACTGAGTCAGCATAAAGACCATCGAGAACTAAATAAATTACCGGAATACAAACGTGTGCTTTGTAATGTAACTGAACATATAAAAAATCAGAATTACCAGAAAACTAACCGAAATACCATAAAAACTAACATCAAACAACACAGATAAATAGGGCCGCCGAGAGGGGGCAAGGGGGCAAATTGCCCTAGGGCCTCGAGGTCTAGGGGGCCTCATGTATTCCGTTTTAAATGGAATTAATTGACCTTAACAAAATTATACTTTAAAAAAGTAAAGCATTTTAAACGAATGAATGAAATTGAGCCAATCTAAAGGGCGTGGTTGCAAAAATTTTCTGGGGTCTCATTATTTGCTTTTGCCCCAGGGCCTCCAAACCCTCTCGGCGGCCCTGCATATAAATAGCATAGAAATAATATTAAGCCACAAGATTCAAAAGAGATAATTGAAAGGTATGACTCTTAATAAAACTACACATCTACACCAACCCTGTCAGACCTTTCAGGAAACATGAAAAAGGAGTCACGAGATTACCGTCTTTTGATTGGCTGAATAAGATGATTAAAAAACAAACTGATCAAATTTGTCAAACTGATCAAAACCTTATGGTTGAAACAATGCATTCGCTCACCTCACATCTTGCAACATAACCAAGTTCTTGCAATCTCGCCCAAATACTTTGTAATCTCCCAGGATGCTCTGGATGAGGCCTCGTATCCCCGCATGTACATTGATGCTTTAACATTAGCGGATCATACACCAGGCCGCTGATGTCCGCATGCGGCATATTTCTTCGCACTGGCGGGAAGATGGGCGAGGCTTGCGTTCGCGTAGAGGTGGGCGCACTATACGTAGGGGTATCTTCTGATGTATATGCCATAGTGTAGTCTTTATTCTGTTCATTAATATATTGATTTCTATTCCGTTCTAAACGCCGTTCTAGCTCCTCAGTATCATCGCCAATTAAGCGTTCACTATCCGGTTTTTTCTCGTTATTTTTTTCGTCCACAACTAAAATGTCTTCATCCTCTTCTTCTACTTCTATATTTTGACGTTCTAGCCGCTTGAAATGCTCCTTCAAAGAGACCTGATTCAGACCCGCAGCGGCCGCGGCTGCCTGCTTCTCCTTTTGTTGAAGCATCAAGTGTTCTTTCAGGGCCATTCGAGCGCTGGCGTGATCCTTCTGACGCAATAACGGGTTCCCGGATCTGTTTTTGACCATTTCCTGCAACTGCATGTGATAGGCGTGTTGCATAAATGCTTGTTGTTGTAATAAGATATCCTCGGCATGTTTTTGTTGCATCAGTTGCAGCTGAGCTATTGTTGCCATTGGAGAGCTTTTCTCCTTACCGTGCTCCTCCGTTGAGGATGACACTGTCGACCCGTAGTACTTTCCGTAATTACTATGCAATGAGCCGTTGCCAAGGTGACTGAGCCCAGGGTACAACAGTGGAATTGTGCTGTGGTATTTCGATAGTATTTGGTATTGGGCATCTATCATTGCCTTAACGCGTGCCTGTTGCAATGCCGGCGACAAGCCATCTGTGTCCTCTAATATATCGCTTGGTACTCGCTGTGCCAGCATTTGTGGCAGTTCCTTAGGGTCTTTGCCGTGGAAAGCTAGGATCTGTGTAAGAAGGTGTTGGTTAGCGCGGTATTCCGACCACAGCAAATGAGAGTAATATGGGTGGTCAGACCGCACATGTGACAACAAGTTCGGGCTTGAACCTGACGAGAAACCAGAGACAGGCGACCAGAGACCAACCAGGTTTTTTCCTTCCTGCTGAATAAAAATTCGAGAAAAATTGCTTCGAGGAGATTCTGTCAAAAAGAAGGAACTGTGAACTTGGTGGGGCTATCAAAAACGTTACCAGATAGTCAAAGCAAAATACAGTGAAATGACCATGGAAAAATATTATTTACTTTGTGATTCAGGTAGCATCTATCCGCTAGCCGTCTTCTATTTTAGTATAGTCCATCATAACACTTATTAGTAATTTTAAGAAGGCATGTCGCTGTTGTCGTAAGAATATAATCGTAAGAATTCTAACAGATCGGATGAAAACCTATAGGTTTTGTTGGTTATACTGAAAATGGGGGATAATTCGACATGTGACAGTTTAATCTTCAAAGAATCAGGCAATTAACGTTTTTCAAATGTAGATAGAGAACTATACTTGTCTACTTACCGATGACTGGGACGGGTGCATTGTACTTCTGCTGCTCCCAAGCGAAATGTTTGGCAAGGAAGGCGATCCATACAACGGAACATGGGAGTAGTCGTGGTTGTGGCCATTATACGAATCGCGATCATTCACCTCCTAGAAAACAAATATACACTGTCATGATTGAGCCTTCTATAGGCAAAACAAATACTCAGTTATTATCGATCATACAGGGTGGGGGTATAGAAGATAAAAGTCCAGCTGAATCCCGCTGAGTCGCACGGTAAACGGAGTTAAGGAAATGGTCGTCATAGCCGCCGTGTTTATAAACGAAGCGAATCACCACACCTACGAAGGCCAAACTTCTAAAATAGAATTGTTTATTACGTCACACTTTAACTCTATAGGAGAAAGCTGCTTTTCCCGTGTTTACATCTACCATATACAGTTCTTTAATACCTAGCCATGCCAGCAACACCTCCCCTACCCGAAAAAATTGGCTGCAAAAATGTCATAAGTACAATTCACTTCTCTTGTTGAGTAGCCAAGAAAACAACGTTTCCAAAAATATTATCTTTCAGAAAACATTTGGGACACCCAAAATTCTGACAATGATGGTCGAAAATTTCCATATGTGCTCGCACATAAACAACATCAACATTCCTTGTTGATTTGATTACAGCGGTAAAACAATTTGTAAGAGAGGCAAGTAATTTATACAGAAACGATCTTAAAAATTTTGTGAGGCTATTAAAAATGACAGAAAGCCAGAAGGACGGTAACAAATCTAAAATTGGCAAGGGCACGCAAGATTGTGTCACAACTAAAAAAGGTACTGTCTTTGCACAGGGAATGCTTATATCTTAAGAAATATTTCTAAAAAAACTTTGTTGAAAACGGTGATGAGTAAAATTTTGTTGATAATTGAGTAAGCTTCACAGCCACGTATTCCATTATCTCAAGAGCGTTATCCTGAATTTGCTTCTGAACAAAAGCTGCAACATTATGGGAACTTTGAGTAGTGAAAGGGGTACTCATACGCATGAATGTAGGGTTTTTATCAATCAACTCGATTTTATTAATCGAAAGCCACCAAAGAACTTAAAAGTTTTTACTTCTAGCGGACTGCTACAGGTTCTAAAGCTTCTTTGTATTAGGCAAAATCACGGACGTTTGCAAATTTCTGATAACGTGTCTCATTTTCAAATAAGGAATGTAGATTGTTTTATATACCTCCTGCCGTCCAGCCTTTTCTGAATCTCTTAATGGCGATGAAAGTTCGCGATCATTCGGCGATTCACAAAACGGATCACCTGTCAAAAAGTGAGGATTACCAAATTGATACAAGAATCTATTGTTACAAAACGATTTTATTGTTACAAAAAGATTTTATCGTTAGAAAAAGATTTTATCGTTACAAAACATGCAAAAAAAGGCCGCTTGTAAGAGCTCATAACGCAAAAGCTGTGTGTTTGACACTAAAAGCAAAAATCAAAAGGGTGTTTCCAAAAGATAAGCCACTTAATGGGACGTGATTTTTACGACTGAAGTTGTTGACAGTGTCACCTTGGCGGGCATCTTGGTGCGGCAGATGTTCATTTCCAATAACGATCGGGATTCATAACGAGCTGGCAAGACGCGCTAGGCCCTATCCAAAATCTTTTCCAAACGTTTTCTTCAAAATTTTCGAACCCCCCCCCCCCCTCCACTTCTTTAACAGTTTTGAAATGTCTCGCACATAAATTCCACATAAAGCAGTTGAAAAACGGTCACGCAAACATACGCACATCTTTTTTAGAATATATTAGGTTCGCCAGCCTTTGATTTACCTGCCTACATTATTCCTTTTTCTATCTCTCTGGTTTAAGGCCGAGCCATATCTGCTGCTTGGGGTTCAAGAGCTAGGGTTCAAAAATTGGTAGGTGGCGACGGCAAATGTAGATATATGCATTAACAGCATATTCAAGAGACAGAAAGAAATTAAAAGGAGGAAAAGAGAAAGAAGAGAGATGGATAAGAAGAAGGAGTAGAAAGATGAAATAGGGACGAATCAAGAAGAAGAAACAAAGGAGAAGAAGAAGAAGAGAGCGAAGAAAAAGAGAACGAAGAAAAAAAGGGAAAAGAAGAAAAATTGAAAGAAAAACAAGCAAACAAGTCGAAAAGAGGAAAGAAGGGGAGAACAATGAAAATTAGGATTAAGATATAGAAATAGAAAAGGATAGGAAAAGAAGAAGTAATAAAGACGAAAAAGAAGATAAAGCAAAGGAAAAGCATAAACAGTCCTAATCTAGTGATTTAGGCCCACGAAACAACAATTGAGCATAATCTTATCTGCTTCCATAAGGAGTAAAGTACTCTTGCCTTTCTAAAAAGCTTTTCTCATTTGAGTTCCAAGCAACAAGATTCCTAGAGTATCAAAAGAAGGTTGCCAGCTAAAACGGTGCCAAAAAAGTCCGGAGTAGGCTCAGCGATTTTTAGTCCCTGACCTTACCAAACATTCACCAATAGTGAGGGTAGTCGCCAGTTGCCCGTATTTCCAGGAGGTGATGTCATTCATGAGGTGATGTCAAATCAAAAGGCAGGACCAGGACACTGCTCGATAAGCAAAGCTTCTCAGTGTCCTAAAACTACCTTTGGATGCTAGGCAGAGACAAATACTAACAACCAGGGAGCAGGGGCGTAGCGTGCAGGGGGTGTGGGGGTGTCACACCCCCCAACATTTAGGGAACTCGTCGGTAGATTTACATTTTTAACAAAAGAAGTTTATGCCAAGTGAAACAAAATAATTTCTGTCGGTAAAAAACGGTTTTGCATCTCTCACACACCCCCCCTCCTCCTCCAGGGAAAAAGGTCACGATACGTCACTGCCAGGGAGGACTGATCATTCGAAGATTCAAGATAGAAAAGATTGGTGTGAATGCAGGATTCAAAATTTGCAACATTTCAACCAATATGCAATAACTTTAACTGCTTGTGTACATTTAGATACATTCCTTGAAGCTCTCTCGGGTATTACTGTCCAAAATAAAATTTCATGACGTCATCACCACATTTACTTGGGGAACAGGTATCAACAACAATTTCCAGTAACTCAAAAGTCGATTGATCATTAGATTTTACCTGGAAAAGACTTCCCAACAGGACTGTGGGCGCCGACACTTTTCTCCCTTCGTCGGAAGGCCAATGGACTGCTGGAACTTATTGTACGCTTGGAGGCAGCAACTTTATGTCGGATACGAGAACGTAATTTTAGGTTCGGCTCCGATGCTGCAATGAGAAAGAGCATTTGATAAAACGGAACACGGAACGAAGATGTTTCTAACTGCAAAAACCGCAATTTAACACGCAATGGTTGAGGAATTTTCCTCGACTTTTACGTCTAAATAACATGTAGCATTAAGAGCGTATGCTTACAAAATTCCGACATTGTTAAAACTAATTGACATTCGATTACGATCATTCAAATTATGGGGCAGCGTTTTGGGAAACGAGGATGCCAACTGAAATGTAATTCCATAGCTTTGTTAATGTAGTTAAAACAAACCCAGCATTGACAATTTTTTAAGCCTCGGATATCGCTAGAAACGTTTCTCCTTCAAAAACAAACATAAGGGACTGAATGATAAAAGGAGAGGGTATACCCGAGTTCAATGCTTCATGATATCTGTACTGCATTGCTATTGGTTGACCTGAGACTGATCACATGATGCTGCCTCGTACTGATTTTGAAAACAGGTTTCGTCAATAAACAGTTGTAAACAATATGTGCTAATATCACATGAAACTACAGTGCTCATACCTAAACTGAAGGCCCCCTACAAAGGAGCCCTATTTGCCATACTCGATGCTTTTTTGGAAAATATATAGAGATTTTGCCACTTAGAGGTAGAAGATGAATTCATAAACCCAGACAGCTTTTCAGTTCCATTTGCTACAGGCTTTGGGTTCATTTATAGCTATTATCGAAACAAAAAGGTGTGTCACAGAGCCCATGCCACCGGGGAGACCAGGGTGGCCATGCCCCCCTTCCACTTTAATGCAAAGCAAGTAGTTTTAGTGCTGCAGTAAAAGGGGAAAGAGGCATTGGCCCCCTACTTTTGCTAGCCTTGGCCCCAACTTTCAAATTCGTGGTGTGGTCCTGCGTGAGCAAATAGGGTTTATTACCTGCTTTACGAAGAGGAAAATCGTCATCTTCTGCATTTGAAGGAAGGCCCGAAGTAGCATACCTACAAGAGATACGTCAATAACATGGGTGATTGTGCTGATAGTGAAAAAGATTTTAAACTAAGCGATGTTTCAGGGTACATTTACACTGGCCTGTGTTCGCATTGCTCCTTTTCCTTTCGACCACTGATTCTGACTCTGTGAATCAAACTGTGAGTGTCCCACTACAAAGATTCAAACAAGCTTTCTGTTGTCAGCATTTCGCCATGGTACGTTGCTAATTTCCACACTACGTATCTGTGTTCATTTGATCCGTTTTCATTTGCCTGTCTTTCAAAGGGTGTTTCCAATCGAGACAGTTGTCATAGCAACATAAAGAAGCCTGAACAACGGGGGTGAAGATAAATACCCCCCTGCTCCTGTCCTTGCGAAATCAAGTAAATTTTCATAGGCATAGTGGATCCTTAACGTTTAGGAGGGTTTAGTATGGAACTTGTCCGAATATTATTGCTTCGCTGAGATAAAACTATCTAAATGGAGCCTGAAATGTGATGCCTGATTAGGGGGCTGCAGCCCCAAGCCCCTATGGCTCCTAGGCCCATGAATTTTCTCCATTTTGCAATTATTTTACCCTTTCTCCTGGCGCTTTACACTTCATGAAAGCAGGCTGCCGGGAGCATGGAATTGTGAATGCGTGCTAGAACCTACACTCATTTTTTATAAGAAACTGGCTATAAGAAACAAGTACTGGACAGTCAGTAAAAATTAAGAAACTTCAGCACTGGAAGCAAAAAAATTAAGAAACTATTAAATCGTATTATTTGTTCTATTCAAGAACAAATTCATGACATCATAATTAAGAAAATTTTAAGAAACATTGAGTATTGAAATTTCCAGAACATTAAAGACAACAGCGTTCTTTGTTTCTTATAATAAAAGTGAGTGTATATGTTTTCACCCATAGTGCGGACGGGACTTGAATAGCACAGGCGGTCTTGCGTTCTATAAATTTCTTCATTCTCCTTGAAAGGATCTTTGTTAAAATCATTTTCTTAAACAAAGTAATTATGACGATAAACTGTAATCGAATCAACATATGAAAGAATTAAACTGGCATCCATGACGACAAAAAATAATCAAGAAAAACCTTCTATAAGTTTTCAAGCCAGCAAATGACAACCAGTTCTCGTAATAGGATTACCAATATCGCATAATCAATGAATATGTTATCCTTCTAAGAGAGTGATTTAGTAAATGAAATGTAATAAGTTTCTTGCAAAATGTTTAGAAGAATGCGGGTTACTATATTTATCGCTGTAATTAACCAATGTTTATTCGTAAAGTGGGTTTTGGATTTTGAAAATATAAAAAAAGGAAGTTTGATTAAAACCACAACAATATACTCGACAATATAAGCATTCTGATTTCTAGTTTTTATTCGCTTTCAAATACAGCAAGCGAATTTTCGATACAATACCACACAGTACAGCTTGTACCGCTGCGAATTCCGTTCGACAAAATCTACCAGATGTTACTATTTAATGACTTTAGACATCAACATATTTATTCACTGTATTTCGGTCAGAATAAATTACAAGACTTCCGAGCTTATTTACGAGTAACATTTAGACAAAACGCTCAATAATTAGATTCAAACCCATGAATTCAAATGGCTTGCGGGATAAAACGCATCATTGAAATTCATATATCAGAAAACCGTTGAACAGGATTGGCGTTTACATGTTTAACACATCTCGGTCTAGATCCTGCCAGGCCTAAGCAATCACGTTACAATGTTTAAGGTATATCATTCAAGACCTGAGCTGACCTAAATTTTAGGAGACTTGCATTGAGATTAGTCACGAAAGCTTAAAGGGGTCCTCCAAAAGCTCCCTGTTTTGTGAAAACGCAAGACAAATCTTCATATCAAAACTCAATTTTTCGATGTTTTTATATTACAAAGCTCTTCCTCGCCATTTATGACATGAGCATGATCAGAGTGTGTTTCTACCTAAAGAGCTTTATACGGACAATGCTTTCAAAGAGAGCTGTTAAAAAGCAAGCCCTTTACTTTGGGAAAAATAATTAGAGACAGCAGAATTGGAAACAGTGAAATCATCTGCATCCATTGTTGGCGCTACGCAATGTGACTAGTGGCAAAATACTCATCATATGTTGCCATTCTTTCAATTGGATATAATAATTAAAAAAAAACTAAAAGAATTAAATATGATAATTAAAAATCTATGATATTGAAATTTTCAAAGAGCTAACATTACCATTGCCTGAATCGGTCTTGGGAGACAGATGCGGAAGCGAGGGCAGCCTCCCTTTGCTGTTTATTCAAAACAAACTCTTGTAATCTTTGCTTGACCTCGCTTGAAACTGAATGCGATGATCCTAAAAAAGAAAGATACCAAAATGATATATCTTTCATTTTCTATAGGTAAAGACACGATATATATGAAACTACAAGTCGCGGATCGTTAGTTATTGTGTACAGAAAGAACTCTGAAAACTCCTGAAGAAAATGCACCGTACCATGAAGAAAGGCTGAACGCAAAATGTTAGTTGCCTCCTTCATTGCATGCAAAAAGTTTCCATCAATGGAACATTTGGGTCTGGTTGCAAGGCTACTCCCAATCTAGAGTGCTTTGGTGGAGGATTGCTACACATGACCAGATCATGCTACAATTGCTACAATAGTTCATGCCCCATCTTGAATATAAAAAAACAACTTCATACCCCCACCAGCTTGCAATTATATGCTTTATGCCACACCCAAGCGACATCCACGTGTTGATTGTGACTAGCATATTAGTTGTATTTATTGGAAAATAGTTTATCTAGAAATATTGCATCCCCAAGCAAAAAGAAGTGGAGCAAAGCGTCAGGCCCCAGTAAGAAATCCCCTGCCATGGTGCTCCCCAAGAAGGGAAAAGAGATGGAAGAACTGAGGTAGGACAGCAAAAAATCCTTCGCTGAATAAACTTGCGGACGGGCATTAGCGGGAGTACATTTTTTATTTAAAGCAGTGATCTTGAAAGCAATGCAAAACTCGTTGCACTTGATTAGGAAAAGATCAAGCGTGAACATTTCACATCCAAGAAAACAGTTAAGGACTATAAAATGGTGCGCGATGTTTAAAGTTTCGTGCCATCTTGAAACCATAATTTTCATCAGCTCAGCATGAATCAATGAAAGAAGCTTTTTGCTGAAACAGGATTTGAGGCTTAGGGTGGATTTCAGAAACAGTTGGGTATAAGATAAACGTGATAATGCAAATAACAAATCTGACTTGCTAGCTTTGCCGACAATATAAATAGCTCACAAAAGAATGTATCGTAATTTCATAAATTAAATTGCTTCTCTGAAAAGCACAGTATTATGAACGGATAAAAGAACCTTTGTTCTGGTTTATGATGTCATAGATTTAAGACTTTGAGACACAGCAACAAAGCATTCACTTTCTATTCTAGTTTAATGCAAAAAATGCTAGAAAATCTTTCGTGAAGTACGCCAGAATTAAATTCACGTACACATACAATACACAAAATCAATTTTTTATCTTCTCTTCTACAACACTGATTGTTCTATGACATATTCCAAGTCTGTACTTTACTTGTAAGGCCTCTAGCACTTTTTGAGGCCTTTTTACTCTTTGCACAACTTCAAGAAGCAAACAGGGGACTATGCTATGAGGTCATATAAATATACTTTCTGGGATTTTTGTAGCCTGTACAAGCAATATAAGATATTTCTTAGTATTCAAAATCCACGAAAACTGTGTCAATAAACAAAAATATGGTTTGTGAAAAATTTCACTTCACTAAAGGGTTACAGTTATTTTGACTTAAAAAGTGAATTTTGGAATTGATTCCAAATCACAATAATTAGAGGGGAAAGGATTTTAAACAGCTGCTATTGATCCAGCAAATTTAGGAGCACTTCATGGTGTTCTTTCAGATCAAGTGGTAAACATAAAAATTGTGACGTCGTCGTGTTGTCTCTCCATTGCCTGCCATCACTTTGTCTCTGACAGCAGTGAAAATAACATCCATAAAAACATCCATAAATTCTACATATTTCAGCCAAGTAGCCAATAAACAACCTCGTATGAGCATGTTCGCCACCTGGAGAAAGGTGTAATGACGATCTATTGAAAATAAACAGCCTTAATGCGAATGGGTTCAGTACATCAAATGGTTGGAAAGCTACCAAAAATCATCTCAAACATCTAGACCGACTTTCCGTCAAAACTAACCCAGCTTAGTTTCAGAAACCAAAATAGAAGTTAGGTCTTAATGTACTGTCTGTTGACGGGAGCTCACTTGTCTGGAATTTAGCCAAGAGAAGGTAAGAAATGTTGGGCCAAATTACTTGAGTTTATAAGAAAACGCTTTGTAAGAGCATCGAGGCTTGATTTTCCCGAGAAAAAAGATTGAAACAGTGTAAAAAATTTTCTAGCTTAAGTAGAAAAATTAAAAGAAAAAGCAACGTTTTTTTAAAATTTATTTGGAGTAAACAAAACAGGGCAGAATTTTAAAAGCTGATAAAAAGCTTACCTATATAGAATGTAAATGTAGAAAAATTAATATTTAAGAAATAAGAAAACTATGAAAAACCGAGCCTCAAATTGTCAAAAAAATAGAACACCAAACCGAGGCAAAAATCATCTGGTTCTTATAAAAAAGAGCATAATCGAATGTTAACAGTGTCTACTTTTTACTGGAGAGCAGTGAAGAATAGCAACACTTTCCCTAAAAAAATTTCTGAACACGTTCCTTCGACAGACGTTATCGCTCTCAAAAAATATAAGGCGTCTTCCATTATTGGAGAACTATGAAAAGTGACATTTCACCTGCAATGAGAATATTCAGTTATTATTATATTATTATATCAGTTATATTATTATCTGAAAACTTTAGCATAAAGGCAGTGGGCTTTCAAGGGTCTAGTGAAGCTAGGGGCCATGTTTTGTCACTTACGATGCAACAAATAATGTAATTGTCTGTGCCATATTATCCAAGGCAGGGTTATTACCTCCAAAGAACTCTCGAAGATCAAGTTCCTAGCGAGCAGTTACCCCCCAAAACAATAACAGGTGCTTTCCAGCTCCACAAGAATATCTCAAGTCCGATGGCGCATGTTTACATTACAGAAAAATAACTACTTTTGCTCAACCATAAAATACATTGAAGTCCTAAAGCCATTATATGAAATATACCCTTGCAGTAGTCTACAAAAAAATTGAAGGGCAGAATTCAATATAATTAGATACCAAAGACCAAGGTTCATGCCTAGGCCGTGCCCATGTGGATCCCAATTTGTCGCACAACAATGTAGGAGTTTGCAACAATCAGTATATCCGTACGTGTTATAAGATAAAAAATGTTAAGATTGAAGAAAATTGCCCTTCTTATTTTTCTGAACACAGCTGGATTTAGCAATCATTATCTTTATAAAACAACAACAATAAATTTATAAAACATTGAATTTATTTCATAAATCTCAAGAAATCATTCTTGCATCGTTCATCGCATCTTTAATCTGAAATACCTGTTTTGGTAAAAGTATATGCTCAGTTTTAAAATACATATCCTTGTTGATTGAATTTTACTAAATTAAAAATTTGCGGAACAGTAACTTAATTTGCTTATGGTGATGGAATACTTTGCAGGAAAAGTAAAATAATAAAAACTTAGGTTTTATACCTTTGGCATAGTGTATTGAATTCTTAGATAAAATAACTTGTATATGGATAATCATTCGAACAACTAATATTTCTAAATCAATAAAAATATAGAGAAGCCCATTGTGTTTTTAGGTAACAAAAAAGGTAAAACTATCGACTTACAAAGGCGGCTGGAAAATTGACAAAAATATCGGTGAAATCAAGTTTTGATACAGCCATTTTATGCCAACAGATATAGGCCGAGTCTATGTTTGCCGTGCACTGTCACTAAAACCATGACATTTTTGTATTGGCAGATTGTTGAAATGTGTCGAAAATAATATCAAACAGGTATTGGCTTCACTTGCTAGAAAAAGTGCCTGATTAATCAAGGATTTTCTGAAGCCAACGAGATCGTTGCAGCTATGAGTCACTGAGAACAAGCGATATGACAAAAGGACTGATTTTACAAACTACCTTGCCTTGGGTTCACGACTCCTTCGACTGGAAAAAAACTTGTTATCATTCAAATTTACCCTTTAACAAACTATTACACGAGAAAACTTCATCTATCATAAGCCTCGTTGATAAATAATATTCCGAAACAAACTAAGGACACAACTTTCAAAAGGAACCACGAAAAGAAAGACTTGCAACCAAATGAAATAAACTTGATCGCAAGCTAAGCTTGTCTATGAATGTTTTTGTTTGAGAGACTAATGCCATTTCAACATTTCCTTGTAATTATAAACTAACGTTTTGAGAATCCAGATTTTGCCAAAGGAATTTTTTAATAGAATGCTCGCCATTCTTTCCAAGCCAGGCCCCTTTCCGTCGCTTCAAAAAATAATTACACTTCTGCAAATCTTAGAACAGAACAGCTATTCGAAGAAAGATAAAAAACTGAGAACAATGCTTGAAAACACTTGTCGTTTGAACAGCTATAAAAATAATTTAATAACAGAGGAATTTTTTGGTAACTCGACGAATCTTCGAAATTTAATAAAGGATGGAAGAAGCCATGAAAAGTTGCAGACATCAAAAGACAGACAACAGGCTCGAAGATAAAATTGGAGAACTTCTAAAAGAGTAGGAATGTCTATATAACATGCCAAACTGTGTTCGATTGTATGACATTCTAATGTAAAAAACCACGATAAAGCTCTCATAGAGACATGCTTCAACAACAAAGCCATTTTATTTAAAACTAACCACTTCATGTCAACCCATCCTTGTGGTTTCTATATAATATGTAAAATTCAATTGTTTCCAACATTCGGTTCTCTCCTTTGCCAGTCTGAAACACTACTGGAGAAAGAAAGTGTTTCTTCTCTAGAATTTTTGTAACAGAACAACAGCCAATATATCATCAAGGAACCCAGTACATAGAAAAGAGTTATTTTGGCCTACGGACACTGAAAACAGATGAGCTTGCTGAGAACAAACTGTATCAAATCATAAACATAGCAAAAACAAATTATGCACAATACCTTGCATTTATCTTGCTTTCCAAGATCCGAATGATAAATTTAATTCACATTAGAACCTGACTTTGCCACAGCAGGCAAAAACCTTCCCGTACCTCTCAACTCCAGAGACGAATAACAACACCCACAACATTTTTGATTGAGTAAATCCGCATATCGTTACTGGCACGTGTAGCATAGAGGGATTACGACCTTGGGGCGGGGAAGTATAAGAATACGGACAAAGCCTTGTTACTTTT